ATGATATTTTGTAATAGACGTCGGCATGTTTTTTTAAAGAAATTTTACTGAATTAAAAAAAAATAATAATTTAAGGAACTAAACAGAAATTGGAAAGTGGTTAACATTTTCACAAAATCTCTTTCTACTTCTACTCGCATTAATCTTGTTTCTCAATAAAATTGTTTTTTCGGGTTTTTTTTAAATTTCACACACGTGACCCTCTCATTCGGTCGATTGAGTCTTCCTCGTGGCGACCTCTATTACAGCATGCTGGGTAGAGAAGGAAAACAATGGGGCGGGGGGAGTTGGAGTGGTGAGAGATAGGGAAATAAAAGAGGGTATTTATACAAAACAGCAACCCTACCCCTTCCCTTTCAATAACCAGCTGTCTTAAGCTGTCTTAACTGTAGGATTTTGGGATGGGGTGAGGCAAGGTGGTGGGCGCATTTCGGCAATTAGAAATCAGGAACTCACAATCAATAACTTTTTTTTTTTTTTTTTTTTCTATAGACAAAAATAGAGAGCCATCATAACAGATACTGGAGCCGTGATAAAAGACACTGGAGGTGAGCCATGACAACATGTATTGCAGGCATGATAACAGATGATACTAGAGCCATGATAACTGATACTGGATGTGTGAGCTGAGCCATGATAACAGATACTGGAGGTGTGAGCCAAGCCATGATAGCAGATGCCTGAGATGAGCCATGATAACATATCCCTGAGATGAGCCATGATAACAGATACCTGAGATGAGACATAACAGATGCCTGAGATGAGACATGATAACAGATGCCTGAGATGAGCCATGATAACAGATGCCTGAGATGAGCCATGATAACAGATGCCTGAGATGAGCCATGATAACAGATGCCTGAGATGAGCCATGATAACAGATGCCTGAGATGAGCCATGATAACAGATGCCTGAGATGCGCCATGATAACAGATGCCTGAGATGAGACATGATAACAGATACCTGAGATGAGCCATGATAACAGATACCTGAGATGAGCCATGATAACAGATGCCTGAGATGAGCCATGATAACAGATGCCTGAGATGAGCCATGATAACAGATACCTGAGATGAGCCATGATAACAGATGCCTGAGATGAGCCATGATAACAGATGCCTGAGATGAGCCATGATAACAGATGCCTGAGATGAGCCATGATAACAGATACCTGAGATGAGACATGATAACAGATACCTGAGATGAGACATAACAGATGCCTGAGATGAGCCATGATAACAGATGCTGGATGTGGGAGCCATAGAAAGTTGTTTTTTTGTTGGTTTTTTTTGTTCAAGGTAGCTTTGTAAGTAAAATTACAATAAATTTACATAGAAACTCAAAGCTATTTAAAAATAAATTAAGTTGCTTATCAACTCTTTATTACCCAGATAGTTGAACAAAAATGTTAACATTCTCTTAAGCAATTTAGTATTTTCAAACTAACCACTTATTACACTAAATGACTGAACAATAAAGACGAACTTGTATTTGAATGCATTTAATTTTTTTTTTTTTTTAAATCTCATTATAAGACTGTAGATATTTATCCCAGAAGTACCTCTACCACAGAAACAACTTTCTACACACACTCTCGAAATGATTAAAAATAATTAGCGAGTCAAAACTTCCAGCGGACAGATCACAAATGTGATTTTTTTTTACACTAAATAGTTAAGGTAAATTTTAATATTAAAATTATTTGTTAAAATGGTTATAAAGATATACGAAGTTAAAGTAATGGTTGGTTCATAACAAATTGGCATCTATTGCCCCAGGCCTTCCAGCCCCCAGTGCATGATACCCTCACAAAGTAGCCGTTGCAACCAGTGAAATATCCTCAACACCAGGCACAGAAACATTGCGAATCCCCTCTACATGCATAGGAGCCATAAATTGATTGTGGGCCCTTACTTAATATATAGAAGAAGAAGAAATCAATCTTCTCCTTTTGTACCTGATACTGAATTTCACACATGAATTTCTGAATAAATCAGTGTAAAACTTAAACTTTAAATCCTCATGTTATCATTTAGCCAAACTCTCGCCATTCATGCAATTATGAAAATCCAGCACCAGCCTGCTTTTATCTGACCCAGAAATGTCCTAGTTATGATGCTTCCTTCCCTTGCAGATGTACATGTAGAACACTACTGGGTGACAAAATAATATTCTTGATCTCCCATCATATGCGCTGATGTCCAGAAATGTCAGAACCTACTGTATTCACATACATTTGAACTGATTTTTGTCCCTACTCTTTTTTAATTTTACAGTGTTTCTCCTACATAAAATTATTTTAAAAAACTGAAGAATTTAAAAAAAATAATAATAAATTACAAAGGTGTTAAAAAATAAATCTTTAATGATCAATGTTGAGATGAAGGGGTTAGGAACAAAAACAAAGAACTGGTAAGGATATACAAGTGAACTGTATAAGCAAGTACCCTCTTACCAGCCCCTTCTACAGAGTCATGGAGTTTTTTTTCTACAAACTCAGTATAAAAAACTTTGAAATTTCTTTTAGTTGTTATTGGACTATCCCTTTTTTTTTAAAAGCCAACTTTGCAAATATGCATGTCATTATACGTTTGAATCAGAAGTGATAAAGAGTTAGTGGCATATAATGATAGAGCTTACGCTTAATGACAGCAGTGAGTAGTATCTAAACTTCCTCACTTTTCATCTTAATAAACAGAAAAAGATGGTACTTCAAAAAAAAAAAATGTCTTTCTCTTATAAAATTTGCAGCATTTAAGTTTAAGTTAAAAAGTACATAAATCCCCAATAGAGGAAGGTAATGAAAAAAATATAAATAGCTGCATTTAATATTCACATAAGTTGGTATAATTTTCTGCAATTTTAATTTTTTTTTTATATTACATTGTTTTCACAGAAAAAATACCACACTTATAGTTCACAGTGAAAGCCCCAGCCAGGGAGTAAGATAAAAACAAAAGTTCTTTAAAATAATATATTGTTTCACTATGCTTTGGTTCACTCTGTACATAATTATTTTTTTACAAATATACACATTTCATTATTTCTTTTCATAATTTAATAGTGATTACATAATTACAACTTAATTGGAGATGTTTGTGAAGAAAATTTTCTCAAATTATTTTGCCATTTTTGAAAATGTTTGTACCGGTATTTAAAACTCAATTCAGCAGAAAAAAGGTCAGAGGTGAAGTGTATCATATTCAGGGCAACATAACAGATTCTTTTACCATGTGCTTATCTTGTAGCATTTCATCCATCTGCAGCTGAAACATTTTCTTTTATGCTACATAGCTTTGCAAAATGATTTTGTATAATTTCTTTTTTGGATATATTACTGGTACATGAATCTAAATCAGTTAGTGTTGTTTATTGACAAAACTATTGATAAATAATTTTTTTGCAAAGCTGAAAATGACTGTTTCAAAACTCAAGGCAAAAAAAACAAAAAAACACCCCAAAACACCATTAAATTCTGCAACTACTAGCATGTGATACACACCAGAGTTGCATATTGCTAATGCTTCTAATCAACCTAATGGCTCAATTCAATTAAAGCTCGTGATGTCACACCTTTCAATTAAAAAAGTTAACTATGACCTATTTATGAAGATTAACTTTTCAAGTCAACCTTAATAAAAAAAATAGTGTCCCCTAGGTAATCGGGCATGCTTGCACACACTTAGGAAACTGCCGGAATAATATCAAAATGTGAGAAAAATTGTTAGCTCTCTGACAAAACCATAAGGTGGAGTTGCCTTTCCCCAGGCCGGTCATCGGTGTCACCACCAATAGAACTTGCAGTAATAAGCTTGTATTCCTGGAAACAAATATGAGAGAATTAAATATATATATCAATCATGGGCTCCATCATTCATTAGTAGAGTGAATGTTACTCTTTTAAATGTCAGAATTGAAAATAACATTACAAAATGACAGTAGGCAATTGTTTTAATTTTTATTAAATACGAGAATATTTATTGAAACTTTAATCCTAACTATATAGACTGATAGAATGTGATTTTCTGATTTCGGCAAACTGAAAGTTCAAAATCATACTTTCACGTAAACCAAAGCCAAAACCTTAACGAGACTTTTGACGGAAACCGAAAGATTTATATATTTAGAATCTTGTTTACGCAAACATTCTGCATATATTGAAAAATAATGGAGGAAAGTATCAATATTTATATTCTTTTGATAAAAAAAAATGAGATTATAAATTATGGTGAATTTTAATAGATAAATACTTTGGATCTAACAAATTGAATAAAAAGTAATTTAAAGTTGTTAAAAATGTATTTTAAAGTAGTTTGGTATAGGAAATTTTGGGGGGGGGGGGGGGGGGGGATAAACCTTGGGCGTTATTTTCTTTTATTGTATAATTACAACGCTACCCAGACATATTTGGTTTAAGTCTAAAGCTTCGCATATGTATATTTGATTGGTCGGCCCACTAAAATGCCCAGACATAAGCCTTGAAGGAACTCTTTATTCCACTAAAGCATACATTTTCTTTGAAAAACGCATTATTGATCAACATAAATTTTTTTCTTTTATCCACTTTTATCATCTGTTGTCTAATTTGAAATCTGACCCAGATTAAACAAAAGCCTAAGCCTAATTGAAATTTTATTTTTTAGAAATATATGACAAGTAGGTCATCATGCAGCTGTGAGGAGTGTTTGCAGAGGATTGGTCATTTATCATATGATGACAGCAAGCTGTCAACCAATAATGAATATCAGATTGCCGCTGACAGAAAGCTAGAGCGTCAGTCTGACTTCTGGTAGACAAACAAAAGCATCAATCACTTAAAGCCAGATGGCTGAAATCCTCAATCAAATTCGTCCCAAAATGAAAGTTAACTTTTCTCAGTTTCAGCTGGAACCGAAACTATGCCGAAAGTCATCAAATGACAAATTTCGGCGCAAAAATCAAAATCCTAATGTCTAGCTTCACATAAACCAATAATTACATGTTACCTCTGCGTCTTCTTGTCAGATCATCTGATACCCTTTTCTTGATGCTTTTGTGCTGCTCCACTCGACCAGGTTAAAGCCCAATACTCCAGTTGTCCCAAGTATAACAAGAATTAGCAGCTGCCATTGCAGCAACAAGACATTGCTGTAGTAGAAAGCGATGGCTGCTGCTATTGACTGGCGAGGATGACGATGACAAGAATGAGAATCATTAACGGTAGTGTAAACAAAACAAAAATACAATGCTTACAATAAACCAGTGCCTAGCTATAACGCTGATTTCGTCTAAGTTTCAAATAAAATAATTATTTATAATTTAATAAATTGAGGAAAGACTACCCAGCAAATTCTCACTCTTTGGTAACATCTTTGCCCTATTATACTATCTCTTCACAATTTTACTACAGTTAAACAATTGTACCCTTCTATGCAATTGTGACAAGGCTCTAGATTTGTTTTCTAAACTGATTAGCTACCAGACTGAAAAACCAGCTGTGGCCAAATTAAATCTAGGTCACATTTACTACAATAAAAACATTTGCGCTACCAGCGTCTCGTGGCCATAACGAAAGAAAAGCCTAGCCGCTCCCACCGGCTTATGGTAGTAAACCAGTTTACGTACCTGTACAAATTTAAAAAGTGCAAAAGCTGGTGAACTGTCTTCTGGATACATGAAACCCAAAATAGAATAGAGCTGAAAGAAAAATAAATCAACAAGAGATTTTAGAATTACATTAATTTATAACCTACATCTTGGATCAATTGAATTACACAGAGGAGTCTTTAGACTGAAATAGTATAATTTTACATTTGCGCCATGTCCCTATCCCTGTTGTTATATATGTACCTGCGTGTTAAAGCTGCTATCTCCAAACCCCAACAGAAAGCTGCACAAAATGGCTAAATAGGTGCTGCAGAAATAAATTGATGAACAAATGACTTTTATTCTACATTTAAAGCACTTTACATGGGGGTAACAACAAAGTTTGCCAAAAAATGTCCAAAGAATATTTAAATTAATGTTACCTTATAAATTAAGAATTGTTAAAAATGCTGCACTGGGTTGCATTTATGATAATTTGTACAAATAAGTAAACATTAGTTTAATCTTTATGCATTAACTGTTGCTTTGGGGGCAATAACTAAGGAGTGCCACTTCTGTTTGCTCCTTATGAAGCTACAGTCCTATAGAAGCTTTTATAGTCCTGTGGAAGCTTTTACAGTCCTGCGGAAGCTTTTACGGTCCTGAAGAATCTTTTAAAGTCCTGTGGAAGCTTTTACAGTCCTGTGGAAGCTTTTACAGTCCTGCGGAAGCTTTTACAGTCCTGCGGAAGCTTTTACAGTTCTGCGGAAGCTTTTACGGTCCTGTGGAAGCTTATACGGTCCTGCGGAAGCTTTTACAGTCCTGCGGAAACTTTTATTTAAAGTCCTGGAGAAGCTTTTACTTTTCTGTGGAAACTTTTACAGTCCTGGGGAAGCTTTTACTTTCCATTGGAAAGTTTTACAGTCCTGCGGAAGCTTTTACAGAGGCAGGTTTCTATTCTGCAGATACTTCTTAGTTGCTCTGCACCAAGTCTCTTTGGAAGACCTGATAAATGTTTAGCTTTTTTCCCAGGCAGTTTTAATCTTATTTGTGTTATAAGGTCCATGGCATGTGCAAGGAAGATCTTGTGTTTAAAAACACTATCCTATGACAAGAATATCTTGAGTGCACACTCTACCCTGAATTAGACTAATCTTAATAAAAATCAAATAAATTTATTGTGGTGGTCGGGAGAATATGCGAGAGGGGTTGTATTGCAAATTATTTTGACAATCTTTAGCTGTCTTCAAAGATATTTAGTGTGGGTCAAATTGTGAGAGTTTTCTAACTAATCAAATAAAATTCTTACTTGGACGTAATGTATGTAGCAGAATTGGTTGGATCAATTGGTGATTTCTCTGGGAGGTTAAGGAAGATTATATAAAATGCCACCATGTGTACAATATAACCTAACATTACAATGAGGTCACGGCCATGTGCATTAGTTTTTGTACCCAACAGGCCAAATAAGGCACCACCTGCAAAAAAAAAGCATATAAAGTAGAATTATAACTATGAGGAGAGTTCCTTGTTTTGTTCCAGAAATACATTAAAAACAATCATTGATTAAGTCACAAAAAGCAAGCACTGATTTTTTGTGTTTTTAAACATTCAACTATTTTTAAAGATAATGATTAAAACGCAATTATGAAATAAAAAATATGCATAAAAACTCCAAGCAAAATATTTAGATTTAAATTTTTCTTTTGATACTTAACCAATTTAATTGAGAAGAAGAAGAAGCAACATTGATGTTATAATTCAATCAAATTGAATTTGTGCAATTATTTAAATAAGTGTTTTGATTTGACTAATATGTCAAAAGTGCAAAAAGAAAGAAGATAGAAGAGAGTAAAATATGTCAAAAAGAAATACTACTTTGACAGAAGGAGGGGGAAAAAAAAATTATCACAGAGATACAACTTAACTGACCAGATATGTTTATATGAACAATATTTTATCTCTATTACCACTTACCAAAAATCTCCCCGACACCTATGAATATGCCTGATATTCCCAGCAAGCCATTGGCACTGCTTCCAAAATGTTGATTATGAGAAATACTGGCTCCATAAACGCCGCTAAAGAATGTCAGCTCAACACCTGAGGAAAAAATGTGTGCACTAAATTTAGTAGATAAATCATTTTACTAAATTGTCTGAAAAATGAAACAAATAGATATTAACATATTTTTCAGTTTATTGTGGATAAAATATGTAGAAAGTCAATATTTAAACCAACATTAAAAAAGTATTTTCAGTTTTAAAATGTTACAAAAATATTTTAAAAAACAAAAAAAACAAAAAAAAACAGATTCAGAGTGAATTCCATTTTTGTTAAAAACTTTTACCTTAACTATTTTAAATTCATAGAGCAATATAATTATTCTAAGAACTATATGCTTGTAATTTTTTACCAATTGAATAATTTAGACACAATGTAATGTAGTGCACATACCCAGAGCCATCACATGGGCCCTGCAGCTCCAGGGTTTTGGATAATTTAGGGACCCAAAACTGTGATGTGAACAATTTAAACTGGGATGATTTAGAGGTCCAAAGTTGTGGTGTGGGAAAACAATTTAACAAGCAAATTTGACTGCAGGGGGACACAAAACCAATCCAAAAGGTGGCGGGGTGCCTACAAAAGGTGGCAGGGTGCCTCCAAAAGTCTGCAAAGCCCTTTCACATACCCCCAACTATTGAGAACACTAATTAAGTGAACTTCTGAAATATTTTATAAAATATTACATCTATGAATTTGTTTCAGGTCATTGGAAGGGGGTATTTCAAAAATTGGAAGAGAAGGAAGATGTGCTAAATGCTAAAACTTCCTATTCTGTTTACTGCAACAAATCTAATACAGTTTCATTTTATTTGCTTACCTGTGTATGCAAATGCTAGGGATAGCAAGAGCATTTCATTTGTCTTAAGAAGCTGAAATGAACGTTCTGGAAAAAAAAAGGATAATTCAGTGAAGGAAAACACTTGTCTGTGAAATGTTAATAGGTTTTTAAAACATCCAAGATTGTAATCCCTTAGATTTATTTCCTGAATGTGTCATCTGCTAGCTTTATGGTCTAACAAATAGCAAGTAAACAGAGTCATCTTTCATTAATATTGGTGCGATGAAAATATTTATTTTTTTATCAATAAATTCCTCTCATGTTGCACCAGAAACAACCAGCTGAACTTAAATTTGCATCAATAGCGAGGATGTACTAAGAACAAAATTGAAATGATAAAAATGAATGTGGGAAGGAAATTAATAATTCCAATCAGGTGTGGGGGGGGGGGGGGGTGGTTTGTTTTTTACAGTAATTTTGGGTGGGAATTTTTTTTTTTTTTATACTAAGAACAAAATTGAAATGATAAAAATGAATGTGGGAAGGAAATTAATAATTCCAATCAGGTGTGGGGGGGGGGGGTGTGATTGTTTTTTTACAGTATACTTAGTTGGCAATTTTTTTTTTAATCACTTACTCATAGATTAAGAGAATGAAGTAAAACATGCAGTAAAACATCTGGATAACTTACTTATAGAAGAAGCGAATGAAGTAAAAGATCTAGATAAATTACTTATAGATGAAGAGGGTGAAGTAAAACATATTGTAAAACATCTAGATAACTTACTTACAGAAGAAGCGTATGAAGTAAAACATGTAGTAAAACATCTAGATAACTTACTTATAGATGAAGAGAGTGAAGTAAAACATGTTGTAAAAAATCTAGATAACTTACTTAGGGATGCAACAGGTGAAAGTGGACACTGCACTGCACTGAAACACAATTGTAGTAAGAGTTTTTATGTAAATAATGCAGGTCATTCGATGATGAACATGTCGAATGAAACTATACTATATGCAAACATTTCACTAAATATTACCCCAAGTTCACCTCTTGAGAATATACATAAAAATCCATCAAAGAATTAAAAAACTATACATTTTGAAATTAAAATATATAATTTTATTAGACAATAGCATAAGTTAAGATTTAGACTATACTATAAATTGGGTAAAAATATTTTTGCCCAGTTTTTAGACTTTTAATTTCAAGGATGGATAAAAATTTAATGGGGTAGGTATATTTGTAAAAAGCTGAAATGTGTACAAACCTGGCATTCAAGCTATGGAGATTGTCAGCATCATCGACTCTTGGCTTCCGCAAGAGTAATAAACATAAACAACCAGCAAATCCAGCTGCACTGAGAGCTATAAATAATTTTGTGCGCTCTACATCTGTAATTACAGTTTGGCCTTGGAAGATAAAGTAGCTGTATAGGTTGCCAAACAGCAAACTGAGTAGAATCAATAAAATGAATTAATCGTAAAATTATACATTATGATCAATGTAAAACATGATTTTCACAAATAAAGGTTTGAATCTCTAATAGATTGCAATACAGTTTTATTTTAAAGCACAAGTTAACTTATGTTGTTCGTCCGTCGAAGTCGACAAGGACCATCGAATCATCCGGTTAGGGGCGGGCGGGGGGGATTGGGATTACGGTGAGCTCTTAGGTGGCTTGTTAGACCGATCCTTGCACGGAATAATCTATGACACCGTGGGCATGGAATAGTTGCTTCAGACGATGACCTAATGTTGCTCTTTCGGACAAGCCTGCGTGTCTCAGCTGTGGTTATTCTCTTAGCTTCATGGGATTTAGCCCCTTCTTGACAGCAGCTCTCCATCTGGCTCTGTCCTGGGCTGTCTGCACCCATTGAGTAGTGTTTATGCTGAAGGCCTTTAGTGCCACTTTCAGTGAGTCTTTGTAACGCTTTCTTTGGCCTCCTTGGGAGCGCTTGCCTATTGTGAGTTCTCCAAAGAATATTTGTTTCGGGAGCCGGTGGTCTGCCATAAGGGCTACGTGTCCCATCCAACGGAGCTGAGACTGCATCAGAGTGGTGAAGATACTAGGTAGTTTCGCTCTAGCGAGGACCTCGGTGTCAGGGACTTTGTTGTCTTGCCACCTGATGTCGAGGAGTTTCCTGAGGCAGGTAGTGTGAAAATGATTGAGTTTCTTGGCGTGACGCTGGTAGACAGTCCACGTTTCACATCCATAAAGCAGTGTCGAGAGGACTGCTGCGCTATAGACCTTGAGCTTTGTTTCTCGACTGATACCTCTCCTGTCCCAAACAGTGCTGCGGAGCCTGCCAAATAGGACACTAGCTTTTGCGAGTCTGCCATTCATTTCATCATCCATGACGACAGATCTAGAGAGGGTGCTGCCCAAGTAAGTAAATTTATCCACCGGGTTGAGACGCTGTCCACTGATGATGATGTTGGGTTCAACGTAGGGCTTACTGGGAGCTGGCTGATACATCACCTCAGTCTTCTTTGTGTTGATTGTGAGGCCAAAGTTATTGCAGGCCTCTGAGAAGATATCAACACTGTGTTGCATGACGGCTTCTGATGGAGCATTAAGGGCACAATCGTCTGCAAACAGAAGCTCGTTGATCGTGGTATGTTTGACCTTGGTTTTAGCTTGAAGCCTCCTAAGGTTAAATACTGATGGTAGTCATGCTTTGGCCTAACCGTTCGGGTAGGTGGAGTCCTTGAACGCATCAGACAGCATTGCGGAATACATAATACTGAAGAGTGTGGGAGCAAGAACACAACCCTGTTTTACACCGTTTGTGACGGGGAATGCTGGAGATGATTGATCGTTGTCCTGTACTCGGGCCATCATACCATCATGCAGCTGACGAATGATGTTTGTGAACTTGTCTGGGCATCCGTATTTCTTCATGATTTTCCACAAGCCAGCTCTATTGACCCTACTTAACCTCTTAGTTAATCTCCCAGTTTTATTAATTTTTTTTAACTTGGATATCACTGACATTTTATTGTCCAAAATATGTTCATTTCAGATCCAAATTACCTTCTAACTTTTTTTAAATTTAGAAAGAGCAGTGATGGGACAAAAACTTTATTATCACTGCTCTTACTATTAAGACCTAGGAGCCATCCATAAATGACGTCAGGCATCTGGGGGAAGGGGGTGGGGTCATGAATTTATGATGAAGTAACACTATGGTGTCTTAATTGAGTGAAAAATTTGTGATGATGGGGGCTAAAAAAATAGTCCCAAATAACGTGATAACATTTATGGTGGTCCACTACTTGTTTCAGATCTTCATTTTTATTAGATTATTAATTTTTATTTTGTATTTTAATTATTTATATATATATACTATAACAGTGCTCAGCAATTAAATGACATAAAAGTGACCATCTGGCCTTGACTGTCAACTTTTTCTCGTATCGAGATTAGATTACTTTGGAAATTCTTTTAAGGCTGAAGTCTATAATTGACTAGCATTTTTCTAAAAATGAAAATGATCAATTTAATTTTTCAAACATGTCATAAAATTCATTTTACAGGTCGCAGAAATTCAGATGTGTTGAATACCCAAAATGTATAAAATCATAATTGGATAAACAACTCTCATTAAGTGGCTAAATGTGTGAAAGGCCTATGGTACCTGCACTGAAGTAATGCCCAAAATATACCACTGTTCCTGGCCACAGTTTCTGAATTCGAGTTAATAGTAAGAAAAGTCCCCTGGGCCGTCCATAAGACTGAAAGTATAAATATTATTATTAATAGAAAATAATATAATGCATAATTATTTTAGCATGCATTATTTGTTTTTATTTTTTAAAATCTTCATTCTGAAGCTGAAGGGTAAATGTTTATTTATATTTAACTTTTCTTTTCCAGTTTGGACTTAAAAACTTTTAACAATAAATTTTTAATCAATGGGCTGTACATGTTTCAAATGTTGTTGTTTTTTTGTATCCTATAGATAAACAACTCAACAGTATATTTACAAAAATTGTTAGTTGAGAAGTGCTGACAAAAAAAAAAATAATTAAGATTTAAGACACTAAACATCATTCCAGATACCACATCCTCGTGACGTGTCAACCAAGATGGCGGCAACAGATAAAATAGTGGCATTTTCCTTCACTATTTTCCCAATAAACTGCACTTTAAAAAAAACATAAGTTGTAAAGCTTTCCCTTCCCAAACAGAACACAATAAAACAATGCAAAAACATACCTGCAGCTCCAATTCCTACCAAAACAGATCCAAGGTAAAGAGCCCACACCATAGGCTTAAGGAAAGACAGGACAAATAAGCTGTTGATAGGATGCAAAAGTAAAAAGAAGAGAGAAAATCTCACTGTAAGTCATAAAGTATAAATGTTTGAAACTAATTCATGTAATGATTAAAATCCCTGACTACTCAGACATTGCAAAGCAGAAAGAAACATAAAAAAATTTTAAGTAGATTTTCCCCCCAAAATAATGGGTAAGTTAGTTTTAAATTAAAATGAAATAATGCTTATACAAATTTAAAAAAAACTTACAAGTACAGGAGTGATCCCATAATCATGGACACCCTTGGCCCAGCAAATGTTACTATAGATGGTGCAGCCCAGTTAGATACAGAAAATACTCCATATAGAATACCTAAACTGTAATAAGAAATGTGTGACTTTAGACAAAGATATTTCTTCTTGACCTAATTGCTTGGAAGTAAAAATGTATGTTAAGAGAAGTACGCTTCATAATGACCATTCAATAAAGAATAATGCATGACAGTGTCTTCAGAAATATTTTAGAAGCAAAATTAAATTAGATCAGATTTGATTTGAATATGCAAAAAGTAAACATTAAATTTAACCTGGTATAACCGCTGCCAGTAAAATTTGCTGCACTGTCCAAAACAGTTTTCTGAGGATTGAAAGAAAAAGAAAACAGTTAAATGGATTACCACTTTTAGTTGTAGGACATTATAGGATCAAGTTGTTTTTTTTTACCATATTATTTCTCAAAGTGATTTCAAAAGACCTATAAATACTCAATTGCGTATGACATAACGGGCTCTTAAACTTTATATGAGAAAGGAACAGATGGAAGAGAGATTTAGCCATGGTGGTATATCTAGTGAAACCATTGGTTTTGGCCTGTGTATACAGCAGCGGTACACGCAGCAAACCATGGTCCTGGGTCTGACCTATGTAACAGTATAATAATAGGTATTATAGGAGCCAGAATGATCAATACATTGATCATGGGCCCTCAAAATATAGAAGAAGATATGAACACTCAAAGATGTGGTCTATATAGCAACTAACTTAATTCTCCTTCCAAAATTCTTTTCATACCCAACATCCCATGACCACTAAATCCAGTTATCCAGCCAATATTGACACATTTAAGCTTAGACAATCATGAAAACAACTCACCATGTCAAGTAGTCAACACAACAACAATAATCAGGTTAATGTGGGTCACTAGTTCAATCAGTACACTTGATAACAATAATAATACTGGTCAGTCAAATAGTCACTCTTATTGTCTCAATATGTACTTGTAAAATTAAAGTTATACTTCATTTATAACTAGTAATTTTTTTGTAAAATTCACTTAGGTTCAGTTCACACAATCAAATTCCTTTCAAATTTTCGTTCATATATTTGATGCGATTTTTGTATGAAACAATATCACAACTTTCAAATTACCATTTGATCAAATTCTCATTTTTGTCCAAAAAAGAAGCTACGCACATACAAAAATTTGATGCAAATTTGAACTGAATTTGATAGTGTGAACTGATGTTTAATACCTCCAAGGTTATGCAATAAGTCAGGCCTGCACAACAAGCGACCAGCAAAGTAACAAAATATTCTATATTATTATTATTTTCTTAATAGCTTTCCCTCCTGTCCTAATATCTTTTGGCCAGCACAAGTTTTCCATAAAGTATTAAGGCCCATGTTACATTTTGAGTTACACAGGCCTGCACAAAGTACTTGTATTTTGATTTTGCACAGGGTTAAAGTCCTGTAGGAACGCATGGGAACAGTGTTCCTCCACTTCTTTTTTGGCTAAAAAATGTACATGTTTATTTCGGGGGGAGAAGGTATGGGTTGAGTTCCCACACTTTTTATCCCAGGGCTCGACTTCCAAATTGTGCATTAGAGACCGACCGAATTTCAGCTTCGGCGCCGAAAGTTACCATTTGATCACTTTTGGTGTAGTTTCAGTTTTTGCATAAAGTGATTAAAGCCTCCGGTCTTCTACCAGATGTCAGATTGTCATAGTCATGTCTGTCGGCCAGCAATGCGATATTCATTATTGCTTGACGTCTTGCTGTCATCGTATAATATATGACAAATCCTCCGCAAACACTGTTCACAGCTACATGACTTACTTGTCCAATATTTTCAAAAATGAAATGTCAATAAGGCAAAGGGAAATTTTTTTGTGGGAAAAAACAACTAGGGCAGTGGTAATATTTATATTGGGAACCCTATGTTTATTCAAATCATTCATTTGTGACATACATTTTGATTTATCATTATCTTGTCATAGTCAAAGGTAAATTACTGTGGAAAAAAAATAATTTAAGGCGTGGTAACATTTCCGTTATTATTTTTTAAAATTATTGTTTTTAATTTGGGATCCCTAGGCTTATTCAATTAATTAATTCACTGACATCCATCCCTATCATGCTCATAAATGGCTATTTACTATTAACCTACTGTAACTATTTTTTTCTATATTGTAGGCCAAGTACTAGTTATAGTAGGTCCAAGCAAGCTTAAATTAAATTTTTGTTATAATAATGATTGATGTATTCTAGAAGTACATCACAACAAAAAATTATTAGATTTTTTCATATATTTATATTTTACAGGCAAAGTATGTAATCCAGCCATTCTACAGAAATTCTGGTCAAAGTGTGAAATACATAAGCCATTATATACTTTGCCCAGGCATTCTATAGAATAGCTGGATTACACACTTTGTAATATTAAGATTACAGAATATTAATTTTTTGCATATGAATTGTTATCAAGAGCCGCTTACGGTGAATATACAAAAATGTTACAATTTATTTGTTCCATCCGATGATGTATGTGCGTGTGGGTGTGTGTGTGTGACAAGCTAAAAGGGCTAACATACAAGAGGAAATGGTAAATTGACAATTTCAAAGTTAATCCCAATCCATTAAGCTAAGTTGGCTAAAATAAAGTAGTTAAGACGTTTTTAGCTTGGTTGTCTTTCCTGTTTTAACAAAAACCTATCAGGTGTGACTGAATGTTGAACTGGACAATCCACCACAATATGGACCACCAGAGCATAATCTTAACAGCTATTGTTATTTTTCAGCATCAAATGAATTTATTTGGCAATTTATACTCTCAGAACTCCTATTTATCATCATGATAGGTGGAATCAACAGTATTGACACAAAGTAAACCATTTTTAGTAAACTGTTCATTACCAATGGTATCTACACTCAGGACTCCATTCATCTATGTCGTAAACTGAATCATTACCAATGGTATCTATAACTGTTACAAATTTGATCAAGAGAGCCAGGGACTCGGCCAACACATTACTTTTGACCATCATCTTTCTATGAAAGAAAATGTATCTTTAATGGACAAAAAAGCTATATTTTAAAAATAAATGTTATCACTCTCTGTTGCTGAAATTTTCAGCGCTTTAACATTGCTGACAAAAAAAAGTTATTGCATTTTGATTGTCAAAGATGTCTTTTTTCAATCTCAGAATTTTGGAAATTATTTACTATAAACTAAAGCTATATAAGGCTAAATTCTGACACTAAAAATAAGATTCATTTTCTAATTATGATAGAAAAATAAACTTGGTATCAAGGGAAAGGAAATACTGAGTCCTTTCTAATGATATAAGTTTCATTATTGCATAACAACTTTGAAATTTTTAGTGAAGTACCTATAACACAAATTAATTTAATGTCTAAGAATCGCTATTTACTATTTTTTTTTCAATGGTATGCAGAATCAATGTTTTTAACGGCACAGAATCTGATAAAAATATAAGCTGCAATACATTAAATATATACAAACAAAGAAAAATAAGTGTGTTATGTCTAGAAAATACGATTAAGAGAAAATTTATCAGACTAGACCACCTCATATAAACAAAATTTTTTAAAAAGCTAACTCGACACTTGGTTTCATTCAAAGAAATCTGCGCCACTGCCCAACATCCTGCAAGAGAAATGCCTATCTCGCACTCGTCCATCCACTACTAGAATATGGTGCGATCATCTGGGTCCCATACCTAAAACAAGACGTGGACATAATGGAGCAAATACAACGTAACAAAGTGTGCTTCATCGCGAGTGACTACAAATCCATAATTCCTGGTTTCGTCACTGATCTCTTAAAAAGATTTGAAATCCCTTCCCTCAAAGACAGACGAGAAAAGTTCCGCCTAACATTCCTATATAAAGTGGTCACAGGGCTAGTGCCGACCATTCCAGCTAACACGTATCTCACCCCACAGAAGCCAGGTCGCTTAATCAGAGCCAAACGCTCAATAAGCACTGACTTCACCACTGACAAATCCATGAGCAATTACATCCGGAACGATAGTAAATGCTTCACTGTGCCTTGGTGTAACACAGTTCAATATAAACCATCATTCTTCCCACGAACAATAATTGCTTGGAACCACCTGGACGTTGCCGCCATAGAGCTGACATCAACAGAGAGTTTCAAGGCTGCCCTGGCATCCATTAGGATACCTGCATTGCTTCCCCAACTGTTGCACATATGCCAGTACATGGATGCAGCAACGTACCCTACCAGAAAAAATAAATTGAAGTGCACCACGACCTGTCTAAAATATCATCACACGTATTTTGGCAACATATTTTTATTCTCATTGTATCGGTGATGCAAAAAATTGGAATTTAACATGCCTACTTAAGATTGATTTCAGTGATGTTATTTAGAAAATTGTGACTTCCAATGCTAATACTGCCCTACATCAATCTATAACCAATTAGTAGTTTTTGATAGTAAACTACAATAGCCGCCTAGAAGCTACTGGTAGTAGTAGTTAAGTAGGGTACCAATAGATAATTCAATAGTAATAGTCCCAATAGCTCCTAAGTCCTAGAAACCGAAGCTGTTTACTACCATCGATAGCCAATAGGCCTAATGAATAGCCATGGCCATGAGCATAGCCTAAAATGTATTTATTAATTTGATTAAAATTAATTGATCCTGAATTGACAATTACTAATATTATAATACTATTACTCAGTTTAGAATTTTCGTTTAGCGAGCCCTACTTTACTTCACTAGTACCCCTAGCTCTTTTTTACTACTTTTGAAACTTTTGTAAATTAAGGAAATTTAAAGTTGAAACAAGTTAGTCTAAGTGAACTTGAGTTTATTATTTTATTATAGTTTTTAGTTACGGAACAGGATAAGATTAAATTTAAAATTTAAGAAAGAATTTACTTAGGAAGTTAGTCTTAGGTAAATTTAGTAAGAAGTCGAAGTCAATCACTCACTAATTAAATTGTTTTAGTAAATGAGTAAATTAAGTAAATGATGAACTAAATTAAAATTAAAACTTTAAAATAAGACTCAAAATTCCACTAAACAAAAATAGAAAACTGTAAATTGAGACATTGCTAAAATAGATCAATATTTAAATTTTTATTTTCTACTGCTCACCTCCACCATAGAACATGTTTGAAAGGCTGTAAATATTAACATAAAAGAGACCCCTAACACTATAATATTGAAAAGACGAACATCACAGCAATGATTCGCCATCTTGACCAAAGTCACATGATCTTTGTCACGGGGTAACTCCAACTCTCGTATGAATATGTGCGCATGCGTGCTTCCTCCCGCCTCCTAGACTAAAGCATATCCTGACCCTTAAAAAACAACGTGGATGAAATAACATTTTGTCAATTTTTGTAGTATTTTTTTATTCATACATAATTATTTTGACAGAAAATCATGAGCGGAGGATATGGACGTGGACCTCCAGCCATTGATGGTATGGTATCTTTGAAAGTAGACAACCTGACGTACAGAACTACTCCAGACGATCTGCGTCGCGCCTTTGAGAAATATGGCGACGTTGGTGATGTTTACATACCCAGAGACCGATTTACCCGCGAAAGTAGGGGATTTGCATTTGTACGTTTCTACGATAAACGTGATGCTGAAGATGCGATGGATTCAATGGATGGAGCTCTGCTTGATGGTAGAGAAGTGAGATGTCAGATGGCAAGATATGGCCGTCCTTCTGAGCCACACAGACGAGGTCCCGCAAGACGGGGTTATGGAGGTGGAGGCAGAAGGGGAAGGTAGTTTTCATTTGTCATGCTCTCGTTTAGTTTATTTTGGGCTAAATAATTAAATAAATTTATATTAACGTATGTAGCTTAGAACAAGAAATGGTATAGTATAGCTTGTTAAAAGTTAATTCAATTAATTATGTCATGTAATTTGAAAGCAGTAAATCAAGAACTTGAAGGCAAAGAGGTACGGGTATCACTGTTAATGTTAACATTGTAACTTGCTGATAATTATTGAATTTTAATACAGAATACTATATGGGTAAATAATTAGTAACTGCAGCTCTAACTCGAATTAGTCTAATAGTACTCAAGCGTTTAGGAGACAAAATTATCACCCCAAGTCCCGATGAACAACCCCCCACCCCTTTTCCCTCTTGCACAACCAAACCATTGGGTGGGGGGGATCAAAACCCCTGACGCTCGGATTCAAATGCTAACTTCAAAGATACTTACCTAATGTTGCACATTTAATAAAATAGATTGGAATATTTGACAGCCTGTGTGTATAAGTATAACTTATTCCAGTAGCAAACATGCCTACACCCCAAACACAAAATCTTTTTTCCAAATCCAATTTTACTATTATTAATCGAAATATTTTTAAGTTAAATGAGAAATTACAAGTCTACAGCCATGGTTTGGCATTTTCCTTTTCAAACTTTTTTTAGGTCCAGGTCACGATCCCCAAGGCGAAGAAGACGATCAAGAAGCAGATCCGGCAGTCGCTCTCATAGCAGATCAGCAAGCCGTTCTCGCAGTAGAAGTCGGGGTAAAGTTGCAGCCTCTCGGAGTCGTTCCAGATCTTTTGACCAGAATGGAGCAGATGCCTCTGACTGATTTTCATGTTGAATGTTTGACTATATTCCTGTTGTCACTGATGTGAACAGCTTCATTCGTACTCCTCTGGCACGCCAGTTTTACAAAATTAAAAGGTGCTTCTCAAAGCTGTTATCACATTGACCTCAACTTTTTTTTTAGCATCTTGTAAATAGTCTCAGATTTCACAGCAGTACTGTCAATTTTTTTTTAATAAACCTTTTTGTCCATCTTTTCATTTTTTCATGTGCATGGAAGTGTTTTATACTGAAATTGTCTCTACCTGTGCACTAAAATTTCATTTAAAATAAACCCCATTTAGTGTTTTAGATGCACAGGTAGACCAGCAATTGTTTTTAATTTGAAATTTTTTGTAAATTGTGAACAACTTATTAAGTATACTATGGCAAGCTATTACAGTCTCATTTTTAACACATCATCATTTCATGAAATAAAGGTGTAAATATTAACCTAATCTCTTTTCTTATTTCCCTATAACTGTAGGAGCTGGTAAGGCGGGGTAATTAGTTGCTGAGGCAGACAATGGTGCTATGGCGGTGCAGTGCAGAGATTGCTGTAACTGTTGCTGCACTGGTTGCCGTCCCTGTCGGGTGTGGCTGTAAAAAAGATAGCAGCGGGGTGGAGTGAAGGGTGCTGGAGAATAAGCATGCTGTAATAGTTTATCCAGCTGACAGTCTGTGGCTTTCGTGTGTTTGCAGTCTTAGTGTGTGATTGCTGTTGGTATTGAGTGCCATCCGGGCATGGTGAAGTTAGTCAGCAGTGCTGTGGTTGCAGTCAACACAGAACTATTTTGACCTTCCTGCCTATGAAGTGAGGAAGTCATGGCTGATAAACGTTCAAAGCTGCAGATAAATTTGTCACCCATTGATAGCCTATCATACAATTCAGCCATTTGCATGCTCTCTACATTGTTTTTATAAGCAGATCCTTTGGGTACAACTAGACATATAGTTTTATCCAGGCATTTATTATGTACTGGTTGCAAATTTTTTTTTTGCCCATATTTATTGGGAGAAAATAAATTCCTTAAGTATTTGGACTTGTTTTGTGTCCTGTTTTTGTGAAAAAATGGTTTTAAAGGTAAACCACACAGTTTGGTTACCATTTTGCACTGCATCAGTTGTACATAGTTTTTGACAAAAAATCATAATTTAAAACAAAACCAGTATACTGCCATTGAAGTTTTAGCAGTCATTTAAAGGCTGGAAAAAAAAATGACGGTGAAATTTATTAAAAAGAATTGTTGAAGAGGAAAAATGCACATGGGTTTAATTTTTTTCAAATAATTTAATAACTTTTCAAGTTTCAAATAATTTGTTGACTACTTTTTGTGTAGCTTATAGTACCGGTACAAATAATCTTGGCTGCTACATAATTTATGGAAAAATCACTAAATAGTATTTAGCAATACCGTAGTAATAACCAGGTAACGTACGAAAGTTTTTGTTGGTCTGGCTTTATTCTAATGGAGTCAAGAATTACTAATTTTGTGAAAATAGTACACATGAAAGGCAATTGTATTACATGTATAGACTAGTTTGGGGCAAATCCATAAATTATGTACACACTGGGTTAAAAGTGGGGGAAAGATTGTGTATGCATACCATAAATATTTATTTCGTGCAGGGTTAACAGTGTAAGACTTCAAACAAATTTTGGAACACTGCCCTATATATCACAAGAGTACGATTAGTAACCTTAATATTTAGTTGGTCCTTCAAGTGGTCATAAATCGATAAAGATGTTGTTTGTTGAGGTGGGGAGAGGTCCACAAATTAGTGGTAAATGGGGTTAAAGGCCAAAATGGCTGTCTTGATTTATCGGGTGGCCCTTAATGTATGTCCCGCCACGTGCCTGACTTATTTTGTTCAGTAACGCCAGTGGTTCCAAGAATATATTTTTTCCAAGTTTCGTCAGGCCCACAATATAAAATTCCAATAACTACATTTCTTTGTTGAGATAACATTTTTATGATTGATATATCAGGTTGCCCCCTTCTCATGATCCTTCCCAAGAGTGTTGCTGCACAAATGCTAGTGCTAGGAACCACTGGCCTCACCAAATGGATAAAAACATGCGCTGTCACCTGGTATAAGTAAAATTATGGGGAGGGAGGGGGGTTGTTTCAGGTTCTTAAAAGTACCTGTATGTGCAAGTTAAAGGGCTTCATAATGTGACTTTTTCTGAGTACCGTACATACTATATTGATGGCCCCACAGTACAGTAGATGAATTTGGGACTGTGCTATATAATATATGTAAATTACATTGTAATACTATTTGGTTAACCATTAAAATTAGTCAGATAACCCTTTCCTCACCATAAATAACTTATAAAATAAAAGTAATATTTAAAACATGGATAGAAAGTGCTCCAAAAGTTACATTACATGAACTCATAACACTAAATTTATAGATCACTTCTGGTTTAAATTTAAAGGGAAATATTTAAATTTTAGTCTATAGTTGAAGTTATTAATGACCTGATTTGAAAAAAACATGTTAGTGGTATTGATATGAAAATTTCAGTGGAAGTTCATGTCATTGTTTTGTGTTCATTTTTAATTTACAAAGGTATTTCTATGTTTGATTTTTGTATTTTTAAATACCCAGCTTGATTAGAATTTGATGTACCTGTATTTTTTTTTGTTTAACATTAAAGCGTACTGCTGACTTAAGGAAAAGTTACTACATGATCTTTCCCTTTTGATTTGAGTAGGAGAGGTTTATTTAATTTTATCCTGAACAATTTTATTTTTAGAAGTGGGGGGACTCTGTTGCATTTCTAAATAACAATACAATATGTCAGTGCTAAAAGCAAAGCAACATGTACAGGTAAAGAAGCTTCCAGTTGTTTTTGGGACATATCAATATCACAGATTCAGTATAATAAATTTGTATGAACGTCTATGAACTGACTTATTTATTTTTACATTGTCCAGTACCCTTAGTTAATTTATTATAAGTAACTATTTTTACACGTTAATATGTCACAAGTTATTTAGAACATTGGCATCATCTGTCTGCTAAGCTAAGGGGTGTGGATATTTTGCCATTGATTTTTCCAAACAGGTACCATTACCTCTTTAAATTTGAAAAAAAAATATTATAATAAGTTATAGTAATTATAGTTTATATTGGATTCCACTGTCATGCTTGAAACATAGTTCTTCAACCCTACAAATTCATCAGTCTCCCATCCTGTACAAGAGGAAACATGAATTTCTTTGGTATCGAATTATTAATAAAGTAACTGTAGGGCTTTTGAAAATATACTTTGCGACTCATTTTATTGTATAAAATGGTACGCATTTTAAAAAAAGTATTAACATACCCAGTATATAAACATTATCATAAACCTGAAGACAATGGTTCCTCAGATATAGTTCCTATAACTTTACCTGTTGCGAGCACCCAAGGTTGGAAAACCCTGGACTAGAAAGTTGTTTTTAACCTACATGTACCAAATGGGGACAGCCTAAAGAAATAAACTTATCGCTGCACTTTTTATTCAATATGTTAAATAAATCCAGTACAACAACAAAGAAGCATTGTTCTCCTGAGTAGGCTTCAGATTACCGAAAAAATTGCAGGTCTCCTTTTTAAAACAAATTCAAATGTTTGCAATAATTTTTGGCATGAGGGCATCAATACTCCCCCATTAAGTAAGCAATACCCCTGGTACACTCTTTGTTATAGTAATACCACTGGTCTAGCTTTGCAACAAAAAGCTTTTGAGGCTGTAAATTAAATAAAGTTTAGTACAAATATGGTCAGTCATACATGTGTCATGTATAGATACTGTTTTATATATATAAATATAATAATTAGATAACCAATATAAGTGTTTATTATTTATTACTATTCAGTAATCAAAACTATCTAGATTTTTCACAAAGGCTGGTAAAACACATCCACTTGTTGTCATTAAACCATAAACTGACTGGAGTACGCTGGGCTCCCTGAAAAAAATAAAATCTCATCAAAATCTGACACACAAATATAATTATATGTTACCAGTTATTAATACTATGGACCAATATGTGCCATTATAAGAACCTACCTCACAAAAAATAAAACCATAAATTTAGAGTCAAATGCTAAAGAATGGAACTGTTATATATTTAAAAGTATTTTTTTATGTCATATGAGTCATATACATAATATAATGGTAATTCCCTCCATTCTTCTTTGGATTTAAGGTTAATTGGTGCCTGGTTCAAGGTTGTCCATGAAATGGCACATGCCCCACATAAATTAGTGGTGACAATACTAAGTAAATGCACCATACAGGAGTATATATTCAGTACGGTACAAATATTGATGAGATGTAAATAATATTGTGTGTGGACATCTTTTTCTTGTACAAATTGTACAAACTTTTTCTTGTACCGGTAGCCTACTTGTATAAGTAAAAAATAATTTTTCTTACTGACATCCAGACTTAAGAAAGTCCCACCACTCTGATTGAACAAGTTCAGCTATAGAAATCTGAAGCTTCAGGTATTTTTCAGTAAAATTCATTTGTGTCCATCTCTTGTGACTGTTAAGGTAATACTGCAAATAGCTTTGCCCTGTAAATGGAGAATTTAAAAAAATGAATTAGCAACAACAACAAAAAAAGAAGTCTAGAATTTGAATTTGACAGATTTTAAATTAACGCCTAAACTAAAAGTTAAATTCGAATAAGTTTAAGCCAGGTTATCAGTATTAGTCCTATTATGACTGAAACCAGTCATGTGGCACATTCTAATTATACTACTAAGAATGGTATTGTATAGTTAGTACTGTTAGCAAAAGTACCTTTAATATTTTGTTCAGCATCTAGCCACAATTGGTCGGGTACATGATCACCTTTTGGCATTAGCCCCATTAAAGAGGGGTTCGTAAATTGGGCTGAAAGAGATTATTTATTAACTGTAAAAGTAAAAAGGTAAATCTTTGTTTAAAACAAAAAAGAGAAAAACATTGATGTATTAATGCAATATTAGATGAAATAGCATTGAAAGATAAGTTCTAAAAGAATAATTCTTAAGTCACCATAACCTCCTTAAAAAACTGTGTCACAGGTTTTCAGTTTCACTCTGGCTCTCTGTTTGGTTTACAAAATATAATCTTTGGTTCAATTGAACAAAATAATGGTTACTAATTATATACTAGTAAGTATAAAGAAACAAATATCTAAGTTTGACTTTAAGTTGTCTCTAGGATAAATATTACTGTTGCTATATCTGTTAAGTTCATTTGTGAAAACACAAACCAACAATATCACATTTGTAAAACAAAGCAATAGTATAACAATAATTAAGAAACAGTGCGGTAATTATTTTATAGCCTTCGTAAAATAATTATGAATGAAATGAACAGATTTTTAGGCAAGAGTTTATTAGAGATATCAATATGGCTATTTAAGGACTGTCAGAATTTCACAATAATTATCTATTGCAGAATGTGTGCATAAATCGACAAGCATTCTACCAAGACCACCCCCACTTCCTTTCTCAAAATCTTCTAAAACAACAAGCACCATCAGTGCATAGCTAATTTATAGATGTCTTGAATGTTTCTTATTTGCTAAAATCTGTACCGGTATATTAAATTAATTAACCAGCAAAAAAATTACCTTTTGAAAAATAAACAGCTTCCTTTTGTAATCTTGCAAAAGTGGAAAGGATGAATTCCAAGATTCTTTTTGCTCTTAAAATAACATCAGTTGGGGCACTTTCTGGATATGGTGAATAACTATTGTCTCAAATTTATATAATTATGTTATAACGTTCAATACCCAACATAAACCTAGGCATTTAAAAATTGACCTCTGATTATTGCTTAGTTAACAAATTCTAAAAAAGATGATCTGATCTAACAATAGAGGTTGCTCTAACTCTATGTTATTAAAATGAATTGTGCTGATTTAGGATTTACCTGAAATCTCTTCCAAGTGCAGACTTTCAAGAGTGTCCCACAAAATTTGGTGAGACTTTAAGCAAGTGAGAGCAGAAACACGGGTCCATAATTCTTGACCCACTTCATACTGAAATTATTGTGAGATTGCACTTTATTGTTAAAGTAGCATTTATTTTAATACAACTAGGACAGCCTGTATCTAAAAACATCAGTGTTAACAGTTAAAGAAAACAGCTATTTTTTAAATGAAAAGTAAAGCAGAGTATTTTACCTGTGATTCTAGTTTTTCAATATATTGCTGGGCCGGATCGTTTTCACGCACTTGTTTAATCATCTTTGCTGCAGAGCATCTGTTTCGCAATGTTTGATTTTTTTCAACAAGTTGAATCAATTTTGCTGGAAGTTTTAAGTTACGACTGAAAAAAAATTGAGCCCAATGAATTCATAACCAGGTGTGTTCATTAATCAGTTTTTTCACCTCCAAAATATATGAATGCATTATGTACTTTGTTGCAAATTTTTTTAGTTAATTCAGATAGCTGTATCCTACAGTAATTTTGGATGATTTTTAATCCTGGCTGCTGTCTTGCGACTTCTGTGGTTTATTCAGAATTCTCTTCCTCCTTAAAAATAGCTGCTTTATGATCCAACCAGCTTATTAAACCATATATTGGAAAGAGCCAGAGGAATTCAAACATGCTACCCTAAGGTCATGAGGGGCGCTATGTTTCAATTTATATTATAATGCATTGAATATTAATCCATAACTAAATGTTAATATATCTATTTTCAATGTCATAACTTTTCTTATGTTTACAATTTCTTTTTATTCATATATTATATGAAAACAATTACTATAAAGGGGACTCATTTATTACGTCGTCTGTATTTTGTATGACTGTATGCCATCCTAATCGTTACAGCCCTAATTCATTAGTTTGGCTGATTGTTAGGGCAACCCTGTAATCTTATTCAGGAGATAAACCACAATTTATATTTATTGATCAATAAAATGAAGAATTTCAAAGTTAAATGAGTCTCCAAGTCAAAATTAATGGTAAAATCTAGCAAATATCAGCATTTACACATACCCATTTGCTTGAAGAGTGAAAGTTTTTGCATTAGATGATAAGTCCGATGAAAAATTTTCATCAGCTTGAAAATTAGTCACTCCCTTCAGCCCTTCAGCATTAGTAATAATTGGCTCTGGTGGTGGCGTACTCGAGATTCTGTCATTTACCAACAAGGTGTGTGCAGGCAAGTCAGCTCGAGTAATGTATTGATCATTAGAACTGTCTGCAGAAACACTGTCCAAATTAGTTTTTGAATTATTTTTATTTTGGTGCTTTGTTATCTCTTCTTTGACATTTTCTAATGAGATTCCAGGAAGAGTTTTATGTCCATTCACAGTTTTCGATTTTGAACTATTCAAGCTTGCCAGTTTAGCAGTATGGGGTTTTTTTTTATTATATTTTGACACTGACATGGAAGTACCAGTATTTTCATGGGTTTTAAAAGGAGCCAGCTTGTGTGCTGGAACATAGTGACTGCTGTTAATTCCAGGACGACCAGTAGCACTAAATGATCTGGAAAGTTTCTGGGTTGAAATCAACCGGGATATCCCCCGATCTGAAGCTTTTCTTTTATCTACTGATATTGTAGGAGTTTGTAACTTTTTTTTACTGTCAGTTGTCCCTGAAACTGAACCCAAGCTGCATGAAGTATTCTCGACAGCAGAGGAACACCTGCTATTTTTAAGAGAGTTTTGTTTCGTCGATTTTTTCTCAATTTTAGCATTGGTAACCTGAAGATGCTCATTAGATGGAGTGGAGACTTCATGGGTAGCAACTACTGACAATTTTTCTAGATTTGATGCAGTCTGCACATTTACATTGGCACCATGCTTTATAGAATCATTTGCCTAAGAAAAAACAAGAGAGATGGCTCATTATTGATGATTTTAAAACAATAAAACAAATTATCATATAATTTTTAAACATATTAAATTCGCATAAATTTAAGTAAACTTGCAACTGCAAATTTTAAATTTATATTCTGTTGAATACCATTTGAGAGCCTCTGACAATTTAATACATTCTTATATTTATATTTTAAAGTCAAATTTTAGCTGGCTTGAAATCTATGCCATAACAGGTAGAAGGTAGAAAAAAAGAAGTTTGAGATATTATCCAACCTTCAATTGGCGTGTATTTTGTGCTTTGCGTAGCAGGACATCAACTTGTTGAAGAGCTTGCTTTTCTTCTGTACTCAGTAAATCAGCTGTTCGTTTTACTTCATTAAAAAAAAAATGACCATGGCAAAAACTAGTTATTTTTCAAATGAAGTAAAAAGTCAGTATGAGGATTGCAAAACCACCACCCCTATGAGTAAGATAATGTATATAAAAGTTTTAACTACCGTAAAAAATAAAAACGAGTTATTTTCAAATGAAGAAAAATGTCAGTACCGGTAAGAAGAGTGCAAAAACACAATTAAATAAATGTCTGCAGTAAGATATGCTAAAGTTTTAAATTTACACGTAAAAAATAAACTCATTTGTTTGAAAATCACAATATCCAACTTACCAATAACTACAAGAAAACAACTTACCTAATTCTGAGTTACCAATATTTTCTTTAAGGTTGAATTCACTTTCCATTTCTGTCTTTTTCTCTTTTTTCTTAGGCCTGAAATGATAAATCTGGTTATTTATATTTTAATATAACTTTGAATTTAAAAAATAAGCCAGTATTTGTTACTGTTCAAACAAAAGAATTATATTAGTATGTTACATTTTTTTTCAATATTACCTTTTAATTGTTGTTTTTTATATTATATAGTCATATTGCCTTTGTTGGGTTTTTTTGTGGTTAAATTAATTGCATAATTTAATATACAATATTTAACTTACCATGGTTTTAAAAGACTTCGAATTATGCTACATTCTCTTTCAAGGACATCTCGGTTTTTATTTACTTCTATTATCCTTTCATTTAGAAACTTGCATAAGCTGGAGAAAAAAATTGAATCGATGCATTCCTGTCTTCATAATTTTAAAAAGTTAACATATTAATTAACTAACATGTGTGGCGTCATTGTCATGGCTACTTGTGGCACTCTAGGACATGCTGTTACAAAACAGAGTTTAGCGCCTAACACTGTGTTGGAATTTGACCTCTGGTTTAAGGTATCAAAACATGTCGTATACGGCTTCTCCCCATCACTTAAAATACTTAAATATTGGGAACCACTGTGAGTGCTTTTGGTGCAAGTTCAATAATTTATTTCTCTGGAACCCTAGCATATTATGCTATGAATTATATCTAGTTGGAAAGAAGATTTTATTCGCTATGCCTTAATATATTTACAAGTCTATATCGTTAGAGGGTACTGTAACATTAAATTAAATAATTAAGGGAGTTTTCACATTCCTCCATGGTTGGTTCCAACCCCCTCTATTTAAAATATCTCAAAAACCATTTAACTTATAGAAATATAAAGTGTATCGAGACAAAACGGAAATGGACACATATAAGTATTTAGGGTTTTGGTACAGAATTTTGACTTTTACTCAAGTTGTAGTATCTAGGGATTGTCATTTTACCACAGGAAATCAGCCAGGAGGCAAGTTATAGACCCTCTTGGGTTAATGTGTGACATAAATGCTCTCTAGTCTGTCCACACATTTTTATTTGTAATGCACGCACTAATGAGTTTTTAATTAAAAGTTTTAACTCTTTCCATGCCAGGGGGTTTTCCATGTTCGTGCCAGACCAGTATTCGGCCAATGGAAATTTTTTAGGGTGCTCCTATCTATTAATTAATTTTGAATACATTTCTTTTAGCAAATTAAAGGAAATTAGACAGAGAATAATAATATGTAAAATATAAAACAACATAACAACAATAAGTTAAATTTTTTAGGTAAAATTGTGAGATCAAATTTTTCAAATCTTTAAAATTGCACACCAAATCTGAACTTATCAGACTACCATACGGTCTGTGTAGCTGATGTCCTATTCTGGTTCTATCCCCAAAAAGTATATCCATTTTTGATCATAATGCATTTTACTTTACATTTTGAAAATATTCCATTTTGTTACAGAGTTATACCCATTTTTGTAACATTAGGAGTATTCTTATCTGAATCCTCATAGTTGCTATAGTAACAAAGTGGTTTTGAAAAAAATTCATAACTTTTGAACTACTTGAGCTAGAAAGTTGATCTGGGTGTTTTTTTAAATCCATTCTCTAAGCTCTATACATTCGTGGTATTTTTATATTTTAAAAAATGTTTTGAAATTTTTATGAAAGTGCCGACAGTCACCACTATTACTATTACTATCACCATTCTATTACTATTTCCATTCGGCATTTACCGACCCATCAGAATGCTGAAAATCATCATTGGAATCAGACTCAAATGATTCATGGTTATTGTCTGTTGTTTCAGCATCAATAATTAGCAATAAAAGTTCTTGATTCTTTTGTTTGCAAAATTAACTACCCACGTGGTCTAGCAACAGCTGACATGCTTGGAGTGGGCGTGGCCATGGCTTTGTTTACAGAAGGTTCAACACAAATTGAACTATTATTAGAAAAAACACATGCAAACATGCCCTACTTCTTAAAAAAAGGAAGTAGTAAGAGTTATCCTTCGTTTAAGAACAAAAAAATTCGGATTAAGAGCCACAAGAAACGAAATAAACTACATACATGATATCGACAGTATACTGTGGGTTGGCACGAACGCGACCAGTCAAATCGACAGTATATATATACTGTCAATTGGCAAGGAAAAAGTTAATCGCATCCCTAAAGTGCGCCATTGTTCACCGGCCCATGTGGAAGCTTTATAATTGTCTTTTTCTTTAACTTTTCTTTATATTTTTCTTAGGCTTATTTATGGAACCAAGAAAGGCTATAGTCCTCAAGACCTGATTTTCTACAGTTTATAAAATAAACAAATTGAAAACTGTCAGTAGTGTCAGCTACACGGCAACTACTCTTTAAGTAATGCTGTAACATTAGACAATTTTGCTGCAGGAATTATTAATAAATTAATAGTATATATTGGCTTCACTCAAGTCCAGGCCCAGGTAATTTGTAAGTCACTACCCTCTAGATTATACAACACCTATATTAGGTACCTTGAAACATCTCTGCGTATCATACTGAGTATGTCCTAAAATTTTGAAAAAACTTGTTCTACAATATGGTGTATGGTTACATGGTATCTTTAGAAATTTGCATACTATGTCACATTTGTCCCTTAAATAATTGCTTTTCTCATCAGTGACATTTTAGTTTTTGTGTTCCGGTGATTCTATGAAATTTATGCTATGAGATATTTTGTGAGTCACTGACAGTATTATCATAATGACTTGGTAAGCATATAATCATATAAATACCTTTTTGTTAATTATTCCATGCAAATAAGGTTTGGTGCCATGGAAAATACATGGGGTGGAGGTGTATGAAAATGTCCCAAATTAAAATTTTATTTTTTCTATCGAGAAGCTGGAAATGGCAATTATCACTGTAGGTTATAAAGTGTTTCGTTATTATTAAATCCCTTAACATCTGAATAATTATAATAAGTTTAAAATGAGCAATTTCACAAAATTTAAGAAAAGACTGGTTTGTTATTCTTAACTATAAATCTCTAATTTAATTAAACTTTCTGTTTTTTTTTGCATTTTACTTTAAACTTCAATTACTTAAAATTGAAAGAGATATGTCTCTGATTCTGATAGACTACATTGCTGCACCATGTACTGGCATATGTGCAACGGTTTGGGAAACAATGCGGCTATCCTAACCGCTCCTAGCAGGTGCCAGGGCAGCCTTGAAATTCTCGACTGATGTCAAGTCCACGGCGGCATTGTCCAGTTGGTTCCAAGCAATTATTGTTTGTGGGAAGAATGATTGTTTATATTGAACTGTGTTACACCGAGGCACAGTGAAGCATTTATCATTGTTCTGGATGTAGCTGCTCATGGAGTTGTCAGAGGTGAAATCAGTGTTTAATGAGCGTTTGGCTCTGATTAATTGACCTGGCTTCTGCGGGGTTAGATACGTGTTAGCTGGAATGGCCGGTACTAGCCTCGTGACCACTCTATAGAGAAATGTTAGAAGGAGCTTTCCTTGTCTGTCTTTGAGGGAGGGGATGTCAAATCTTTTTAAGAGGCCAGTGTCGAAGCCAGGAGTGGTGGATTTGTAGTCACTTGCAATAAAGCCCACTGCGTTGCGTTGTATTCGCTCCATTTTGTCCATTATAATTAGAGTTGGGGGGCATAATTAATGACATTGATTGATCAGTGATCAATAATAATAATAATAATAAGTGGTCTTATATAAGTGATCACTATCTAGCCTTCAGTTCAGTCAATTACTTTTAGATGTAAATGTAGTAGTATGCATGCTAACAGTGGCATAGCGAGGGTGTTTGGCGCCCGGGGACAAGATCCATTTTTAACGCCCCTTTTTCTTTTTTTTCAACTCTCAAACCCATTATTTTCATCAATAAAATAATAACAAAGCACATTTTGGCGCCCCTAACTAGCTGGCGCCGGGGACATCTGTCCCCCCCTTGTCCCCACCACGCTATGCCTCTGCATGCTAAGGCCCAAGGCTAAATTTAAATTCAATTTAGATTTGATTGATTGAATGGACTGTGCCACATTTAAACTAAATTTGGTATTTACTACTATTCAACTGTAAATTTTTATTCATAATAATATTCAAATTTATTTGTTATAAGGAGATTTTTAATAAGTCAACAATTAAATTAAGTCTTTTTAAGTTTAAGTATTATTAAAAGTTTTTTTTTTTTTTAGTTATTTATTTTAATTTTAGTAGTAGGCTAACTTAACTAAAAATAGCAGCCTGCTTGTATTTGTCCTACATTTACTTTGCAGGCCTAAATGATACCTTTATTACTTATAATGTATCATTTAGGAATTATATGGTATATTTTTTTTAAAATATCTGAAGGTGAATGTTTTAAATCAGATTTTCTTGTAGTTGTACCTGAATTTTGAATCTGAGTTAATCATATCGCTTCCTGTCGCCATGATACGGCTTCGATAAAATCAAATTGACAGGAATTACCTACTGACAGTTTGTTCAGAGGTGATTAAAGGTCTACGAACAAAGTTTACGTCCATTAGTCTTCTAATATTTAACAGCAATTATCACAATTCATATAGTTTTTTAGTTTCAGACTCGAGGATTTGCGAAAAGGATAGCAGAATCCCCCATGAATGATTGGGTATCTCGGTCTATGAAAAAATACAAGTTGAAAAGCGATTATCTTTTAATAGTTTTAAGCCCCCCCCCCCAACCCCCTTAATTCCTAAACCTGGCTACTTCACAACTTTAAATATAAACATGCTTCATAATTAACTAAACATAAAATGGAATGTTTTGAAATGGCTCAACATGACATGCATCAAACCCATGTTGTTTTGTATTTGCCATGATTTAAGTAACTTAACCGTTGGCGGTTATGGACAGCAAAATAAAAATATCCCTTCCCCTCCCGCTTTGGTAAACGACGTTGGCTTTGCAGATCGTTTCCAGGTAGGACACTAGTTACCGAGTCCCTACGCCCTACTCTCACCATTGACATTACATCAATTGTCAATGTGATAACTTATCTTTCTGGGGGAGAACCGCTACTAGATTATTACAATTTTATATTAGGACCTCATAGCCATGATGGCTCAGGGCCGAGTCTTAGACTTACTGAGGAGGACCTAAGCCTAAGCCGCGACTAAGCGAAAGCCGCCCTATGCAAAGTCCAGAGGAAGAGCCCTCCCCCCCCCCTTTTGCTCTTTTAAATTACATCAGCTGGTCAAAGAAAATTAAAAATATAATAGTATTTTAAATTTATGAGGCCGAGTCTTAGACTTACTGAGGAGGACCTAAGCCTAAGCCGCGACTAAGCGAAAGCCGCCCTATGCAAAGTCCAGAGAAAGAGCCCTCCCCCCCCCCCTTTTGCTCTTTTAAATTACATCAGCTGGTCAAAGAAAATTAAAAATATAATAGTATTTTAAATTTATGGACATTTTTTTGCGTTTAATTTTTACTTTAAAAAAAATAAAAGATTGTGTTTACAGATTCACAGAAATAATTCTATTTCTATTATATATCTTCTTATATCTATAATCCACTAATTTTTTTTTTTCATTTCACACCCGCAAAGTCATTGATTACGCCATCAAAATCAAAGGATATGGACCAATATGGATTCGTAACTTAACTTGAAATGAACATTTGTTACAATTAGACACAGGAATATTCGAAATATTGCTTCCACATTTGCGAAAACTTACTCAATCCTGTCAGATTCAGATGATTTGATTCAAATATTTGCGTTATAATTTTCAGGATAATTTTGTCTTTATATGGTCACGAGTCATGGAAGTGCCTCAGTTCACTCGTGAGATTGAGATTAACGTAGCTTTAAATAAAAACGGTAACTCTCAAACTCCTAAATCAACTAAAAATGAAAATGTATTGTCTGTTGCTCTTCTTGTTGAATTTGCCTCAAGGATGTCATTGAAGGAATTAACTTGAAATTGGTCTCTTTGAGAAAGCTGTTCATCTTCATCAGGCGCAGCGCCATCGTTGACTTGCTTCCTTCTCACCCTCTTTCTTTTCACTTTCACTGTAGACTTATATTCTATTATATTAAATTCTAAACAAGGCAATCGGGGTCCAGATTTAAAATCTTCAATATCAAAATTTTCTCGAATATTTGTAACATACCGGTAGTGAGAAAGTGATTTGTACAATTTGCACATTTTTTTAAGTGCAATCTTTGGACCCCAGGAAGTCATACTGGTTTTGTGAAACTCTTGCTGCAAATTATTGCATACATTTAGCATAAAACTCTAGTTCTCCATTTTTTTCACATATGTCTGATAGACACTTATTTTTGTTTCATCAGTTAGAGTGAGATTATTCCACACCCGCTTATTCAATTTAGCCATAGTTGCTGCTGCTTTTGCGATCCTGATATTTATCTCTTCATCCAGGGAGAGAAGAGAGAACTAGAAATATTGGATCCCAGATATGTGAAATGCTCAACAATCGAAAGATTATGACCTTCAATAGATATGTTTGGAGGGGACGGTGCTTCTTGCATCATTACATGTGTTTTCTGTAGACTTAACAAAAGTCCAAACTGTTTACAAGTGTGTGATAGACGATTAACCAGCCCCTGAAGACCTTCTTCTATGTGAGATGTTAAGGTGGCATCGTCAGCGAACAGCAATTCATGAATCAGCACATTTTTTACTTTGGTCTTTGCACGAAGGCGGGCGATATTGAACAGCTTACCATCAGATCTGGTATGGACGTACACTCCATCTTCACAGTGCCTGAAGTCAAATTGAAGGAGCATCGAGAATAAAATGGAGAAGAGCCAGTACACAACCCTATTTTACTCCACTGCTGACTGGAAATGACTCAGAGACAGCGCCATTGAACGTTGTCGTGCTGTGCATGTTATTGTGAAATGACTGTATGATTGTGAGCAGTCGTGGGGGACCAGAGAGGTCTCAGTGACTAAATTCATTGTTGAGTATAATTCAAGATAATGCTCTACCCAACGCCGGAGTTGATCATTTGGGTCCTGGATAATTTGACCCGTCTTGGACTTGGTGCTATGTTTGAAGTTTGTGGACCTAATGCCCTCTTATAAACTGTAACACTGCATTTATATCATTTTCAAAAGGAGGGACATAACTCGTTGAACAAGGGAGATAAAAAGGAGGTGACCTTACACAAAAAATGGAGAAAACACTGAGTGAATAAACTCATTATAGAATTTAATATACCTGTAAGAAGGAGAACTTACATATTTATTTATTTATTTAGGCATTTTTATATAGCGCTTATCATAAAGCTCTAAGCGCTTTACAATTATTAAAACATGTAAACTAAGTAAATACAAATGAGATACTAGGATAGTAACTACTATTTTATAGAAACAATGAAAATGACTATAAAACGAGGACACTTTGACACTTCAGGATCAACCCGAAACAGAAAATGAGGTAGGGCAAGGAGGGTGCATCACAGGTCATAGGCGGACCTAAACAGATGAGTTTTAAGGGACTTTTTGAAAATGGACGAGGTTTCACTATGACGTATATGGAAGGGGAGCTGGTTCCAGAACGTGGGCCCATGGAAGCAGAAGGAGCGTTCACCGATGGTCTTAGTTTTAGTTCTTGGGATTGAGAGGGTTCTACTGTCAATGGAAGAACGTAGTTGTCTTGTGGGGATGTAAGGAAGCAACAGTTCAGAGAGATAGACAGGAAAGTGAGGGTCAGTGAACGAGTTGAAGCAAAGATTGGCAGACTTGTATTTGATGCGAGAGGATATTGGAAGCCAGTGGAGTTGCCGCATGTGTGGTTGAATGTGGTCATGTTTCTTTGATTTAAAAATGGAGTCTGCATGCTGAGTTCTGTGCCTTCTGAAGTTTTTCTATGTGGTGTTGAGGAATATCACCAAAGAAGAATAGCACCTGGTCCTACACATAAAATAATAAAATATCAACTAATGGTAGAAAGCCTCCCGCGCCCTTCTAACAATTTTACTTAAAGATAAAATTAAAACATTTATTTGGTATTAAGTCTAAGACAAAGTGACAATCAAGTAGGCCTAGGCCTAATCAACACATCAACAAATAAAATGAATTAACTTGTAACTTCTACTAGAAAGAAATGGCAACCTCCAAAAATATATTTCAAAAAATTACATTTTCAAATGTATTATGAAAGTTATGAACTATAAATATAAGTACAAGGCTTTGAAAACTTGTCATATGGAAAACAGAGTTATTATTAGCTTATACTGCTTGAGTAGTACCAGCAAGTTTTGATGCAATAAGTTTAAGTAAAAATGAAAATAAATACCTGTATATAAACATTGCATTAAATTTGCAAGGTTTATTTTTTAAAGCAATAAAAAAAAGGTGATAATTTTCTACTTTATAATTATAAATATTTTAGACCAAACCTGTATTTCATAAGAAACAGAGATGGAACTCTGACCATATCACATTTTAGTAAAATATAAGAGAAACTACAATATTCTTTTTCTTGACTCAATTGTGCATTATTTGGCAACAACAGCAAGAGCAATGAATTGAATTTTACCATTAACCTGTTCTGCAAGATTCACAAAATTTTTGCATTCCACTAACCTATGTTGATGAGGTTTGAAAAGCTAATGCTGCCTTTTTAAACGTATATATTTTTAAAAACTTTGATTAGTAGCACGCCCAGATAGAAAGGAAGTTGTCTTCTTGGTTTTTTTCCACTGAACCTTTCAGACATAAGTTTTTACCCACAGAAACATAGGCTCTGTTTCTGTATTGTAAACATTGCATTGTGTTACACATTAATCACCATCTTTCTCTCCTGAACGTCCTCTATCTCCATGAATTGTTGAATACCTTTACTACAGTTCAATGTAAAGACATCTTTAACTAATCGTGTTTTATAAAAAACAAATTTTTATGAATTAAATTAAAAATTAAGAATCGTATCATTAAAAATGTCTTGCACTTTCTTTAAAAAAATGGGTGTTGCTTAATTTAAAGGTAAAAAATAATATCCAAGTGGGTAAATTTGGAATGTTAAAATGGTACATATTTAAACATTAATTAACATGTAACAAGTAAGAATTCCCCTTACTATTTTTCTGATTTGAATTACAGGGGTATTCATATGAAATCAAAATATTTTAGCATTCATTCTCCCAATGGTATTACCAGTAACTTTATCCAGATAGATCATTAAACTCATAATTTATGTGTTTTCCAATAAATATTATTATTTACCGAATACAATAATGTGGTAAAATTCTAAAATCCAATAAAAATCCAAATATTTGAAGGAAACTAATCTGATTGTAACTAAGGCACCCTCACATGCCCCAGATGCCTAACAATATACACATGGTGAAGTGAACCCTCGATTCCATCAGTATAGCATTGGGATTTTTACTGCTGATAAAGTGCATGTTATTATAACTTCAAATGATTATGTCTAATAACACTACCAAGACTAGCTAACTGGGGGGGGGGGTGTTGGGTGTGTGTGTGTGGTGCCCTCATTCTTTTGCTATTTATTAATTTCACAATTCCAGGAACCACGCCACAATCATATTATATTTAAATTGATTCTTGATCTCTAAATATTTTTTAAAACATTTCTTCATGTCACTTACTTTGAAATACCGGTACCGGTTAGGTTTTTTTTCACGGTCATATGAATATAGAAAATTTTTGGAACCATGCCGCGACCGTGTTATAGAGGCATTCACATTATACTAATTATAGCAAGGCATGCTATAGCATCGTTCTATTGTATAACATTGTAAGGGTAAGCTTAATTTAAATTCATTGATCTCATTCATGAATGTTTCTTACAGGTTTGAGAATCTGATTCCCAGATAAATTTAATGAGCAGGGAACAAATAGTGGCGGTGACCAGGAGGGTCACTAAAATCACAATGGGCTTGTCTCTTGCCATGCCTACTGGGATCATGAGTTCAAGAGGGGCAGCACTCTGGAAAACAATTTATGAAAAGGGATAAATATTTTAAGACAGTGACTAAATTTTGACATTACATTTTTAAGCTCACTTAAAATTGTATTTATCAAGATCTTATGAATTAGCTATCTTATTTGTGGCAAGTTGACTTAAATGAGGCACGCCTTTCAATTTAATTTAATATATTTATTCAGAGCAATGATTTCTGGGACATGAAATACTTAAATATATTGGCTCATGAATATGAAATAAAAGATTACAGAGCTTACACAAATATATGACAGCTGTTCCCATCGACAGAGTAAATTACTTGAAACATCACAAGGTGCTGAGAGAAAACTTCCAGCATCTGATAAAAGGAAATGAAATTTGGGCAATGACTTATGCTGTCCTTAGTGCAATCTGTTCATCATTTGAAGACAAAAAGTAAAGATGATTTTAATTCAAGGAAATCATCTACATTCTACACCAATATGGTTGCAACATTATAAATATTATAATTTTAATAATTAGATAATTAAAAACAACTATATATAAAATTATGTAGCAATTTAATAAATTACATATACCGGTACATAAATTACATTTCAACTTAAAGGTTATTCTAATAAAGCAAACCTGATTTTGAGCAGTTAGAATATAGGCTAGGATGAAATATAGTGACTGTTGAATGTGACACATTGGGATCAGATGAAGGCTTGTGGTAACGAGCATGTATGGGAAAGGAGATATTAATGACAGTCTGTTCTGTCATGGTGTCAACAGCATAAAGGTTCACATTTACAAATATATACAATTCATGTGACTTGGACATAAACTCAGCTGCTTCTATATTAACAGCACCATCAAGTCGAATCTGGAAAAAATAAATCAGATAAACAAATATTCAATCCAGACAGTTTCAGTTATATTTTTGAGAACAATGCCTTTTACTTTAACTTCAATGTTAATAAAAATGGATACTTCATTTTTTTTAAATATTCTATTCTATTTGTTTTGGTGCAAAAATATGTATTTGTTTTAAATAATTCTATTGAGGATGGTCATTCTGTTACTGCAAAATGAAAATTACTTTCACTTATTTCCTGTTTGTACTAGTTAGCTTTAAAATTCTCCTATGAAATGTTCCAACAATCCTACAGTTATTATGTTTACCTTGGGGCCTCCGAAAGGGACCATAGAACTAAGCTGAAACGGGTCAGCATATACACCAGCAGGAAGAGTCTCTATAAGCAACAATGAACATTCTGGTGATGTATATAATCCTCGCAGATCTTTATCCAAAACAATGTATGTGTTCAAATCTCTAATAGTAAAAGAAAGGAAAAAAGATTATATAACCGGTATTTAATTTCCTTGCCAATTTTGTGTACCTCAAGAGCAGAGTTATCATCCTTTTTTTTTTAAATTGACATAAATTTTTTTCTATGCACAGCCTGATCTCAATGGATCACATCCCCCCCCCCCACCCCTTTTTCCTGGTCCAAAAAAGAAGCCATTGGGACAGCCCACATTATATAAATATATAAAAAACACTGCTTCTGAAAAAGAGGAGAAAATTATGCCCAGAAGACAAGGCCCTGGTCCAGTTGAGCCTCATGGCCACCAGCCTGCTCCCCTCTAATAGACTAAACAATATTGCATCCTACCTTAATTAGAAGGATCAATATTTTTTCACTTGACACTCTTTCTTTTAAACAATATATTTTCATCTCAATAAATACAAACCAACCTGTGAAAACCTTGACCTATTAACGATCTGTCCATATGTAGATTAGAACCAGGTAGAAGTGTTTGAACGATTGATAGTTGCAGTGACACTAGTAAATGGCGTAAAAAATACATCTTCCCTAATTTTAACTCATCATGGTCTAAAAAAGAAGAAAACAAAAATTTCTTCAATCTCATAATTTACTTCTGTCTTTAAATACAACTAGATCAAACATGTGCCTAAGTGGTGAAATAGTAAAATGCAAAGTTCAGCGAACATGACCTCATCTGCTGATGTACAGTCAATGCTAACAACCTTATACCAAAATTAAGACATGTAAGAGTAGAAGACCAATTGGCCCTACTCATGTAAAGTTTTTTAACATACCAGTATTCATATATTATAATGTCCCTGAATCATGGTATAATCAAGAATCAAAGCAATTTATACAAAATAAAAACATTTATTTTTAAAAACTTAATAAATACCGTACTAATAAAATAATATGCCATGTAAGAAGTAGAAAATAGTCAACAGACTCAATATTCAAAAACTCAGACAATGAAATTTATCGAAGGAGTCAAATAATATTAAAGGACAGCATGTGATTGTTTACATTTTATTAACTGTGAATGTAATGTTATGATGATAGTTATACTTATGACGTTATGTGATTCTTTCTCTTGTAGGGTCGAGCCTAGACTGGTCTGGTTTGACCCTGGTTAGTTTGTCACAGGCGAGAAGATTAATGCAAGCTTCGGGGCTTAACCCTTCAGATCCAGGTTCCTGTTAGGGGCACTCTGCGATTAGATGTTCTATTGTTTCAGCAGCAAGGCCCCAGAGCTGGCAGTTCGGGTCCCTACATGAGTTGAGTCTATGCTGGTAGCTTTGTGTTGGGCAATATTCGATCCTCATTTTTGTAACGAGGCTCTGTTTGCTTTGTACAAGTCGCCACCAGTGATTCTATTTTTCTCATTCGTGACATGTTTTGATAGAGCTATCGAGCTGTTTCACCTGATGCTAATGTCCAACTGTTGAGCCACTCTTCATGAAACTGGGCTTTTATACCAGGCTTTAACGCCCAGCTAAGTCATGTGCTGGTCTGGTTGCGGCTGAGCTGCACATCTCTATTTGATTTTGTATTCTTTGTATACTTAGTATACAAGTACAAGTGTCAATCATAGTCAAAGACTTAAATATTCAATAACTATTACAATAGACAATAGTAAAAATGTATTTAAGGGTAAAGCGAAGAGATAGCACAGTGACGTCATTTGCGTGTTTTGTTAAGGTGCTGTTTTGGATTCACTCCCCTTATTTTTTGTTAATAGAGTTACATTTTCATTAATATGAGGATGGCACGTTTTAATTAAATTTTTAATGGTTGATTAATTATAATTTAAAAATTTTATTGGTTGGCTAATTATAATATTTTTATGTGTTCCGCCATCTTTGAAACAGCTTTATTGCATGACCTCATAGTGTTTTATTCATTTTCTGGATATTCTTATCGGTGGAACCTGAAATAAAGTGTGTAAAAGTGTATTCTATGAAACTGTAAGTTGGGTTTTCATTATTTCTTTATTTTAAAATTATTTCTGGCAATTTTTTATTGTTTTTGTTCATTTTCATAGTTTTCTTGCCACAATGTGTAAATTCCACGTGTTTTTACTTGCAGCTGTGACTTTAGAGATATATTTAGGGTTCAGGTTAGGTTTAGGGATCGATTTAGGGATATCAGTTTAGGGTCAACACCCTGGTTCCAATAGGGTCAAAACCTAGGTTTCGATAGGGTCAAAACCCTGGTTCCGATACTGTCAAAACCCACGTTCCGATAGGGTCAAAACCCTGGTTCGGATAGGGTCAAAACCCAGGTTCGGATAGGGTCAAAACCCTGGTTAAGATAGGGTCAAAACCCCCTGGTTCGGATAGGGTCAAAACCCAGGTTAGGTTTAGGGATACATTTAGGACATTTTTTCATTAATTTTTAACGTTTTAATCCTAATTTTAGCTAACGTGATTATTTTATTTTTCCAAACTGTCAAAATTCACGGGTCGCGGCAACCAAGATGGTGGCCATGGTAAAAAACACAGTGCCATCTCTTTGCATTTACCGTATTTAATTTAAACAGTATCAGTTCAGTTCAATCAAATATAGCCTAATAATTAATGGGCAGCTGTGCATCTGATTGTTTTCATTTAAATTTAAATTTTAAATTAAATGTTAATGTTATGTGATAATGATAGTCTGATAGTTCTACTTATTATAACGTTATTTTCATGACATTACTTACTCTATCTTATATTATATAATCTAGAAACTATAAATATATTTATACACGATTCATGGTTGATCGATTCATTATGATTCATTAGTCACTGAGTCATTGCATTGATTACTATGACTATGACTATACTATATACTATATTATACTATACTATTAATAATAATATTAATAATACTATTAATTTAAAATTTAATTAATTATTACTGACTGGCTTGTCTAGTCTTTACTACCTAAATCGGCTACACTTAAATAAACACTCACTGTCTTTACCTTCTTACTTCTTGATTACCGACTTCTTACCAAAAGTTGGCTGATTTCGATGATAAAAAAAAAATATGTGTTTTGCGATGTTAGTCATGAGCAGCTAGTCATGAGCAGCTAGTTAAATCTGCAACATTTCTACTTTCGTTTTTGCATCCACTGGTGACCAGTAGTTTTCATGATACTTCCGGAAACTTAAAATGGAGTATGTGGGACGGAAACTTAAGATTTCAATCCGCTATTATTTACAGTTTTACATTTTATTGTCTTATTTATAACTGTTAGTAGCTAGCATAAAATACACTTACTTGCTTGTAATCACTCAAGGAAAATGGGGAATCTGTTTGGGAAGAAAGCTAAAACGTCGAGGGTGACGGAGCAAGATAAAGCTATTCTTGTAAGTTTTTAATAAAATAAATATTTAAATAAAATTATTTATTTATAGTTAAGTGACTAAGCCCTAGCCTCTACTAAGCCTATCTATTCATTATTGCATTAACTATACTAGTGTAGGGTGACCAAATCATGAACTGGAAAAAACAGGACACACCCAAGGAGGGTTTGGAGGGATACCCTCCAGCTAAGAAGGGGGCCTCTGCTGGAAACTGTTGATGATATATATACCCATTTTAACCAGATTAATTAGACAGGAACAATGTGTGTCAATATGAAAATATATGTTAAGCTTTAATAATAATTTGACATAATATACAAGTAAATGTTTCGGCACATGCCTGCATCAGTTTAACTGTTTTGAGACCTAGAAATCTTTTTAAATTTACCTTCTCTTTTGTAATTTAATTTAAACTCATATGACTCATATTCATATCATAAACGAAAACAATAATTTTGCAGTGAATACTTATTTATTTATACATATAAGATCTATGGCAGAGACACGAAGCGTCAGCAGAGTGGTGGAGGGGGAACAGTGCAACCATCAAGCGAGCCCACATCATTACTGGCTACCCAGCTAGCTAAAATATTACTTGAAATTATATTATAAATTAGGAAGTTTTAGTGATTTGAAAATGTGGTTGGTTTTTAGAAACAGGACATTTAGGCGTCCCGAGAGACTTTTTCGGGACACCAGGTACGATCTTGAAAAAACAAGACAATCCTGTTTTTATGGGATGTTTGGTCACCCTATACTATACTAGTGTAATATAGTCGATTCTGACTCTTCTATCAGTGATCAATCATAATTAATGTCAATAATCACTATAATTATCAATACTATTACTATTAGACTATCATCTCTATCACATCAATAGTGAAAAATTGTATGAGTAGGCTGGTAATCCCTTGCCCTTATTCTTATTTTAGTGTGATTAATTATTTCTATATGAAATAATAAATTAAAAACTTCCTATTTACCATAAACATACGGTTAAAGTAAAGTAAAAATAATAGATAGTTAAACTAAGTAAGATTCAGAGGCATGAACTTACTGTGGGGTCATAACGATAAACTTCGTGTATTAACTGATGGTGTAACATCAGCCCTTCTCACCCCCTACACATACTCGAAAAATGAATTGCACTAGGAACAAGGTAAGTTTTAAAAAAAAGGTTTTAATGATATATTTCCAGTATTTCTTCTCTTTTTAATGGATTTCCAACTTTGTATATAAATTAAAAACATTTTGCCGATGGTTGTAATTTTAAATACTGACACTGATACTCAGCATTGCGCCCCTTCCCCTTAGTCAGGCCCGTTCTTAGGCATATGCTGACTACACATCCGCGTAGGGCCCTGAACGTGAAGGGGCCCCCGTGAGGCGCCCTCAATCCCCCGTTTTTTTAACTGGCACTGCAGCCGTCTGTGTCACTCATGTTACCTTCCTCATCCTGAAATTTATCATTCCGAGTTGAATTTGGAGGAAATAAGTGCCACCAGAGCCATTCTTAGGCATATAGGCAAACTAGGCAACCGCCTAGGGCCCCACTACCACCTGCATGTTCATATATTTCAGAAGTACACATTTTCTCTATTGGCGGAATTATCAATATGGTTAGTGGTTACACGCGAGCAAAGAGGAAACATTGATGAAGGCAGAATGGAGGTGCTGCAGTGGTGGGTGGTGTTTTCTCCTCAGCTCGAGGAAACTCCACCCCCGGGACCCCCCCCTTCTGGGGCCCCCAACCTACACTCCATGCTTAGGGCCCCCAAACTCCTAAGAACGGCTCTGCCTTAGTGTGTTGTTCTGGATATGCGGATGGTCCCTTGAAACCTTGGGGAGGGGTGTGCAGGAACATCATTTCAGCACAAAACTAAAACTTGGTTGGCTTGTTGAGTTGTTTAGTACAGGAGGCTCCACAGCACTTAGCAATTTAAATACAAACCTAATGTCAATATGACGTCTGGGGTGGGGGAGGGGTGGTTTTAGAAATTGATATCCGACTAATGCGGCGAATGCTTCCCAGATAACTTAATGCAGGACAAGTGAACCCACTGACAAATGAACACACTGAAGAAAAATGACCAGACACTCAAGTAACCACAGGTACAAGTGATTACAAAGCCAATTGAACCAAGGAACAAATTTGCCCATAGCCCTAGTCCAAACTCAACATCTACCTGTTTTGGGGGCACACACACAGTCAGCAACGAGCATCTGAGACGAACACAGTGTTGCTACCTGTGCCTTCCTAAAAAGAACATGGCAGAGGAGACCATGTTGCTCCTGCTATGCTGGCTCTTATCCATTATGTCAACATATGAGAGAATGACTTCGGTAATCAGCTGACCAGGGAAACATCGCCCGGCCAAAGTATACGAAGCGCGAGACTCGGCTACGAAGCGCAAGAATCAGCTATGTAAGATAATAGAATTCCACTAACATCAGAGAGTAATCCAGAGGCATGGCTGGTGCACGTTATCTTGACATACCGTAACAGCTAGGGATGAAGAAGAATGACTCAGTGGCTTAGCAAGGGTCAGTGACGCCCACTACCACAAAATTTTTTTAAAAACTTTCCAGTTGACTGAAAATGCCACCCCTTCATATAACGAAAAATGTTCCACCTGTGTAGGACTGCCCCCTCCACAGCCTCTTCCTACGCAAGTGGATGGAATTTTTCTTGGCAGTTGTGAGTCATCTCACAGTAGGCAAATAAGTTGTTTAAATGGTCTATGATTGGTCAGCTCTAATTAGACAGGAGGGACTTAATTATTTAAATGACACCTAAGTTAACTCTGATTTGTGATTAGTAAAATGAGAGACAGTGTTAGTGATTTTATATAATTACAAGGACTTTGTTTTGCTTTATAAGTAATCTGTTCGTTCTGGTGTTCAGTTCTCTATAGCCGTATATTTCATTACTTACCCCCTTTTTGCCTCTTTGTAAATCTTCGACTATTTATTGAAAACAAAATCATCACACATTTTAACAAAATGGACACTTTTATTAACAGTATTAATAAACATTGTCCAACATAACCCCCATCCCCACACACAAAAATCTAGACGCCTTACGTCCGAAATGGATGCAGGACCGTGGAAGGAAATGAGGCACCCTTGGTGAAGCCTGAAACTAATGCCCCTAGTATATAGAAAATGCCCCCCCCCCCCTCCCCCAATATTGACGCCCCTGGCGAGTACAACTATACAGGGCCTAGAACATGGGATACCAGTACTGAAATATTTAAACTTGTCTAAGACCACTACTGATTTAGAAAGAAATATTGGACACTTAGACATACCGTAATTAAATAAAGTTATAACATAAATGCAACATTTATTTGAATCTAGATACATCCAATTGGGACAACTATTATTACATTTTTTTGATCAAGAAGAGTTCTTCTTTATTTACTACAATGTTGCTGTGAAAAACATAAGTTTTATGAATATGTACTATTTTTGGTCTCGTAAAGTTTGTTAAATTGCTATTGTATTCGAACATAAAGCTGGTACTTTACTTTCATAAACACTTTCAATGACTTTCCATCATGTACATGGAAGTTCTTAATTTATTTGACTAGAAATAATTAATCGCACTAAAATAAGGGATTACCTAATTTTATTATATCACTTTACTCTAACTTATACTTATAGTAATTTAAGTAATATAAGTATTAGTAGTACCGGTAATAATAAAAAGGCCATATTATTAATTGTTGCAGCATGTGTCTTGACCTAATATTACTTCAGTCTAGACTGTTTAGAGCTAAAGCATCAACCACTTCTTTCCTCCTTTTTTGTTTTGATGTTGACATCACTGATTAAATGTGTAAGTGTAGTGATGTACCAATCCCACCCATACCTTGATTTGGAAAAGGTTGTTTATGTTCTAATTTGTTCTAAAGAATGCAATCAGGTGATGCAATTTCTAGCATTTCTTTTCTGGACATTTCCAACTTTCTCCCTAAAAATAAGGCGGCAGCTTTCTTTATCCGGGAAAGAGATTGTATCTATTTTTCCTAGACATTTACGAGATGTATTATACTTACAACATTGTACTCTTTATGTGTGTGTGTAATTTAATATTTGTATCGTTTGAGGATTGTACTTTTTCACTTGCTGTGCTGTGAGCTACTATAATTTTTATTTCTGTCTATTTGATCTTGTATTATTTGTATAAATTTAATAGTATAATTAAATTGAATATTTGTTAATATCACTAGCTTTGGTATCGTTTTTATTTGTATACTGGTTTTCAGTCCTTTCTTAAATTTTGTTTAAAAAAAAGAAGTAACTCAAGCAGATTAAATTTTACAAAGCTATATAACAGTACGTAAACTTAATACTTCAACTTCGTCATCATCATCAGTTTGACTACAGTTCGTTCCGGGCCCTGGCCTGCTCCACAACATCCTGCAATTCGGATTGATCAGTGGCTTTCTGCCTCCATGCGTGGACCCCCAGCTGATGTAAGTCCTTCTCTACACCATCAATCCATCTCAGATTTTGTTGACCCCTTGTCCATTTGCCCCTAGGTTTCTGCCTATAGATCACTTTTGATGCTTTACAATTCGGCATTCTCTCAAGGTGTTCAGTCCAGCGCAGTCTGCCTTTTTTAAATTGTGACTATCAATGGATCCTCGAACAATTGATAAATCGTTTTTTACCAATTCTCCATATACTCGACCATATATTTCCTGAGGATTTTCCTCTCCACTGCATTGAGAAGGTTCACTGCTTTTTTATTAAGGGACCAAGACTCACTTGCGCAAATTACAGCTAGTCTTATGATAGTGGTGTATAATGCCGTCTTTGTTCTCCATGAGGGTTTTTCGCTTCCTTGTACTTGTAGCTATTGTTGGGTGAAATAAGAACGGTTGCTTTCAGTTATCCTTTCTCTCACCTCTGTCATTGTTTGATTCTGCTCATTTATAGCAGCTCCTAGATATTTAAAAGTAGCCCATCTCTCAAAGGTGTGGTTTCTTATTATTATGTTGTCATCAGTATGTGTGTTTCGTGACATTACCTTATACTTTGTCTTCACTTTATTTATCTCAAATGCATAATATTGAACTTTCTTACTTAGGAGCCATACATAAATGATGTCCCACTATTTTGGAAAAATTTGTTAACTTTCCTCACTCAACTAAAGCCTCTTATCAAAAAAAAAAAAAATTTGACTTCCTCGTCAAATTGTTGCATAGAAGCTTTCAATACATTTAGTACCTTAAAAGAGGTTCAAATTTTAAAAACCCCTCCCCTTTGCCGCTAGGGCCGTGCGTAGGGGGTGAAGGGGGCATCCGCCCCAGACGCCAACTTCAAGAGGGCTTCATGCTTCACTTTTATGACTGTCGTGAGCCTATGACTATTAGTTGGTATGAAAATCTTCTATTTGTTTAGGTATGAAATATAAGGTGATGCTGACTAATACCGAGTCATAGAATTTATATTTGACATAAGTAGGAATCTTACAAAATTTAACAAGTATTGGCGTAACTATAATACTGTTAGGCGGCATTTGCATCTTACATGTCTATCATAGTAATAGTAATATTATCAAATCATGAAACAAAAGTTGCCATCAACAACATTACTAATAATTACTGGTATGCAAGGTCATTCTTTTCTTCTGTTTTGTTTTATCGCGGTGGAAAACATGTTGTATTTGGGGAATAATGCATTTTTAAAAAAAATTAATTTAATTCTTATTAGGCGCACTTAAGGTGACGCCTTCTGTTAGTGAAAGTTACTAAGTTATACGGAGAATTATAAATAAATTAAGTCAGAAACCAGATTTTACCAAAAGTTTTAGTTTGGATGGATAGTATATAAATCCATTAAGCTGTGGGTGCTCTTTAATAATTCATCCAGAGAGAGTGAAACAATAACTTTGGAACAGACTATAAAGCCCTTTTTAGCACACTTTTTGCAGCCTTACATTCACATTGTTTTCTTTCAAATCATGTACAAACATGGGATATTCCTTTTCGTTACCACTTGTCTCCATGGTAAAACATAACATTAATACTTAGACATTTATTTTCAGCAACTCAAGCAACAAAGAGATAAGTTGAAACAGTACCAAAAGAGAATAACTGTACAATTGGAAAGAGACAAGGAAGTTGCCCGAGCATTACTTAAGGATGGAAAGAAAGAGTAAGTTTAAAGTCATAACAAAAAGGAGCCAAGAGATGTGGTTTTACTTGTACTTGTATGGGTTTTTTAAGGTGACCTATATGAACATTGTTCTGTACATGTTTCACTAGATTTAGGAAAACAGTTATACATGTTCATTAATGGTGAGGACCTTTGTTTATTTCTTATAAGCACTTCAGTTTTAATCAAATGAAACTTTTTGAGTCATTCAAATTGACCTCTGGGATTGCTAGGCTATCAATGTGGTACAGTCTACATATATTATCAAGGTATATTGAGACATTGATCTGTATTTGTGTATATACCTATTGCGGGAATCATTCCTGAATTAACACGTAGTTACATAATAGAGGCTTTGAGAACATTTCAGTTGGTTGGTAGTAAAACACAATTACAAATACACTTATTTTAATTCTTAGCATGAAATAGAGCAGAAATTAATTTTATCTTCTGGCATTGATTGATTTTTTTTACATTGATTCTTACCTGTCCAGTAAGGCAAAGTTAATGCTGAGGAAAAAGAAATTTCAAGAAAGCTTAATGGCAAAAACTGATATTCAACTAGACAACATTGAGAAATTAGTAAGTTTTTATTTATGCTTATTTTTTTTATCAATGCCTACTTATGCAAATATCTTAACTTCTTGCAAAAGAAATAAACTCATAACATTTAGATCTTCACATTGATTAAGAATTATAATCAGTATATTAAAAGTTTTGTTTGACAATTTTAAGGAACAATTTTAATTATTATTATATCTTCAGTGATGACCATTGAACTTGTGATGATTCACACTATGCAAGGGAAAAAATAACAAATCTATGAAATAAATTACCAAGTTAGATGTTTGATCTATTTCATATGATCAGTTACCCCCTTCTTCATTAAATATTTAATCCCTGATTCTTTATCTTTTGCAAAAATGTGTGCTGTGAAACCCATAGTTCAACAAAAATTACTATTTAGTCATTCACACAATAATTAATAGGTCATTTTTTTCTTTTGTTCTGTTTTATCAGGGAGGAAAACATGTTGTATTTGGAGATTGATGCATTAAAATTTGTTATTCTAATTTTTTATAGTGGCACTTAAGATGAGGCCCTATTTTAATAGAGGCCTAGTAAATCATAAGGAGAACTGCAAATAAATTATGTCATTCCAATTTCTACAACAGGTCCATGATTTAGAGTATGCTCAGGTAGAGCATGAAGTTATCAAAGGGTTGCAGATTGGAAATGCCTCCCTCAAAAAGATGCATGAGGTAATAATTCAGTGCGTCTATTTAATTTTAAATTTATACTTTAGTTAAAAGATATGTTTTCAAATTGTTTTTTTATGATAATGAGCTGGTTTAATGTGACCATCAAGTTTCAATGAAGCATCTCATTTGAGACTCTGTGACTTACAAAGTTAATTTATATAAATTTTCAGTTGTGCTCATAGGCTTCAAATATAGAAATAAATTCAAAACCAGTCAAACATTGAAAGGAAAAGATAATGGTTTGGCCACGTTGAATAACACTGGAAGTGAATAATATGGAACATTAAAAATAATATGATTTAAAATTCTTTATACCCTGTAACATATTTCTTCACGGTTTAAAACATCTGCTATTGCTACTTTCTCTTAAGATTTTGTCTCTTGAAGATATTGAACAGATCATGGAAGAGACCAGCGAGGGCATTGAGAAACAGAGAGTAAGCTATTAAATTTTTTTTTCCATTTTAAAGATAGTAATTATCATTAAAAATTTTAGAATTGGTGAAACAATTTTTACATTGTTGGTTGTCAAATGACAATGATCATTTTGTTAGCTTTGACTTTGAGTAATTTCTTAATACTGGTATATCAAAATATTTATTTTTGAATATCATATTGCAGGAAATTGATGAGCTTCTGTCTGGTGGCTTGTCAGCTCAGGATGAAAGTGATGTTTTAGCTGAACTTGATGAAATTATGAAGGTAAATAGTCAGCTAGGAAAGATGTTTTAAACTGACACTATATTGAATGTTGCTTTAAGCTATCTTTTGCTTCAGTTAAAGTAGGATGATTGATTCAGTTTCTTTTTTAAATAAATTTTTACTATTGTTATTTTATTTTAAAGATACTTATAAGCTTATCAATATATTTAAAATGAAATTAGAATTATTTAAGAAACTCATTTCAAGCTTATCTGATAAATTATTTGTTAATATGTACCAAAATTTGACTTTGCCAATTTTTATCAGCAAGCGGAAGGCGCTTTTGATGAAGATGTTGAATTACCTGAGGTGCCTACGGAACAGATTGGAGGTATGTAAAACAGAAAAATATTCACTCCTTACAACACTGACAATTGTAAAATTACTAGTTTGACAAAATTTTTAGGCGAAACAAGCAGTATTATTTTGTTGGTCCAATCTGTCTTTAGACATTTGAGAATGATCTCAGAAATGTAACACTTAACAAAAATATCAGTTACACAACCACTTGTTGAGGCATAAATTAACTAATTAAATTTATCCCAATATCAACTACAATGAATTTTATCTGCCAATGAAAATATCTGTTTCAAAACATAACCCTAAACTTTTTCAAAATTTAAACAAAATAAATTAGTGTATTTCTACGCATACTTATTAAACATGTGCTCTTTAATTCTTTTTTCTTGATCAGAACCCACAAGACCTGTCGTATCCAAAAAGAATAAAACAGCTGTTCCAGCCTCTTAACAACTTTTTAAAAAAATAGCATTTAAAACAAGTATTTGATGTTTCTGAACTTTTTTTCCATTTTCACCATAATTGTAATTTGTTCATATTACCTAAATTAAATGTTCATTGTAAAAACTAGACTTATAATGAGTGACAGACACAAGTTTGATACCTTATAATGAATCACATGTTTAATTTATAGCCGAAGAGAATAAAAAAATATTTTAAAGAGGAAACAAGGTGACGTTTGTTTCCATTTTTCGTAATGCTTGTTGAGATTGTCTACGACAGGTGTATTCATTTTATTATGATGATTGAGTACTTTTATAGCGCTTGTGTCCATGCTATTTCAGCCCACGCACAGCGCTCTGATGTTCCAAAATCTATTTGAAGAAAAAAGTCTTTGAATGGTGCTTACATGACTTTTACCTTTTCACATGTATTTGTTTTCATATCAGTGGTTAACAAATCTAAATGATCAATAATTAAGACAATATTGTCACCAAGGGAGCTCGTTGATGGCTGATTTCTACTCTAGAGAATTACTTAAAGTATCTTGCTTTTAAATTTTTGTTATTGTAAAATGTTGTCTTTGTTAAAATAAGTATTTATTTACAAAGTTGCTGTAGGGAAGTGAGAGGCTGGGATTAAACAAATATTAAAAATATTATTGTTGGGTTGTAAGACAAAATTTAAAATCGAACGAAAGATAATTGAATGCACTATATGTTTCCATACTTACTTCTGTAGTTAAAATAAAATAAACTACCACAAATGACATCCGAATGGCATTGAGTCTAAAGGATCTGAATAGAGGTGATGTGTGTCCGGAGCCCTTAAGACTAAATGCTATTTGGATGTCATTTATGGTAGTTTATTTTAGTTAAACTGAAGAAGTAATTTTACAAACTTATAGTCCATTCAATTATCTTTCATTTGATACCTAATTTTGTCTTACAAACCCTACAGTAATAATTTTTAGTAAACCCAAAATCTCACTTCTGATACCCAGGTCCGAATAGTCGCAGCCTTTTATTTATGTGCCGAAAATGAATTATATGAATATGTACAATGTATAAAAAAACATGTCCATTTATTTGGATCCTGATCTTAGCTTATCTTATTTGCTTGGTAGCATATTTAAACTCTCCATTTTGAGTTACTCTGTATTCTACTTTGTGTGATTTAGTGCAAGAAAGCGCATAAGTTAGTTTGAATTTTCAGTCTTAATAAAACAAACTATATTTAGAATAATTTCTGTTGATGCTTACATGTTTTATCATTTGTTTTAACATTGCAAAAGATAGCTGGGCATAAACTGTAATGTGACTGCCTTTTTTTTTTATTATTAAAGACCACATTAACTTAATTTCTATATACTTTGAATGCCAGCACATCAACTATTAACTATTGTTGTACAAGTTTTCAGATTAAATAGATTTAATGGAAGAATATTCCAAATGTTGTTCACTAAATTGCGTTATGCAATGAAATATGCTGAGAATGGGTAACTTCATTTAATTGCCTTATTTATTATTTAGAATTTTACAACCTACTTGATTGGTTTTCTTGTCTTGATAACAATGTGTTACCAGGAGGATCATTTTTTTTTTTTAAACAAGGGAATCACTTGCTACACTTATAAAGATAACATAGGCTACGATTGCCTAATACAAAGTGTCCCAAAGGGGATTTTAAACTGAAATGTTATATTTGTTTTCAATAGCTAATTATTAGTTGAACTTTTTTTGATTAACTTTTTTTTTTGGTTTGATTATCTTTTATTGTTTTAGATAAATGTTTTTCCCCATCCCTTATATTCCTTTTTTTTTTTTTCATTTTAATTACGGTTTAAAACTTAAATGATTTTTCAGCTGCTTACAATGGAGAAATACCTTTCTCTGAAAATAGTTCTCCAATTGTTTACTCGGCCCCAACATTTTTTACAAAATTTTTATATATTTTTTTTCAATAGCTAATTATTTGTTGAACTTTTTTTGATTAACTTTTTTTTTTGGTTTGATTATCTTTTATTTTTTTAGATAAATTTTTTTCCCCATCCCTTATATTCCTTTTTTTTTTTTTCATTTTAATTACGGTATAAAACTTAAATGATTTATCAGCTGCTTACAATGGAGAAATACCTTTATCTGAAAATAGTTCTCCAATTGTTTACTCGGCCCCAACATGTTTTACAAAATGTTTCAATCTGCAAACTTGTCACCATTACTTTTGTATAACTCATCAGTGAGGCTGTTGTTAATAATAAATGTATGCATTCTTGCAATGTCTGTTTTGAATTTTTAATACTAGAATACTACTAGAATGGTTTATAAATTAATCTTGTTCAATAAGTGCAACATTCTGACACCTTCTCTTAAGCACAATTCTGACACCTTCTCTTAAGCACAATTTTGACCAGATGACCCCCTCAAAAAAAAAAAATCCATGCTTTCTCTCAATTTGAGAATATTGAATTTTTATTATATCGAGTATGAGAAAAGGAAAAAGAAAAAAAATCACATGAAAAATATGCCATTTTGATTTTTATAATAATCTTATAAGTGGATAAGACAATTACCTGAGTCTTTTTTTAACCAGTCGCACTGATTTTTAAAAGGAGGAAGACACAGTTTTATTGCTTTTATAGAGTTAAGCTGTTACCTTCTGAAGAACACCCACCCCCACAAAAAAACCTAAAGCAGGATTTATATATATTTTTTAAAGCTAGAAACTGCTTATTTTACCTAAAAAATGATTAAAATAATAAATATATATATATATAAATATGTAGGCCTATAATATATATATATATATATATAAAAATATGTAGGTCTACCTATTCTGTATACCACAAAAATCCTGCGAAATAGCAAAAAATAAGCAGAACGTACCCTAGGGAAAAAAAACTCAAGTATTGAGGTATTACTGTATATCAAACCACTACAGATACATTTTGAGTCTCCAGCACCAGGAGTTAATCCTTGCAAGGATTAATGGCTATTCACAGATGTCCATATTCTTTGATTAACTCTTGAGGATGATGAGAGAAATGCTTGTTGACTTGTCTTATCTACCAGGTGATGGCTACTGATTTCAGTTTCTGCCTCTAGTCCAATTTGTTTCTCTTGCTCCCATAGTCTCCTACAGACACACTGTGTCAAAATTTCAGCATCTAACTCTGATCCAGGAGTCATCCTTGCGGTGTAGCTCTCCATCATTTGTTTATAAATCTAGCTGCCTGCTTCACTCTTGATTCCAGTCATATTTGGATTTTCCTTTGTGATCGTTTTTTTTTTTTTTTAAAAATATGTAATGTAATGTGTTGTTTCTGTTGCTAACAACCTTCTTTACCGGGGCGTGGAATATCGGTAGCAAGGCCTATGATTAGAGTTAGTGCAGCCTTGAATCAAGGCTTGAGAACCAATCTTTATTCCAGTCATATTTGGATTTTCCTTTTTGATCGTTTTTTTTTTTTTTTAAAAATATGTAATGTAATGTGTTGTTTCTGTTGCTAACAACCTTCTTTACCGTGGCGTGGAATATCGGTAGCAAGGACTATGATTAGAGTTAGTGCAGCCTTGAATCAAGGCTTGAGAACCAGTGGAGTATCGGTAGCAAGGACAATGATTATGATTAGAGTTAGTGCAGCCTTGAATCAAGGCTTGAGAACCAGTGGAGTATCGGTTGCAAGGACTATGATTATGATTAGAGTTAGTGCAGTGACGTGAGTGGGCCAAGATTTAAACGGTGCCATTTGAAATAATAGATGACCAGCGCCCTAGCTAAAGTTGGCGTTCGCTCCTTATTATTTTCTCTCTCCATTTTTCTATTTAGACACTTAGACCTTACCCATTTTTTTCAGAGTTTAAATCTCGGATTATCGGTAAGAATTAATTTTTGGTAAATATAATTATGCTTCACTGCATCTTTTAATCACTTTCGTTGCGGTTGACCGAAAATGCCGCCCCTCAATTGTAATGGACTAGCCCCCAGCGCACCTCCCTCAATCATAATCATACGGCTCATACGCTTTTTGCAGTCAGCAAGTCAAAGTGACTAATTAGCTGTGACGGGGGTAGGGTAGGAGGTGCCACCCATAGTGGCCATAGCCATGGGGGGCCAAGAATTTTGCCGCCCCCACCACACGAATTACTTTGCATTTTTTTTTTAAAGGATGCCCATCAATTTATGTAGATTGTCGCCCACCCGTCCTTCACCAGTACAAGTAGTTGTGTGTTGAACCAGTGGGCGTGGGTGGAAGTGGCCATGCCTACGCAACATACTGATGCATAGACATAGCCTTATACAGATTGGCTATACTATTAATATTATACTAGATTTAGTGTTGGATTTGGTTTCGCGTTGGAAGTCAAAACGATAGAAAAAAACGTTAATATTATTGCCTACGTAATAATTAATCTATTTATAGTGTCTCAGAAGATGGCTAGTGATAAGTAGGAGGATTGTTTCTTTATTTATTTAATCCGAAATTTTTTCAAGGGAAACAATGCAGAACTAAAAACGCAGGGCGTAAATAAACAATAATCATGTCTGAAGGCGAAGAAAAGACCCCTGATGAACAAGGAATTGCGTTACCAACCCAAGCAACTGCAAATGAGCTTATCGAACCAGAACCTAAGTCCGAAAGTCCACAATCTATAGCTTCCCCGGATACTAAAGCCAAATTTAATTCTAAAGGTGCTTAAATTGATTTTTAAAAGGTTTTGCTCTACACTTTTACTAGTTTTACCACAAATTGTAGTGAAGTACAATCAAGTCTTCATACACTTATTTGACTTATAAATATTATTAACATACTCATACACTCTTCTTGGTCTAATTTATGTCCGGTTACCTTCTTCTACACTTCTTTAACTTTTTGGCCATAATTCCTTACTACTACGCTAATGTTTTAAAAATTAATAGTAACCAATTTGTATTATTAGTAAGGAGTCTTTACTCTTTACTTTAACTTTTAGCTTAATTTTCTGAATTTCTCTGAAAATAATCAGACTAAAACTAATACTAAAGGCCCACTAAGTCTAAAGCAACTGCAGGCAACAAAGACTTGATAAATTGCAAGTATTAAGACAAGTTAAAAAAAAATAAGACTTAAGGGCTATCCATAAACAATGTCACACTTCTAAAGGGGTGGGGGTGGGTGGGCAAGAATTTGTGATGATGTGTGAGTGTCACTTAAGTGTGCTACTAAAAGTATCTAATTTGTGTTACAATTTCTTTTACAACGGGGTTGTGTTTGTTGTTATTAAAAATTTGCCAAATTTTTGTGACGTTCTATATAGATGTCCCCTGACTCTGACAGAATCAGGCCCAACTGAATAATCCACATTTCATCTACTGAATTTTACATAAATTTAGCAAGAATCATTCATAATCATAGTCAGCCAAGCTTTTCAAGGTTGTGTAAGTGCTAGTTGTGATTTCAAGTTGATGAAAGTAAAGTAAGAGTAAAGACCAAAGCAAGTTTATATATATTTTATATATATCGGTGTATATATATATATATATATATATATATATATATATATATATATATATATATATATATATATATATATATATATATATATATATATATATATATATATGAGGGAAAAACAGTATACTCACTTTTGACACGTTTTTTAAAGTTTTTTTATTTAATAATAAATGTAAAATAAAAGAGTTTCTGATAAATGCAATTTTTAAGCTATTTTATGTATATTTTAAACTATGTAATTGAGTCTTTTCTTTCAGTGGATATTCTTCTAAAGCCAGCCGGAGATGCTCCTATTATGAAAAAAAAGAAATGGACTGTTGACAGGACAAAAAAGATTTGCTGGGTTTCAGATTTCATTAAAAAATACATAAAGAATGAACCATCAGAATCATTGGTAGGTGGATAAACAAAGAGTGGATCGGCAATGTGTTAAATTTTTATTGTTGTTAAAATGAACTAAAACTCATGAGTTTAATGCACAGGAACAAGGATTCATTTCTACCTTCAATGCTTTTTTTATAGGAGAGATTTTTTCCATTCATATTTTATGAATGTAGTGAATAAAATGCTTTTTGTAAATTTTTAATTAAAGAAAATTAAACAGTTATTCTTTTTTGAAAATGATCTCGGTTAAAAATAAAACAGATGACATAGAATTGTCTAGCATGGGTGGTTTTTAAGAGGTTTGTAACTCACATATAAGGATGGGGTCCTTGTTTTTGTAATGGGTAACTTACGGTGGGCAATCCATTTTAAAACATTAAAATATTATTCTTAGTTTCTTTTTTTACAGTTTTTATATGTAAACCAGTCATATGCACCATCTCCAGACACAGATATAGGATCTATATTTGATGTAAGTAAATGGGGTACAGTACTTGGTCAAAGAAAGCTACGAATGGGATTTATTACACTAAGAGAGGACATTTGGAAATTCACACCAAATTTTAATATATTATTGTGTAACATTACATCAATTTTCTTCTGGCTGGAAGCATTAAAATGAATTCCTAAAAAAATATGTTGAAGACATTTTGAACTTATTTCATTCATAAGAAATTTGGTAATATGAGTAATTTAATATCCAAAACATTGGTGGAAGGTTCACATTGCAAAGGCTTTAGTGTTTAAGGTAAATGTTATGTCTCTCTCTAGATAATTTTCTATCTTCATTGGGTAAAATAAAAATCACACCACATTATGCCTAAAACTAATCAATAATTTGTTTATGCCTAAACTCTAACTCAGAAGCAAGACAAAATTATTTTTCCTTAAACACCAAACATTGTAAGCACTCTATACATTTTGTAATATTTTTTCTTTGCCTAAGTAACTTAAAATAATTTTATATAAAAATTATGCTTAATGTATTTACTGATTTTGCTTCTTTTAACAGTGTTTCGGAAGTGATGGCAAACTTGTACTTCATTACTGTCGGACACAAGCCTGGGGATAAGTTTTTCATATAATTTTATTTTAAAAAAGATATCTTGGGTATATTTCAACTTCCCTTCCATTCTGCATTGCTGTTATTGAACTACTGTGGATTATTTTTTGCTGACAATAAATTTTTTTTTTCATCAGTAAGTTGGGCGAGTGAATTTTTTTTCTGAGAGAGATCATTTGGTCAAAGAACCCGATCTTTTAATCATAATAATTGACATTTGTTATTCAACATCCCAAGTCTTTAATTTATCTGTAAAACTCTCTTGAAAATCTTTGGGTGTGAACTATTACTGCAAGCCGACAATTCTAACAAAACAATAATTATAATTAATCACAATAGATGAATAATAGAACTTACAGTGTAAAGGAATGCAAAATTCCTATGTTCTTTTTTGTTTTCTTTTATAAGTAGTTTTTAAAAAATGTAGTTAAATTATATCTTTAAAAAGTACCTGTTTTTTTCAAATGGAGTGTAACAAGTATTCTAGTTTATTCTGCCTGTGATGCCAGCCTATTTCTGTTTGATATTATAGATCTATAATCTTCTGAGATTATTTATTATTAATTAAGGGATTGTAATGTGGGGCTGAAATTAGTAAAAATCCAATACCTTACTTACAAATATGATGTGGAAGTATCCCTTCTCATTTTTTGGATGGTTAGCACTGGATGTTTTTCTCATCTATTGTTCGGTTAAATTTATGTGGTTTTTTTTAAAGTTTATTTTGTAAAAACGTGTTTGTGGATCAACGTCTTGATTGTTTTTAATATTTATAAAAGTTTTCTTTGGTTTCAAAAAGAGAGATACTAAAGTGCTATAAAGTGTAAACACAAATCGAGTTACAGATTGCAGCTGTCCTTTGCCAGTTGGCATGTATGTGTACTTGGAATAGTTTTCTCATCTGGTGTTTATGCTTTGTCAATGATTGCAAGCTTCATGAGCCTAGATGTATTTAACTGTTGAGTAAAAGATTTATTTGAATATCTGCCTTGTAATAAACAGTGAAATTTAATGATTTTACATGTAATTGCTTTTAATTTGATTTATAAATTGATATAATTTGTTGTTTATATTACTGCTATATTTTTAAAATAAAACAATTTGTATATTTATTTTACTTATGCTTGACTTAAATTCTTTTTAAGAAAATTTGACCTAAATGACATTTTTTTGCATTCTGTTTTACCGTGTACTATGTATAATGCATCAAGGACATTTGTGGTTAGCTTCCATAGCAGAATTGCGGTCTTATCTTTAAGTATTTTTTGCAGAGTTTTAATCCCTTAAACCTTGACATTCTCAAGCATCAATCAAAATATCAGGCTTTTTAAATAAAAGTAGAAATTAACAAATTAAAAATTAAATTTTAAAATTAAAGTATGTATTTATTTTTTCAAATTCGCTTAATTTTTGTAAAGTGTACAAAATCATAAAACTAAAAAGGGCAATACTATGTCCTTGGTGCAGGAGGCAGCACTTTTGACAACAGACCTGAAGGTCAGATGTTTAAAGACCTTCAGAGTTAGTCTCAACTTGCACACACACACACATACATATATAGATTTATATCTCATAAAAATCTATTTGTGAAGCTGATTTTTCACAACTCTAAAAAGACATATTAAATTATAACTGATTTAGAAGAAGTTGTAGTTCATTCTGCCATATTAACAATGCTTACCCCACTCTTCCACAAATACAGCTTACATTTGCATGTGTGAGTAGTAAAGTCATTATATTTCACTCTTTATTACATTAACATAAAAGTCCTTTTAAATTGTGAAAAAATATGTTACACTAATTTTTTAAAAATCAACTTCAATTAATTTCAAGGAATGCAGAAAGTCTGATAATTCGATTCTACACTGAAGTAGAGAGGCATTTTTTAGTAACAAATAACGTCCAGAGTATCAAAACAATCCCAATAATAGAGCTACATTGATATGCTGTTACCGGTAATACTTTATAATGAGGAGAGACTATTACAGACCTGTTTACCCTCAAACCCCTAAAATCGTACAATCTGGTCTCAAAATCGTACAATACAATATCTCTATAGTAAATAAATAAAACTACAAAATATTTCCCTATATTTTGTAAATGTCGCTGACTGGATCTTATAAAATACCGGTATGCCCCAAATCCAACGCTCCACTGCAGAACAGTTGGATCATCTATTTTATTTTAAAAACCATCTCTAGTTTTACAATCGCCGCGGTTCTGAGGAACAAAATAATTCTGTACCAAAACTACGTCACACGCTTGGTAGCAGTCAAAGGCGATGGCGGGTGAAGTTGTCGCTAGGGCGACCAATCCAAATATTACTGTTGACGCAGCAGCCAGCTAGTACACTGTGATCCCGTCAATACGATACGTCGGGGTTATTTATTTATATCCTTTGACACTCCCACCAATCCCCTACCCATGGGTGTCTCGTATGCCACAATTTCCGTCATCAACAACCCCACCTCCCCAGTCCCCATGAGTCCTTTCGAAATATAATAAGGATGGTCCCAACTTTAAAAAAAAAAAAAAATCCAACCAATCGTTTTTCTCGTTCATATTCACTGCCAGATCTTCATTAGAGACGGCTAAAACGTCCAAACCCGAAAATTTATTAATTTTTTTTAAATCGGGGGAAAAATTTTTCCACCGGGTCTCTGAAAATCGTAGTTTTGGCGGGTCTTGGCGTACAATCGTAAAAGACATCTAAAAATCGTACATTGTACGCCAAAATCGTAAGAGTAAACAGGTCTGCTATTATTTTGTCACTGAAATTAAGGGTGAAATAATTAGTTGGCATAAATTCTCTGAAATTAAATTCAGATGCAATAGTATATAATATGATTTTAAATAATCATATACATTTGAATTTTGGAAGTTCAAAAAAAAAAAAATTAAAATTAAAAGAACACATTATATTGTGGGCAAAATATATATTTTAGGTACCATTATAAAGATAACTATTTTTAAACCATATTTATTTGAAATATGTTGCTGCTGCAGTGTATTACACACTGATACTTTAATTAAAACATCTTTAAAACTTACACAAGTTATATTATTACAAAATCAAACAAGAAATTGTCCATTTACATAAGTTCTCAAATGTCATCCTATGAATTTTTTTTTCTAAGAAAATACATGTACGTTCAAAGTTGTTGTTTTTTTTAATATCTATTTGGGAAAAGATTCAATTTTGTCAGCACAAATGATTTTTCTGGCACAAACAAATAAAGTACTTGATACTGTCAAACAAATGTTTCTTACGTTAAAACAAAAATGTTTAAAATTTAATATATATGCAGTATATATATCTAATACATAGATAGTTATGTAAGGGCTATGCTCAAATATTGGTACTGCAGAACCAGTTAACCCAAATTGAGAAGAAAAAAAGAGTTGGTCAGCCAAAAGGGAAGAAAAAAATGGCTAGGTTCGGATGGACACAAGCATTTTTTATTAAAAAATATTGATGAATATTTTTCTGATTGCCTAGAAGTTCATGGCTTTAACATTAGCCATTGGCATTTGTCCCCTGAAACTTTAATATTATTTATTTCGTCTTTTTATTGAAAAAAAATAGTTTTATACCTCCAACAATAAAACAAGAAACCTTTTACAATGAAAACTGATCTCTATGAAATTAAAAGAAATAACATTTTACTACAAGTACACATAAAAAATGTGATTATTTAAAAATTAGGAAATCTCCATTGCAAGATGGCACCGTCTTCGCTAACACTGACAATACTCTTATTGTCAGGGGCTATCCTTATTCTCATGATGTTAGCACTGTGACCTTTACCGACATGAGTCACCACCCCTTCCCTGTACTGCCAAAGCTGAGGATTGACAAAAGTATGGTTTAATAAGCTTGAAGAGAATTATCAAAGAGTTTGTAAAAATAAATTTTTCAGAAGATAACATTAATGAACTCCTAATATTTTCATACCTTAAAACTTTTAAGGGTAGTTGAAGAATTTCCCTGACTAGAGCCAAATAAAATTGTTACCTTAATGAGTTTCTCTTCCCCACCAGTGACAAAAGCCCGCTGGTCGGCTGTTATGTCCATGAAGTTGATGGCCCCCGCTTTGGCCCCCTCTAATTCTCTAATCATGGAGCCATCATATGTTTCCCAGTATCCCAGTTTGTGGTCAGTACCGCAGGTGATAATTTGAAGCTCTTCTTCTCCATAGCAAACACTTTTAAATAGAGTGTTGGCAAAAACAACATTTTTCCTGATACCTTTCCTGTACCGGTATATTAAAAAAAAAGATTATTCAAGTATATGAATTTTCTTTGACTGTTGTAACTTGATATAAATATAACAAATTTTCAAAACATTTTTCATAAGTTTTGTAAATTAAGTCACAAGCATAAGCAACTGGAAATAAATTGTGATAGTTTATTATATGTTAATTATTAATTTCCTAAAAAAATAACTTAAATCATGAATGAATATTATTTAATACAGAAACTACTGATCCCTAAATAAGAGTCGATTACCCTTAGTGGTAACACAAGTAATTACGTTTTTAAGTTTCTTTACTTTTTTATTCTGTAAAAATATATAACTGTTAAATAAAAAGTTATAGTAATTTTGCAATCATTTGATAACAACAACGAGTGAAAAATATCCATAAAGACTTACGTCAAATCCCAAATGATGGTTGTACCATCACCACCAGCTGAGGCACACTCCTTGTCATTTGATCGGATGACAATCTGAGCTACAAAGTTTTTGTGTTCCTTCATGCTGTGCCGTAGATTGGCCCTCATTTCTTTCTTGCCGTTATGGTCAACGCCCACCACAACATCCCAGACTCGCACCTGAAATAAGAATATTTTATCATTCTTATTTGAAAAAGAAAGTAGGTCTGCTTATTATGCATCGCAATTCACATTATCCAAATGATTTTTAAAGGTCATTTTTAAAGGACAGTAGTGGTATTTTTTTTATTTAGACATAGTGGAGAATAATTTATACATTACATAGAAATGTCCTCATAAATGTGTTGAAATGTTAATAAATATTTTACTAAAGAAAAGTATGATTATCTTACCATGCCTTCACCTCCTCCACTGATAATGGTGTCTCCCCTGCTAGTCAGAGCTACAGACGTCACTCCTTTGTTGTGGGCATCCATTACAACATGTTTCAGCTCAAGGGTGAGATCTTTAGCCTTAAAACCAAATATTCTAATCTTTCCATCATTCCAACCTTAAAAAAAAAAATAATAATAATGACTTCCTATTTTTAAAGTTATTACATCCATTACAACATGCTTCAGCTCAAGGGTGAGATCTTTAGCCTTGAAACCAAATATTCTAATCTTGTGATCATTCCATCATTCCAAACTTTAAATAAAATTATATGACCCACCTATTTTTAAATTTATTATTTTACTATCAAATATCTGAGTAGTCACAGGATAATTAGAAGATGCAGCGTACCTAGGGCTTTATCTAGGGCTTTGTGGTTAATGTGCTCATTTAAATATCATATTTAACTTAAAGTAATTTTTTTCAACATCAGAATTCAAAGTGGATATTACTACTAATTATAAGTACTGAACATATTCATACAGAAGGCTGACACTTCAACCCTTTGGATCTTAACAGCTTTATCATAAATAATTTTAAAATGTTTCAAAAATGAAAAAGCTTTTGCCTTCAACAAAGTTGCATTGGTTGACAAAACCAAGCTGATGAGAATATTGCCCTAAACCTATTTAACTGTATTTGGGTCACCCTGCCTAATGGTAATAACATGAAAGATAATATCCAGAATGGTGATGAATTATTGAAAGTTTTTTCAGAAACTAGTTATCACTAGGTCTCACCAGAAACAATGAGCTTTCCATCCCTAGATATTGCCAAGGCTTCACATGATTTATTAGCCAAAACAAATCGTCTCAATTCTTTGCCAGTGCTCAAATTCCAGACTCTGATTTCTCCCTCCTGGCAGGTCAAAATGAGCTGTGACACACCACTGTTAAAAACATCTATTTAATATATACCATATATTTAATTTTATTACCTAAAATATTGGTGTGTGTATATTACAATTTCCTTAATAAATAAATGTTCCTAATGCAAAGTCCTCAGCAAAGAAAAACTTACAATGGGAAAATTACATCATTGACAGGACAAGAGTGACATGTTTTGATAAGTTCTGCTGTAAAATCTGCAAATTGAAACTTGTAAACTTGTGAGTGAGCTGTACCTACAAAAAACTGAAAAAATATTCAAATATACATCATTAAATTTTACTACAAAATTATTGAAAATATATCTGAACCATTAAGAATTAAAATTTAAATTCCTGGTGAGATATTCATCAGTACAAAAAAAAAAGAACTCACAAAGAACCAAATTTTGAAAACTTAATGCATTTTAGATAGGTAATACATTTTTAATGTATAGGCCCAACTATATATTCAAAATAAATTTGATTTGAAATCGATAACTATTTGCTAGATGTTTATAGATGAGCCTAAATATAAATTTAACACTTGCCTGGTGTCCAGCTCCTCTTTTAGCAATTGATGTGACAGCACTTGTTTCCACATCATGTTTCCATGGCCTACAAAGCAAAAAATAAATTATTTCCTTAACAATGGAGAATATGTATCAACCTATGTTGATTTCAGTTAAATTATTTTCAAAAATTAATCATTGAAATATATTGTGTATCTCTGCTCTGTAATATAACGTAAGACGATTAATAGTTATTATTTCATTAATAAATTATCTTATATCAGAAATGTATTTATCTATGCCATGCAGAATCCACGAAATCTACCTTGTTATTGACTATGTGAGGCGATTTTAAAATATACTTTATTTTTTTGTTCAAACTATCATCATTATTCTGATCAATTTCCCAATATAAAATAGCAAATGGTTTTTAGCTGGTGCAATAACTGTTATTTTGATTTTTTGCGGGGAAATAGTTGATACCCACTAAAATGACTTAAAAATCCTGTTGGCTTTTAATAAAGCCAATAAAAAAAATTCAGAAATGTATCTTTTATTAAGATTTCAAAAAGTTTCCCTTCTGATTTTTTTAACACCAGCATTATTGTAAGTCACAGAAGCTGTTGTTGATGCTGTGCTGTGACTTCATAACCTTAAAAAATATTTTCAATGAAGGTTTTATATTTAACTTACTGTTTGTCTGATCTGTGTTTAAATATGGCTTTCACTTTGTTGCCTTTCTCAAACTCAACTCCAATGTCAAAGTTCCCAACAACACCACTGCCGGTCCCAAGCAGCATGTTGAAACCCTTTTCTGTCATTTTCACAAAGGACAATGCTGTTACACCAAGGCTGAACTTGTTCTTAGCTGGAACTTCAAACTGAAGTATGTTGGTGTTCTTGTTGATACATAATATATCACCAGTTGTTGTGCCACAGAAAAAGTAAGACAGCTTTTCATCTTGGTCATCAACCATCTAAAAAAAAATGGTAAATTACTTAAGGACAAATATTCAAGTATGTTGCTCTATAATATCAATTCAAAAAGAACTCGGCTATATAATAAATTCTTTTAATTAGAAATACTAATTAACAAAATATCAACCTCAATGCAGGTAATGATCCGCTTAAGACCACCAAGATTTGTATTTAATGGTCGAATTTTGCGATTTTCTTTATCCAATGTCCAAATGCGAAGTGTATTACTGAAATAAAACAAATATTGTAAATAAAAATTAATGATTAACACTGTTAGTGACTGTGACTAATAAATCAAAGATTTTAAACCAATTTCTACATTATCAAAGATTTGCTGTAAGTCAGTGAAATTCTGTGGATTAGTCCATCCATCCTCAAACATACCAATTTGAAATTTAATCTAATTAAAAAACCATTCCAACACAATATCAACTCAACAGGTAATTAAAAAACTTTACAAATCTATGTTTAGAAGATATTTTTAACTTACTCTCCTCCTGTTACAAATACATCATCACTGACTTTAGAGGCTGCAAGACAGGTTGTGATTCCAGCACTAACTACTTGGGCAGGGGAGCCACATATTGGTTGTTTGGTAGCCATGTCCCATACCACAACTCTGAAAAAAAATTAGTTGAAGATAAAGCACAAATTATGGTGCAAAGAATATTTCTCATGCATATAAATCAACAGAAATAGTTACAAGTCCCAAATAACAAGTCTGATTTAGTACTACCCAGACTTTCAAAAAGGGGTGATAAACTAAAAGGCAACCTAAAAAGTCTTCAGACTTTATTTTTGTGATATTTTAATAATTTATTACGGAGAAAATAGTAAAATTTGGAATATTAATCAAAGCAGGCTTGAAATTTCCAATAAAGAAAACAATATTATGGCTAATCCTAATAAATCAAATAAATCAAAGGACTTACGAGCCATCATCCTGGCCTCCAAGTGAGAAAACATATTTTCCATTTACAGAAAAGGCTAGGGCCTGTACTTTCACTTTGTGGAGTTCCCATTTTTGGATGGCTACCTTTGTCCTATAGTCCCACAATGTAATGATTGCCTGTCAAGTAGATTTTGTAGGCAATTGTATAAAATTACACTAGTAGAACTTCAAAATAATGCATACCGTAACATTCTAAAACTCTTATCCACCTTAAAACCTATGAATATCAGTGCATATTTATGAAAAATCCATATAATTTGAAAACTATGGACTTGAAGAGTGATTTATTAAAAAGAAACACTTAATAGGAATGTATTAATTTGTATCTATTTACAACAGTTGAATGAGTACTAATGATCTATAATATAAACAATTGTATACCAACTAAATCATTTTTATGAAAGTTTGTCAAAGTTGCTGTGTACTCAAAACATTTATAAATAAAAACTTTTAATATCCTTTTTAGATTAAATAAATTGTATATATTTTTGTTTGCAAACATTTTATACCACAAAATTTTAAGAAAGTAAAATAAATTTATAAATCACTTGAATGCAGCAGAAAACTTGCAGCAATAATTCAACTGTATATTAAATTGAAATGAAAATAATGATAAGAAATAAATATTTCATCATATTATGCCTCTCCAATAAAAAGGGTCTCCACCATCATAACTTACCTATTCAAAAGTCCCTGAAAAACTGAGTTAAAATGATACAAAATAAAATCTTGAAGTAGAAAAAGTTTTAGAATAGAATATTACTGACCAGTTTTGTGGATTCTGTAACTGTAAAGCTCATGCTCACTCACATAAATTGCCTTTAAAAATAACATCTAAATCTAATGAAGCTATAGCGGAAATTAAATTATGTAAGGTTAGCTAATTTTTTTAGCTATGATGCCTCATTATTATTATTTTTTTTATTCTGTTAATTTAGCACTGATAAAATGGATATGAATATAAATAACAGTGTTATGATTTTAAAGACTCAAACACAACTAAAGCTTTTTTCAAAATAAATCAGCTTTCTTACTTTGAATCCCATGTAAGTTTCTTGACCTGACACAATGTATTGCCCATCATTTGAAACAGCAATGCAGGTGACGTTGTTGGTATGACTTGATAAAATGCTCTGTGTTGCTTCTTTTGTGATATCTTCAATAATTACATTACAGCCCAGGGGGTAAATGACATGTTCTCGATCTGGATGAACTAAAAGTCCACCTGGTACCTTACCTATCAGTAAAAAAAATATTATTTTATGTCTTCTTTTAGTTTACTCCTTTTTTTACTTTATGATTGCCCATACTATTAAAGAAAAAAATATGAATTTTAAAACGAAAAAAGTAATGCCAGCACTTCAAAATGTTCAGTTTTTATAATAAAATTGTTATTCTCCATGTAAGACATGTTCTTATGGGACTTTTTTATTTTTGCTTTAAAAATCTGGCCAACAAATAATAATTTAAACTAATAATTACAAGAAATCAAATGTGCAATGTAATTTACTATGCCTATTATGAATATGAGTCAGTAAGATATACAGTAATTCCTCAAATATGGCAGGGGCTGCGTTCTGGGTCCCCATGAAATGCAAAAGAAACGTGAAGTAGGATTTATATATATTTTAAAGCTTCTGCTGGTGGCGTGCTTTATGATGTAAATTTTATTTCAATTTAATAACTATTAATAAGTTTTAATTGAAGTTAAATTGATATTATTTTCAATTTTTTAGGCTAGAAAATGATTATTTTAAAGCAAAAATAATTAAAATAATAAATATAAAAAAATATTTATACTGTATACAGAACCAATCCAGAAAAATAGCAAAAAATCAGCAGAATGTATCATCAGAGAAAATCCGCGAAGGAGTGAGTAGCGCAAAGTAGGGAGGTATTACTGTATTGCTAAAAATTATTTTGGTTATCTTTTAAAATTAAAAGGCCTAAGAATGATCAAACCTGGCCAAATAAACTTTAAGAAGCAGGCCTATACAAGTCTATATAACACTGGTTCTCAAACTGTTTCCAGCCACAGCCTCGTTGGAACCATAAAGTCATCCTGAGTGCCCCCCCTGCCTCGCCCTGTTATAAGCAGTCTCAGATTTAAAATTTATTTGACCCTTTATTATATTAGCTTATCACAGAATTAAATGTTTAAGTTTCCATATATTTTAACATTGAAATTTATACAAATGTAATATTATACTTTATGAGCAAGCGATACTTTCAGTTTTATTTAACGAAAGATATTTAGCTAGGCTCTAGAGATTGAAAATTTTCCCTTTTCAATTATTCCCCATGTGATGGATGCATGGGCTTAGTAACATTTTTCAATGCTACTTTTAAGTCTCTTATCCAGAAACTTCATTGACTATATTCATATTTTTATGCTATTTGTTTGCGTTGATCAAAGCTGGATGGCTGCAATTAAGTCACCTTCCCAGAAATATATCCAAAGTCCTTCCCTTCTTTGTTGTGTGTGACAAAAATATTATGTCTATCCTACACTCTTATTGGATCTCGACAGCCAAAACTTTGTTAAATATTTCTATAAAAAATATGCTTTTCATTCTAAGAAAGTTTCTCTAATACAGGGGTCTCAAACACAAATCATCCAGGGCCAGCGGGAGATACATTCTGAGTGAGATTGGGTCGCATCAAGTATTCCACAAAAAAGGGATTACAAATTCAATAAAGTACAACTGTTACAATTTGCTCAACCTTTGTTAATAACAAATATAATCATTAAGAGTTCTCAAGGCTTCACTTACTTCCTCCTACTCCTTTTTGCCAGACACCTGGAAGTGCTTCTTCTTACACAGCTGAGCAAAATTTAGCTTAAATGAGGAAGCAGCGAAGTATAGCCTGAAGATGCACATTGTTCTGTTTGACCCTGAACTTTGACTTGTTAGATACTCCCAAAAAGGCACATAATCCGCTTGAACAACATGGAAATCTCAGGGAAGGTGGAGAACAATTCTCTCATAAATTGTCCAAGCTTGTCTGTTTTTCCATTTACCTCCCTGAACTTAGCCTTAAGTTTAGAATTGCACTGAAAATCAATCAGCTCCATTTGAAGTGCATCTTCCATGTTGAAGAAGAAAGGATCAGAAATTCTTTTTTTTAAAGTGGCTCTGTGTGTTTTAAGTCTGCTAACCTGTGATCAAACTCTTCCTGTAGTGTTGCATTGGCATCAGTATACTTACTACTGAATGGAGTGTCATGTTGTACTAGATTCCATGATTACTTTGCATTTTGGGAAATGGCAAAGGTTTCTCTGAGAAAGCTGAGCTTTCCATAACACAAGTTTTCTACAGAATTCCCTAACATTGTCTTAGGCAACACTGACGAGCTACCCCTGACCTTGTAACTTCTTGCCGAGTACATTCAGCTCCTGTGTAATGTCAACAAGAAAAGCCAAGCCCACAAGCTATTTGGGATTGCTTAGTATAGGAACAACCACCCCATCCTTCTCCATGGCGGTTTTGATTTCTACTCTCAACTCAAAAAGCCTTTTCAAGATGTTTCCCCTGCTAAGCCAAATTACCTCGATGAATTAATTAACATCCACATATGCTGACTCTATTTCCTCTAATAATCCCAAGAACCAAAACTAAGACCATCGGTGAATGCTCCTTCTGCTTCCATGGGCCCATGTTCTGGAACCAGCTCCCCTTCCATATCCATCATTGTGAAACCTCGTCCACTTTAAAAAAGTCCCTTAAAACCAATCTGTTCAGGTCCGCCTATGACCTGTGATGCACCCTCCTTGCCCTGCCTCATTTTCTGTCTCAGGTTAATCCTGTAGTATAGGCCAAAACGAGCCAAAGTGTCCTCGTTTTATAGCCATTTTAATTGTTTCTATAGTATAGTAGTTACTATCCTAATGTCTCATTTTTATTTTAGTTAGTTTACATGTTTTTAATAATTGTAAAGCGCTATATAAAAATTCCTAAATAAATAAATAAATGATAAAGCCATTTTTTCAATATTAATTTTAAGCCTAATCAATCAAACTATTTTTAATTTTAAGTACCTGTAAGTGTAAGTAAACCTCTTTCTTTGTGGAGTGAGTGACTTATACTTATAACTTACACTCATTTTAATATTTATTCATTGATTTTTTTATTAGGTCTAAACTGTCTAACACACACTACCGTCCAACAACCCAGACAAATTCAACAAAGTGGCACAAATTAAACAAACTTACAACGGCATAAACTCAAATAAAGAATGAATTTATTTTTAAATTAATATTATTTATTAAAGGCAATAGGCCTAAATTATTAAATTAAATTAAAATAAAGGCAGGGAAGGCCCAATTTCTTTTTGTTTAGAAGCTAAAAAATAAACTTGAAATTATTACAAAGCATTTTTTCTTTATCTTACCATTGAACCCAATAATTCTTTCTAGTTCCAGTTCCTTGGTGTCGATAATATCGTCGTCCCCAGCCATTCTTAACGTGTCTGGTACAGTCCACTGAGACTATCTTCTTGTTGGGATTTGAATGTTGTCAAGGGAAACAAATATGGCGTCCAATACAATGTTCTTGGTATCAGGTTCTATAACTCTTATTACTAACGAATTAAATAATTTTATATCCAGGGTTTTAATACAGGAGAGCGTTTAATTATTTTTAACATATGCTTCTTGAACGTTTATGATACAAAAGCAACACCTTCTTAAATCGTGCATGCATATTTGGCGTTTTGCAATAACTAAGTTGACCAGTATTTAAACTAGCTATTTTTAAAAAATGACTAAAACCAAGCCAAATGTTTTCGAAAAGAATAATTTATAATTTACTGAATTGGCAACTTATCATAATCAGATCTCAACTTTTATTGATGGAGATTACATTCGGAAGATTATTTTAATCATTTTAACTAACCTACACTTCACCATGGAAATAAAATCATATTCGTCTATTTTTTTTTTTTTTTTTTTTTAATTTTTTCTTTTTTTTTGGCTTTTTGAAGTTAAAATAATAATAATTCACCTTTTGTTCTTTTCCTTTTTCTTTAATAATTTAATAACTTCACCATGGAAATAAAATCATATTCGTCTATTTTTTTTTTTTTTTTTTTTAATTATCTCATTTTTTTTGGCATGTTGAAGTCAAAATAATAATAATCCACCTTTTGTTCGTTCACTTTTGCTTTAATAATGTAATGCGCTTACTTGATAAGGTCTATATAACTAATATGATTTTACACCCTTTTATGGCAATAACCCACACAAAAAAACTAACAACGCCAAAGCCAAAGTCAGCAATTTTTGAGTAGGCCTTGTCAAGTAGTTAATAATAATATTAGGATAAATAAGAAGCTAATTATTTAAAGTCTCTTATCCAGAACTATAAGGACTAATATAAGACATATTAAAACTATTCAATTTTACACTGGTAACTACAATTGAAATTACCCGTAACTTAATTTTTTAGAAAGTTATAGGTTTAGATTAAATAAATGAGAAGGAATCAGACTAATCACTAATAAATAAAAATTGCAAAAGACTCTCAACAATAGAAGTATTGGCTAATTTCACGACGACTATCATCTTAATAAAATGCAGTTTCAATTATAATTATTTATCCTTGAGAAATATAGGCTAAATAATCATTGTATTAACGCCACAGCCCACAACCATATGTATTTTAATCTTAGCTAATCATAAACTCGGTTACCCAAGTCAATTTGTTACTTATTTTACTTAATGATTAATGTTGTCTCTGTGCATATTTTTAAAGTTAAAGTAAAGGAATATAAATGTATTATAAATAATTATATCCTATAAATTTAAAAAAAAAAAAAACAGACGTTAATAAACAGAATAAATTGTTTATACTAATTTATTAATAAAATTATCTAGTCGTTTTTTTGTTGATATAATTGTTCACTTCACCATATTAATTAAACAATTCAAAATATTAATTTTAGCCTTTCTCCTTAATAGTTGGGCACCGGTATCTAAAAATAGCATACTTGATCACGTTATTAGTGTCCGAAGAATAATTTAGGAGTTACGCTATCTATTTTGTTGAAAAATACAAATTTGTCTTGATCGAGCTTAATTATTTATACGAAATTTATATTGGGTTATCAATAATATTAAATAGCAATTTGGAAAAAAAATATTTTGGGGGCAAAATAATATAGGTCATAACACTAAAGGTCACAATGGAATGCCGTCTGCAATCGCAGAGGTCGAGACAACACGCGGCATGATTAATGCTGCAATGCATTGTGGGAAACGAAGTTGGATCATGTAAACACAGGTACAGGGTATGTTGTTTTCTACTCTGAGCTGCCATTTTAGCGGTGCTAGATTTTGCTATGTCTGGAATACAACATCCAACTAATAACCACGCTCTTGCGTTACTGGCGCTCAAATCAGCTCCTACCAGCCCGTCGAGATCAACATGGAGTTCAGAAACAAATGGCGAGGCAATTGCGCGGCTAGAAGGCAGAGAATTCGAATTCACAATGAGGAAGCAACGCATCACCATCGGCCGAAATAGTAGTAAAGGAGATGTCGATGTCAACATGGGTCACTCGAGTTTCATTTCCCGAGTGCATCTTGAAATTTTTTCAGAGCATCCCAATTTTTTTATGAAATGTAATGGAAAGAATGGAGTGTTTATTGATGGGATATTCCAAAGGAAAGGAGCTCCACCTCTCCAACTGCCCTGCTCGTAAGTTGAATGTACTTGTTTGGGGCTTTGCTAACCTATATTTAAAAAAAAAACATTGGTGCGAGTAAATTCAATTCGTACTCCTGTGCACTGTAACAGTTCTGTCATGTAACTTATTTCAGCATTGGAAAGGAGGCATATCGTATAGTTTATTATTTATAAATACGCTTCTTTCCTCTAATGGTCAAATGTGATTTCTATTTCGGATTAAAAATAGATAAATTCAGTGCATCCCAACTTCATTTTAACTTCTACTTCTAGTTTCATGTTCAGTTCACATCCTGCCAGTTCGTGTTTACATCAGAATAATTTCTTATCAATGTAAATAAATAGCTTTATTAATTCATTTTAAGGTTATTTGATGTTTTCTGGTGTGGGAAAGTTGTAGCATATTAGCCTGGTTATGATGGAATTTTAACTGACATAAATAATGGACAATAATTTTATATCAAGTACCATGTGCTCCAAACAAGATGGCGGAAATGTAAACAATTCAGTTTTTAATATATTATTTGTTGACATGTCCCACAATTCCACAATTACTATTATTTTACTGGTTAGAATTGAATAAGGAAAGTAGTTTGGCAAAAACCCAATTTAATAAATAAATAATTAGCTTATAATTTATACCAGATTTTTTTGAGTGGCCCAAATTCAATTAATTTACTATTTTTAAAGAATTACATTGAATTTGACTTTGATATCTCAATCTCTGAGTGAAAGAATCTGAATTCATATTGTAGGCTACTTTCAATTCAACTTTGACTTTACTTACTTACAAAAATTATTCTCTCTATACTCTGTTTAAATTAAATGATGAATTATAATTTAATGAATAGAATTTGATGAATGAATGATTAAGACCACTTTTGGGCTTATACTGCTCTAATTTTTTTACAATTAATCTCTAATTATGACTAATTGTCTATTAGTATAGTAAGTAATAAGGCTCCTATCTTCCCTATAAATAAAATTAATATGAGTAGGGAATTTTCTTTAATTAATTACTACGTTAATATAAGCGGCCTATATGTGGCATTTGACTTTGACTCATTTGTAAACTAGGGTCTAGGCCTAGGCTGATTATATATTAAATGTTAATAGTTCATTAGACTTAAGACCCAAGTTATTCTTTGGCAATAATAGTTACTTAAATGTAACTGTAAGTCTTACTGTAAGCCTTAACGAAGTTGGATTTGATTTCAAGATCAAGTCAAAGAAGTTATATTAAAGGGGGGCCATTATATAATGTATGTAGTAAAGGGTATGCTTATTTACACTAACAGACCCCTAGTATAGTAGTAGGCCTAACCAATTAATAATAATAGGCCTATTTCATTGATTTGACTAAACACACTTAAGAAGTTTAATGCTTTTGAATTAGTTTTGTAAATAAACTTTAGCTAAGTCACCTTTGTGAAATTAGTAAGATAGGTCGAGTATTTTTGAAGTAGTTCCACCCTTATTAAGGTGACAATTTTTTCAAATTTAGTACCAGAAGAGTTAAAATTGTTTTGATACTATGGTTGCCCAAAAAAGTAAAAATGTATTTATTATATTCACAGAAGATTATTCTGTCTCTGTTGCATTCTTAAGAAAAAATATGATGCCAACTTGGATGAATTATAATACTTTTTTAAGTTGTTTTATTTATCGAAGTGGTTATACGCAGTCGACAAGTCACGTGAGGTCTATATACTTCCTGTGTTTACACTATCGATCGATAAAGGTGCTTTGTTATGAGGGTGACTGCGTGGTCGAATGGTATAAACTGAGCTAATCTCAAGTTGGTGGTCTGGAGTTCAATTCCAGCCAAAAGCCAGTCAAGAATGTATAATTCGTGTTAGTTGTTTGTTGCTATGTTTGTTCTCGAATGAACCAAAAGCAAAAACTGCTAGGCTTATTGTTTTACTTTTGTTTTGGCTAAAAAATGTTTAAACATGATAAGAATTAACTTGACCAATGTAATGTTAATAATGTTATTCTTATAGTTATCAATTATCATAATATATGTTTGTGTTGTTCATATATATTTTGTGTTGTTAACTAATTTTGTGGCAGTTAAAAACATGTTTCTCTGGTACAGTAATTATAATCAGGGGTGGAGAGTAGCAGTAAAAAATAGCTGTGGGGGCAGGGGGTTCTGTAGAGGGGGCACTGTAAGTAATACTTTCACACAGTTATAGTTTTGCATGGATGCTGAAAACTGTTACAGTTAGGTCACAAAAAAAAAAAATCATAAATGATATAATTTTTTAAAAATCAATAGAATGTATTTCCTTAATTAGTCAGTAAAACCAACCACATACTGTGACATAGTCATAGCAACATATAAAAAACTAATCAATCAGACTACAGAACTAGACTTAAATGATGGAAATGCCTTAAAAAATCATCATCTTAGGCTTAGACTCTAAGAAATTTAGACTTAGACTTATAATATATAAGATACAAGCAATAATACTAATAATAGCACTAATACTATTACTATCATTTAATATATATTAAAATTAATTCAATTAAAATTTCAAGTTAAACACATTAAAAGTTATAGTTCAAAATAATCCATAATGCAGCTAATTATGCATAATTCTTTTTTTTTTTTTTTAATTGCCAAACTCGCGGTAATAAACCTTTACTTATTTAAGCCTGGATATCAGATGTCCTCAATCTTTTGTTGACTTAATCATTTTTATTTTATAGTCTTTAAATTTACTGGTTACAATTCACAACTAGCCAGGAAAAATGTCCAGAAACCTGTACGATAATGGTAACATCAGTAAGAATTTTTTTTTCTGGATGGACGAACAAGAATTGTTATTCATCATTGTTGCATGTCGGTCTGTAGATTAGTAACTCGGTTAATATTGTAAATATTTGTAAAATACAGGTATATCAAGGGTTTTAAACAATTTTTTTGAAATTATGTCAATATTAAACCTGTTATGCCATGCTTTCTAATTTAAAAATTGCGAAGCCTTTTTTTTAAAAACTTACTTACTGTAAATGCTAGAGATGGGAATCGAACTGAACCTAGTGACAATCGAACTGCATCACTGGGAAAAAACAAGAACTTATCTTAAACCTGTTTGAACAGAAAATTTTTTACGAATGGGCCACATCACTGATTATAATAATAATGAAGCTTTGAAAATCGTGCTTCATCCCCAAAGGCTCGAAGCGTGGTTCAATGACATCCATATTAAAAGAGAAATGAAAAAACCTATATGTTACCACATTGAAATGCAAAACGCAACATTACAAAAACTGCATAGGAGAATACCCATTCTAAGTCTTTCATCCCTTGCAACAACAAACAACACAGGCCACTATACATCTAGGAAATAATAGCTAGCTGGAAAAGATGGTAGACAACATCTACCCAAATCAGTTTTGAAAGTGTCTGGCTGTTTCTGAGAGCAACAGGAAGTGAGTTCCAAATTGTTGGGCCAGCAAATGCGAACGTGCGCCGTCCGTAAGTCTCAAGGCAAACATGTGGTATCAAGAGTTTGCCACTATTGGATGAGCGGAGTTGTCTAGTGGGTACATAAGGCGTCTGAGCGCCTTGAGATAGAATAGTGCCATGTCATGCAAGCAGCGATAGCACATAATTTTGTACTCTATGCGACCGCGGACTGGCAGCCAATGCAACTCTCTCAAAAGTGTTTAAGCATGGTCAAGTTTGCGAAAAACAATGCGAGCCGCATTATTCTGTACTTTTTAAAATTTTATCCAGGAGCGTGGCTGGAAGACCCACCTTGAGAGCATTGCAGTCGTGCATGCGTGATAGCACGAATGCAGACATCATCCTCTTTGTTGCATTAAACGTTAAGAAAGGTCTGATATGACTAATGCTGCGCAGCTCTAGAAAAATCGCCTTGCAAATCATGTTAATGTGATTTTGCATAAATAGTGTTTTGTCTAAGTAGACACCCAGGTTTCGCACATTTTGAGCAACTTCAATCTGTATACCTGAGAGAGAAAGGAGTGATGTGTTATTTACAGATTTTAGCTTTTAAGCTGTAGCAATGGGGATCAGCTCGGTCTTTTCATCATTCAATTTGATCTTGTTTACGTTCATCCAGTGCTTAACTGACTCCACTGTCTTCTGTGTCATACTAAGAAGCTGAAGGGACTGAGAGGGGGTCACGGATTGCTGAAGTTGTGATACATCCGCGAACATGTGATAGAGCATATCAAACTTCTTTATCACTGCACCCAAGGGCTGAATGTACATAGTGAAAAACACCGGACCTAGGACCCAGCCCTGGGGTACTCCGAATTCGATAATAGATTGCTTCCAGGTCAAGCCGTTTGCGATAACTGATTGGACCCGATTTGTCAGATACGAGCGGAACCATCGCAGAATGGTATCGGTTAAACCGAATGTTTTTTGCAGACGTTGGAGAAGTATGCCGTGGTAAAGCTGAATGCTGCCGATAGACAAAAGGGATACCATGCCCTCACCACAAGGTGACAGAAGGTCATTTACGACGTGCAACAGGGCTGTCTCAGTAGAGTGATGCGCCCTGTATGCTGACTGGAAAAGCTAAAACAAGTCAAAGCATATTTTGGGGGAAGATATTTCAGGGGAATATGTGGGGTTGTTGTGTTATGAGCAAATCATAGGAAATTTTTATGACGTTGAATACTTAATTATTGTAGGTTGCTGAGATCCTAGTTCTTTGATTCAGGATTTGAAAATGGTAACAGAATCTTTAAATATAAATAAACATCTGAACTTTAATTATTTAATTTCTTTTTGAAATAAATTAAGTCATGTCTTAAAAATTTTGTTTTCAATAAAACTTTTTAATTTTAACACTTCTGACATTGTTTACCAAAAAACATAAACAGAACTAGATGGCATCATCATTCAGTCATTTTTAGCACCAGCATTATCTCCTCCTAGATATTATTTGTCACCATTTTGCATATTATTTTATTGTGTGCATATGAGCGGCTTATACATTTTTTCGGTGGGAGGGGGGGGGTGCTGTATTGATACTTCACAAGGTAATTATAACACAAACTATAATCTTAATTGACTTTTTTTTACCCCATGCTTACAACTCAGTTTCTAATAGCAGGAGAACTTATGTTTGGGTTAAGAACTGTTGGGTAGTAGCACTGTTTTGACAGGTTCCTACATGACTTTTTAGAAAGTGTATGACTTATTTTACATCCACTCGCATAATTACTCAAAACTCAAGACATCCTTAAAAATGTGCTTGATAAGGACTGAACGGGGTTTTAATTATTTAATTGCGCCGTGGCTTTCTTACTATTCTCTAGCTCATAGAAGTTCCAAAGGCTTTGTTACTTTTATGCTTATTTTTGTTATATTGTTGCATACAAATAAACCTATACATGTCTTTTCTTGTACAATTTAGAATCAGAATGGTAATCTATCAGTAATTGAATAAAATTAGGATAAAGTCCATTTGAAACTTATTTTAATTTTATAAACAAAACTTGTTCACAATGCTTACAACATACTATATGATAGCAGTCTATTTCAAAGCAATTCTAAATGTATGTCTTTTTTTTTTCATGCCTATTTCAGCTGTACCTTACGCTTTCCAAGCACTAATATCAAGATCAAGTTTCAGTCTTTGATTGATGAAGCTGTCCCGCCTCCACCCCCTGTCTCTGTAACAACACCTAAAAAGAAGCCGCCCCTACCTCCATTGAAAATCAACATACCAGAACCTCAGGAAACTATTGCCAGTAGTCCATGTCCATCTCCTACAGGCACAATAAGGTGACGGTGATAAACCAACTTTTGATATATTCGAGTCTAAAAGTAAAACACTGATTTTTTTTGGTTCAAATATTGTAATAAAAATAAGTTGAAATATTGTCTTACCATGGCAGTTATTAATATGTCACAAAAATAAGATATGAATTTGGAAATTAGTATCTGCTTATGTCATTTACTTAAAAGTATTGATTATTGGTTGTCTTGTTAGGCTCAAGAATTAATTTATCAGAGAGGAATTAATGTGAGGTTGAATTGTTTTGTTCACTCTATAAATAGTAATGGGTATAAAAAGACTAGTGTTAATAATTTTTTTTCCTTCAGTGCTGCAAACTCATGCCCCACTAGTCCACGTAGCGGCTCTAGCCACAATCCCAGATTCTCCCTCATACCACAACTTGAGGCTGTTGCAGCATTTGCTGCGGCACATCCTCGCGATGACAGAGATATTAACTCTGGGTCAGCTTCAGTTACACCAACCACTGGTGAATCATCTAGAGATGAGTCCAAACCACCATATTCCTATGCACAGCTTATTGTGCAGGCAGTTACATCCGCTCCAGACAAACAGCTCACTTTAAGTGGAATATATGCCTATATCACAAAAAATTACCCATACTACAGAACTGCTGACAAAGGATGGCAGGTTTGTGTTAATTCTGCTCACAAAAGAAAAGAAATTTTTGTGTTTAACTCTTTACATACCTTGAATTGTTCACGTTTTCTTGAGATTTCTAGGTACCTTAAAAAATGATCAAAACACTTTTAGTACCCATGTCTAAAGTCCATGATGTTATATATATATATTTGTGCGGAAATGCACAAGGATTCTAAAAATGTTTGTTTCAAAGTATATAATTTCAATACTTGTAGTTGTAAAAGAAAAAAAATAATGCTTAATTTTTTAATGGAATTTTGTAATAAATTTTTGTGGTGATCAGATGCAAAATATACCAGAAATTATTTAATAAAATCTGTTAATTCAGAAAGAAAATTCATTTTTATCTCATATGAATCATTAAATTATGGTTTAAATAACTAACTGTATTTTATTTATGTTTTAAAATTTCTTCCACAGAATTCAATTCGACACAACCTTTCCTTGAATCGTTATTTCATTAAAGTTCCCCGGTCTCAGGAAGAGCCAGGTAAAGGATCCTTTTGGCGAATTGATCCAGTGTCAGAAGCTAAGCTTACAGCACAGGCCTTTCGGCGTAGACGACAACGCGGCGTGCCTTGTTTTAGAACTCCTTTTGGGGGTCTTTCATCCAGGTATTTATTAAAATAAAGTAATCTTTATAAACTTTATAGTATCTTTTAAATACAAAGTTAATAAAATCCACAACCTGCTGCAACATTTCCCCATCCATTCTCATAAAAAGGATAATTTTTTAAACCCTGTAACTTTCATAACTGCAGATGATATGGAATTAAACCCCTTTTTCCATTGGTGTCAACTGCTAGTAAAATCACCATTAAAAATGAAAACGATTTCCTTTGCATTGGTTAAGGGGGAAATCACTCTAGAAATCAATATGTTTAACTGTTTTTATCAGTGTGTAAACGTACATGCTTTTATCAGGGCTTGTTTTGTGATTAGTGGGGATTGAAATTTGCTCCATGTTTTTGACTGCCATTATGCCTGCTGGAGTTAAAAATTAATTAAAATAAAAACAATAATTTCAGAGCTATTCCACCTGCCACTGATGACAGTATTAGCTCTAAGGGTGATGCTGACATAAGAGACAGATATTAACCATTTTAGCCCTAAGCTCAATCGTATTGTTACAGAAAAATTCATTTAGGAAAGGGTGGGTTTGGAACATAAAAGACTCATTTTGAAGCCCTACCTTTAAGGGTTTCAAAGACATTTGCTGGTCCAACATTTTTACGCCCTTCCTGTCGATCTCAGAAACAACCAGACACTGGAGTCCTTTAAAACCAATTTAAAGGCACACCTATTTCGCAAACACCTTCTGGGATGATTGTCAACCTTATTTTCCAGTTAATGCATAATGGCTGTGTTGCTTGGGGTTGAAATGGCTAAGAAAGACTTTGCAATTGTATGCTAGTAATTAGTTTTTGTAGTGTTGCGTTTGTTTTAAATGTGGTAAATTATAGATTTGTATTTTGTTGCGTTTGTACCGCGCTTCGAGCCTTTGGGGATGAAGCCTGTTTTTGAAATGAACTTTATTATTATTATTATTATTTATGTTTGTATATGATCTGTATTATTAATTGATTTAAAAAATTGATTGCATAACTTAAATTGAAAAGGAAATTTAAAAAAATTCATTTTGTGTTTCCCCTTGCATTTTGTATGACAGAAAGTAGTGAATTAAAAAAAAATTAGCCAATTTACATTTTTCAAAGTCATTATCTATAACTTGACCTTGACATTTTCTGGAAGGATATTTCTTTTAGTTTCTAAAAAAGCAACTGATGTATTGATAGAACAAAATAGTGAGATTGGGGTGGGTTGAAAGCAGAAGTTGAGTAGTAACATACTCATTCTGTAAAGGTCAAGATCAATATGAACTAAACATTATATAAAAACAATGTACTTTCAGAAAATGTATACTTGTTTGGGTCTCTGAATTCATTTAGTATGGACTTTTGTCATTTTTGACAAGCTTATGAAAATGCTAAAAATGGCTTGACCTACTGAAAAATGCACTTCTAGCTTAAAAAATGCTTCTATACCTTCGACAGTTAATCTAACATTACGTTTCAAACACTATGTGAATTGAAATTAAACCATTTTTTAAATGAACGATTTTTTTGACTACTGTAAAAGTATTATAAGAAAAATTATTTTCCACTGCAAGGTCTGCACCAGCAAGTCCGAGTCATATGGCTGGTTCCTTTACCCCTGATTGTCTGTCCAGAGAAGGGAGCCCAATACCAGAAGCTGGAATGGAGACTGAAGTTTCACATACATCATCTCAATCCAGTAGCCTGCAGGGGCAGCAACATCATCAGCATACACATCCAACCATCTCAGATTTGCGCTTTTCTCAATCAGCGCCAGGATCACCTTCAGGTATATGCAAACTTAAAGCACGCTGATGAGTCTGTACGATTGAGTTTCAAATTCATTCATATGTTGTAATCTGTTTAAAACTTATCTTAAGTTCTATCCCAAGAACAACATAATCTAAGTTATCTGTCATCTGGTCGTACAATATTTCAAACAAATAGCACAGCTTGCTGGAGGAATACGATACAACCTTCTCATGCAATGCTCAGACAGCAAGTGCCAAACCAATACCTGAAACAGTCGAGACACTACGTCACAGACACATAAATCATGACAGGAATAATGGGCAAGCCTAATGGCTCCAAAATCAACAAAACTAACACTCAAGACACACAGCGCACAGTAAAACACAACATTCCACATGTAACAATTATAAGCCAAAATCCATTTTCGCCTGTTTCTTGTAGGTTCACGTGTCATGTCACCAATTACTGTGACATCAAGCACAGCTGCAATTCATCAGTTGCCATCAGTGATAGCCAAACCTAAAATTATTATGACCACTCCTGGTCAGGTGTTGGTGAATGGCCCGTCCGTTACTGCCTTGACAAATGGTACACATCTGGAGATCAAAAGGGAAAATGGGGAAGGTATAATGTCAGCAGTAATTATAATTGCATTCTGTCTCTTTTTTTCTTATCAGTCTTAAATTGAGTAAGATATTTATTTGAAAATGGACTATTTTTTTCTTTAAGTTTATTGTTTCAATGGGTTCTGATTATAAATATTTAAAAATCTTAGAAAATTTACTGTGGATTTACAATCTTCTAACCCATTATAATTATTAATAATTTATTTTTTATATCATAACTTATGTATCAAAAACAGCAGTGAGCTTGGGCTTGACAGGAGCATCACAGAAAATCGCTTCCCTGGTAGCTACAGCCAATCAGGCACAGTTTCAGACACGGGTGAACCCTGTGGCGCTTGTTCGAAATTTGCAGACCACCCAGCAGGTGATGGTTACCAAGGGACCTGCCGGAGACTCAGAACAGGTGACTCTAATCCCTCAACAGGTACCCGGTCAACAGGTGCAAATTCTTCAGCCTCAGATGTTTTCCCAGCAAGTCATCCTGCAGAAACCCATGGGTGATCAACAGCAGCAAAATCAAGCTGCTGGCAACGCCTGGTATTCTCAGGATGTCCAATCTGCTGTTCACGTCTTGGTTAGTTTATTAGTAGTCTGGAAGAATAGTTAATGAATGGCCTTGGTTGCTTACTCATTCATTATTTAAGTACTTGACATATGTTACCTAGATTATTTAACCTCTTATTGACACTATGATACCACATGTGATGGGGTTGAATAAAATTCTAAATACTGTAACCCTTTACAGTCCAAGCCTCTTCTGCCTTTTCTACCCCCTGTGATGGAGCAATGGGGCATTACTTGGTGCCTGAGTCTTTTTTTGACACTTTATTGTAGAGCAGTGCATATAAATTCGTTGCTCTGCCAAATGTTGATAAAAATTTTCCAGGATAAAAAAAACAAAAAACAATCTTATGCAAGTGCATCATCTAGCAAATTATGTTTAAGGCCTGTTTGCTCTGTAAATGGAAAAAAGTTGATTAGGGAAAAGTTTCTTGACCGTTCTTAATCTTGCTGATCAGTGGTAGTACAATTGGTGGGTCTATTTACATCAATTATCTTCTTTACTTGAATCATCATCACTAGCATCATTTCAATTAAACAATTCATTACTGCAGGGTTTTGGCATCGATTTCAATAAAAAAAACTTGCCAACAAACATTTTTTGAAAAAATGAAATTTTGGGTATATTTCATTCTCTGTCCGATTCGCTTTTTAACTTCTCTATAGCTTAACGAATAAGGAAATATATAGCATTGAAATGTGACGTCCTTGGTATTTCAGAAAAGTTCTTAAATTTTTGTTATGATGACGATGTGCAGCCTTGGTAATTGAAAGTGGGTGACCGTGACGTCGCGTCAACGTCATCAGTAATGAAGTGGTTAATGTCAATATCTGATTCTCCACTATCGCTGCTAGAATAATTTAATAGTGAAGCTCCATTAGGCCTTGGTTCTTTCACTATTTTATCCATTGCCCGGAAAGCCAATTTTTTCGTCGAAAAAAAAAAAGCACAGCGTTTTACAGCGTTTTTTAAACAAACATGTATAACATAGACCACTCAATGCGCCTTGTTCAAACTAGTATCCCAATAAATGCCCAAAAGAAAACCTGTTTTTGGTAGAACTATAAATAATAATGCACTTTGGATTTGGCCTGTGCTAAGCAAAACAGTAACAACCTCAAAACGACCCGGTTTGGCCACAACACACTTGGCATAAGGAAAAAAAATGGGATTTTCTGTGGCATCAGACTGTGAATGGTTAAATACCGGTACTTTAGGGCTTTATGTCATGAAAGTTGTGCATGAATATTAAGAATATGAACGTGGAGTAAAATATGGGATTGTTTAATCAAATTTGTTTACAGTCTTTAATCTTCAAAAATTGAAAAGTGAATTCTAATTAGTAAGATTTTGTAATTAGTGAGCTTTTTGTTATTTTTCTTTGTGTAACATCATTTCTCAAGTAGCAGTGTTGACATTTATGTTATTTTTTTATTTAGATTTTGTGAAAGTTTTGAACATTTTTTTACTGCCTTTAAATAGGCACAAAAATGCAGCTCTTTGGTGATAGGATTGTACTCATAAATTTTTAACTTTTATTTTTTAGATGCCTCACCAGGTACAAGTTAAAAGAGCACAAGATGAAGGTCAAGATTTGGATCTTGCTGGGGGAAAGCGACTGAAGATTGATGAAGATGGAGAAATGACTGTGAAATCTGAACTGGAATGAATGGGGAATTTCTCATTTAATGGTTTTATCAGTTTTCTTCCTGGGCAATGTGACACACATGACTGGTCCTAGGTGTATTTAAATGTAGATATTTCTGCATACAATGGTCCTGCTGCATGAACCAAGGATTGCTTCTATTGGATTCCGTCTGAAAATGTCACATATATCATCAGACTAATAATACAGAGTCTCTATGTTTGTTTCCCTCTTAACTTTCCTACTAGGTCAGCGGTTGTTAGCATGCCATTAGTTCCTGAACCACTTTTTTTTTTTTTTTTATGTACGCAAGATAATCTCATGTCAGTTAAAAATTCATACATTTTGGTTTTGGATTGATGATAGATTTTTTAAATCTGAAAATGCCTTAAAAGTGAAAGTTATCTGACTGCTGTTATGATGGGACTTCATAAAAGTTCTCTTTAAATCACCGGTGATCTTTATAATGAGAAACCCTATCAAATAAAGAGTTTTTGTATCTCTAGTTTTCCTGCCATCAGTTAGTTACATTTGTTTATATTGCATAACCCATTTTACTTTTATTAACTTTTCAACAAAGTGGGAGATAAATGGTAACATTTTTTTAAAGAAATGAAGACTTAGTTGGATTAGTTAAATCATTAGCCACTTAGCATCATTCAGTATTAAAAGCATGGTAAACATCTTTTAAAATCTCCACTGGATTTATCATCCACTTTAACGAAAATTGTAATTTAGAATTCTAATTCTTGGTGAAAACTTAATGGGTCCCTCCAATGGAACTTTCTTCTTTCACTTTTTAAATAAGTACATATACAGTAATACTATTAAAGTAATTAAATTGTACATATCTCATATACAAGCATAGAGGCAGACAAACCAACATGTGTGGTGGGAAAGAGTCCTCAAATGTTTTAATTGAATTTTGAAAAACTTTAGTGCAGAAAAATCAAATAATTCCATTTATTCTAATCATTAAAGTGTTGTTTTTTTTTGCGTGTGTTATCAAAAAGGAGCTCAAAGGTGAAGTTCCATTGAACAAACACATATCCTAGAGAAGATGGTAATTTTTACTGATTTTCCCAGTTATGAAAATTATCATCATGAAAGCGAAGCGCTAGATAGGGTAGCTTATGTAAGAAATTGAGGAAGTTTGTTCAATTTTTAAACAAAATTGTAATGGCACCCTAACAACCCTAATCTGTTTATGGGGGAATAAAATAAAAGTTTATAAAGGGACCCTTTGACTTTGGTTAAGCTTGATTATTTTTTCAAACACTTCATTCAATTCTGAAATGGGGTCAGCATCGTCAAGGATACCTTTATGAAAAATTAAGAATTGTGGGAAATCTTATATCATGACGTCTTAGAGAAGAAAGGACACAGGAAATCACACATTCAACAGAGCAAAAGTAACATTTGAATTTAATTTTAAAAACCTGTGTAACTAAGAGGTAAATTTAGTAGCAGCCTCCAGCAGTATTCCGTCATTCTTTTATACCTTACTTTTCTAATGGTGATCTGTCTCAGAGTAGGTAGCAGGGTGGATTTCAATGATGTGGACAGTTTTTGTTAATAGGCAGCTGTAGCAATATTAATGATTTTATAAATGGTATTTAAAATATATGTAGATTTTAAAAAAAATATGTTGCTAACATTTTCTATGAGCTGCTTAGTGGACTTTAAGGAACTTGAGTTTTTGTGAATTATCTCTCTCCCAAGTAATTAAATTTGTGAAATCACTTTTTTATTTAGCTCTCTCTACCTATATTTTCACTAGGCAGAAACCCCATAAGCACACACAAATAGTATATGTTTACTTTGCCATTTGATGTGGCAGACAGGATTTAAATACTGTTGTTCAAAAATCAATATCAGCTGATGCAACAGCATAAATGATTTTGAATTTGTAGTGGTTATTTTGGTTTAAAAAAATGTCAAGATAGGTGTTATATTGAGGTTTTTTATTTATCTCTTCCTATTCAAGAAGTTAAAACTTAAAGAGCAGTTATTTTTCTTTTCCATCTTTGTTGCTGTTAAATCAAATGATTTCATTATTTTGAATTAGAAACAAGTGCTCAAGTTTTCTGTTAATTGTTCAATTTATGTTCAGCTTTTAATGTCATAATTTGGCCAGCACAAACTGCCTTTAGATTATTTCTTTTTAATTGGTTTGTTAAACAAAAAAAAATAAAAGTGTTAATGGTGGCAATGCTTTTGTGAGATTTGACTTATGTTTTTGGTGTAATCTAATAAGACTTAACTGGTAGCTTATATTGAGTGTTCCCAAAGTTATCTTAACCGACAGCATAGATTGAGTGTTCCCAAAGTTATCTTAACCGACAGCATAGATTGTGTGTTCCCAAAGTTGTAAGAAATTTCAATTGTTGAAAGTGTAATGGCAGCTGTGGAATTGTTTAGTTTTGTTTAAATGTATGTAAGACCTGATTTAATGTTAAATGCATAATTAGTTCACTTTGGCTTAAAAAACAAAACAATTCACATTTGGTAAGTTTTACTTACCTTTTTAACTCATAACTGTCACAATTTAAAATATCAGACTTGACCATATATAATGTTAAATCCTGTTGTGGTGACCACTTGAGTGACTTTCTTGTACTTGGAGTTAGTAGGCCTAAATGATAATTAAGTGGGAATACGTGTGAAAGGTTAAATGATGACACAAAGTTTGACCTGGGCACACATTAGATGTTATGTAGCATAGAGTTAAATTTTATAAACAGGTAGCACGAATTACGGGAAAAACTGTCCAGCCATTTCTTTATTATAATGTGATATTCTTTTTCAATTGTTATTTTATTGTAGTTTAATTAAAAGTTAACTGAAAGAAACATTTTTTTTTTAAATTTTCATCCTCATACTTGTCAACACCATTGAAGCATGTTGAGCAGCCATTCTGTAACTTAACATGAACCGATTTTTGTAACCGTTGTAAGGTAGCTAATGCTAAAAGAAATGGCACGGACACATCAAATTAGTATAACCTGTTCACTTGTCTGTTAATGTAACAGGATGCCCCTTGACTGTATGCAAGTTTGATTTACATTGAAAGGCTATTTCTTGAACAATAACAAAACAGAAATGGAAAAATTCAAATATTTAAGAAAAATCCCAAATGAAATATTTCTAAATAAATATTTATTCTCCACTCCTGCCATCTTTATATGGTCATGTTTTCAAAGAACACAAATGTATTGATATCAAATTCACCATTGTTTGAATGTCTTAGAAATTGTTTTGATTTTTTGGAGGCTGTGTAAGTCAATATTCTATGTACTGGTACTTTTCACAAGATTTCGACTCATCAGTACATCTTGATTTATTATGTTAAAACCAACATTATCTTATCATAAATTGCCAAGGAGAACATGAATCGGTTTAACTAGTTAAGCGGCTGCATTAAACCCAAGCGGTGCAACATTTTTCACAGTTGTGTTAATGCTACCAGAGTAAGGCTATTGTTTTAAGAACCAGTTTTCTGTTTGTAAGTTTTCTTCTCGTGCGCTGGTCCCAAGACCATCATCCTGCATGAGAGATATAGACACAACTTCTCCTATTTCTGCTGAGTCTGCCATTGCTGTGCATGAAATAAATTTAGACAGCTGTTGGATTCTAAACATACCCTGTGTGTTTCCATCATTTCATGCCAGTGGTTCAGTGTGATATTTTAGTGATGGCATGTTGAATGGTTGGTTCAATGTTAACTTGTGGGACTTGAAGGTGCTGAATGGAATTTTTTTTAAGTTGAGCGCCATTTATTTAAAGATTTGTTCATATTTTTTTTGTGTGGTATTTTCATTATCTTTATCATCCAGTCTTATTTCCTTTAAATGGGAGTATTTTATTTGTAAGTTTGTACAAATTTGTTGCATTTTTTTCTAATGTGTACAATTTTAAGATGCATTTTTTAAAACCTTTGATCTTTGTTTGAACACTAATTGCTTCTATTTCAGATGTTTGAAATGTGATGTGACAGACATTGTAGTATTGTAATCAGTGGATAATATTCTGGATTGTACATTTGTGTATTTCTCTCTTTAAGTTGTTGTTACACTTGTTGTGCGTATTTCATTGTTAGGTAGTTTAATTAAAGTTATTTAACACCTTATTGACTAGTTTGAGCGTGTGAATCAGTTAGTTCACCATTGGGCAGTGAACTGCATACTTTTTCCCATCCTTCAGACAACTGCACTGTCAAAAAGGAAGCATTTAACTCCAATCTATTTCAAATTGCAGTGTAGCAGTTCTTTCAAAGATCTTTCTTTTTTTTTAAAATATTTTTAAACTTTGATATTGAATTGATAAGAATAGTTTGAGCCCTTGCAGTAAGTTTGTTGGTACAAAAACATGCTTTCAGGCTGGATTTCTGCATTTTTAAGAGGATCCCAAGCAAAAAATGTACCATATGACTGGACCAGACATTCTCAATTCAATGACTGAATCAAAAGAAAAATTTTAAAAATATTTACTTCAACTTTTATCTTGAAATAGAAATTTGAATTTATATGAATCATTAAATGACAGAAGATGCTCAAATGGAAGGATTCTTGATCACATTGGTATGTAGATGATGACTTGTAAAATGATGTTTAGCTTTGGAAACCCTTTAAATGCAGACCCTTGAAATAATGTGTCATGCCTTGCATGTGAAAATATTACTTTTTCAGGTCACTAGTAATTTAAATTATCCTTATCTTTTTTTGCCGTTTTATGGGTTTTTTTTCTGTCTTATTTTGTGTATTTAAAGAAGTATATGTACATTATCTGATTATATTAAAAGTTATTATATAACTTGAGCACTTTGAAATCTTATAACTTGTTTTCCTTTCAACTTGGAAGTTTCCAGGCACATCCTTTTATTTTACTCCCAATGGCTGACATAAATTCAGGTGAACAAATTATTTAGTTGTATTCAGGATGGTTTAAATCTCATGTTTTATAATTGAGGAGAAAATTACAAATGAGGATGCTCTTGAAAATTAAGGTTTTCATGTTTTGATTTAAACTCTTTATACAAAAAACTGACACATGAGCAAAGGTACTTTGATGATGCATGTGATTACTAGTATACCAATGTTGCGCATTCACTAGCGACATTTATGCCATGCTTATTCCTGTTGATTGGTGTCAACATCATTTCCCTTTAAAAAAACTACCAGGAAAATGGGTGAATTTGAAGAAAAAAATGTGATTTAAATGATTTTGGGGGAAATGGATAATATTAGTCTTGGGTGGCAAAGCTCCGAGTCACTGAAAGGAAATTTGAAATTATTCGATAATCCTGTCCATTTAATTTTTCAAGATGTTTTCTTTTTTTTTTTAAACCACTGGGTGTGATTAGCTTTAGCAATCTAACTTTCACTAATTTTTTATAAATTTTACCTAGGGCATGGATATATAAAAAAAAAACTGGGCTCCTGGCATAAATTGAATGTTGTTAAGAAATGTGTTAATCATGAAATGTCATGCCAGCCTTGGTGTGGTTGTTTTATTATTTACTGTATATATTTCAATAACATTAAACTAACAGTTTATAAAGGAAATCAGTTTCCGAATGCATTACAAACTTATCTTTAAGTGGTGCAATTATATTAAAGCTAATGGCGGGGGAAATATTTCACCATTTTCCTTTATTTTAAACCAAAAAAAAGTATGCCAATTTTCTAACAGTTTATGGCAATGAATAATTTTAAAAAACAAATTCACTGCAACCATGATTAGTCTGATGTGTAAACTTTGTACCGAGAACATTATTTTACCATAATTAATTGTCATTCTACTTCACTTTCTAGATTACATAAAGCTATGTTTAAAAATGTACATAGCAGCACATTTTGAGTATGTGACATAGTTCAGTGTGATGGTCTGGTAAAGTTTTCATTGGTTTCCTCAACTCTTCTTCTTGTACATTTTTTTTTTTACTAAATAGGCCTATTCATTAATAAAATTCATGACCCATTGCTAGAGTCCAAGTTGTAACGATACTGAAAGGAGTTGCTGTCACAAGGTGTTCATGTCTATGGTTCATTATAAAGAGATGAGCTGTTTTCACGCGGTTTACGCAGTGATGTTTTTTGTACATAATACACTTGTATGTTTAATTTTAATCATGTGTCTTGATCTAGTTTTTTTGTGTGTGTATTTGGTTACTTGTTAGTTTGACTGCAGATACAAAACCTAGATAACCATTTAAGCACAATTAGTTAAATTTTTACATATAAATTAACTTAGCGTGTTTTCAGATTTCTAAATGAGACCCTTCCTATACAAATAGTGCAAAATTTAATTGTAACCACATTATATTAATATTAAAGCATTCAAAATTCAAATTTTTTCTTTTACAAATTTCACATTCAAGAAAATGTTGACTCGTTTTAATTTCAATACCAGTAAAAGTAATTTATTAATGAAATAAAGACAAATATATAAATAAATGACATAATTTTTAAATTTTACCGAATTTTAAAATAGCATTCAGAACCAGTACAAACCTCCAAAATAAATTTTTCAAAATAATCAAATTTTATTAAAATTGAACAAATTTTTCTTAAGATTCAGATGTAAATAAATAAGTAATATGAGTTTAATTGTAATTATATTACTGCATGGTAATATTCAGGTGTAGACTCGGGTAATTAATAGACAGATTTGAAAATAGAGGATTTTTATTTCTGTGCAAACACATTCATAATAACTATTAAAAAAATGTCTTTTTTATGTACATTGAATTATAATTAACTCAAAGTGTGATTAAGATATTATGAAGTTAAGTTCTTTTTTAAAATTTTGGAATAGGAATATAATTATATAAAACAAACAAAATTTGACCACATAATTCAGAACGGATAAGTACACGAAAGCTTTTAATTGATAAGTATTGCCATACTAAGTTGTGTTCTGAATCTCAAGGATTAGCAGAACAAATATAAATTAGCTGAATGTTATCAAAAGCAATAAACATCACCAAAACAGGATGTAAAAAAAAATAATTTTTAAGGAACAAACTTCAAGTGGTATCTCGCTACCCTTAAACATTTCTTTCAAAATGGGTCTTTTGACAGGGCATTATGTGAAATTAGCAATCTTATTTACCCAGTTATCATCAGCAATCAGTTACCAGATGTCTTATGCTACATGTTTGCCATCCAGATGTTTTAAGTTTAAGTAGAAAAAACTTTGTATGGATGATCACATTTTTCTCCAGCATATGTTCACAAAGATGCATAATGATGGAAAATAATAAAAGATCTCCATCTTAAAATATGTAGATTAATATTAATTTAGCAACAGTTCAGGGAGAAATCCAAGAAGTGGTAACATATGGTAATGTTACTAATGATGCTATAAATAATGCAGCTGGTGCTCAGTTTCTGTTGAATGAGTGAATCAAATTTTAAATGGTGATTTCTGATTAGTCCTAATGCTTTAGATGCATGTAGCCTCGGGTGACCAAATCATGAACAGGAAAAAACGGGACACATCCAATTAGGGGTGGGGGGTGGAATACCCTCCAGCTAAAGAGGGGTCCTGAAACCGTTTATTGAAATATGCTCATTTTAACTATTTTGAGACCTAGAAATCTTTTTAAATTAACCTTTACTTTCGTAATTTAATTTAAACTCTGAGGCATATCATAAACGAAAACAATAATTTTGCAGTGAATACTTATTGATTTATACATTATATTTTACAACATAATACTACAATTCAACAAATTAAATGCAGTCATCACGCCAGCCCACATCACTACTGGCACTGGCTACACAGCTAGCCAAAATATCAATTAACTTGAAGTGATATTATAAATTAGGAAGTTTTAGTGATTTGAAATTGTGTTTGGTTGTAGAAACGATGACACTTAGGCGTCCCGAGAGACTTTTTCGGGACACCGGGTACGATCGTGAAAAAACGGGACAATCCCATTTTTATAGGACGTTTGGTCACCCTAATGTAGCCCAATAAAGTATTATGACGAAGATAAAAGCCAGTAGCTACTTAGGGGCAGACCATAAAGTATGTTACCATATAATTGACACTTTCCCTATCCGTCATAAATCTCGATCTCCTCCTGTCAAAAATCTTGCCCCCTCCCTCACTTCCCCGCCCCTCAAGGTACGACTCACTGCAATAACAAAAAACAAAAAAATTGTTTGAATAAGTAAAATCAATCAAAATTCAATCTTTCTCAAACACACTTCACACTTAAGATCAGACACTATCAAGTGACATATTCTTTAAAAATAAACCCAGCACAACACCAGCAGACAGTTTAACATCACTATCAATTTCAGCTTTTACATGTTTAAATATATAGAATATAAATTAACTGAAACAATGATTCGACCAAAATTCCATTCGGTCAATTTTACGTCGACGAAATTTCTTTCAAACAAATTTCCGCTAACCATAAGTTAAATATATTTAATCATATATCATCATATTTGATTTTAACCACTCCCCCAACCCCCGTGTCACAAACAGGGTTACTGTCACAAACTGTCACTCTTTCGTATACCCCCTCCCCCAACACGATTTTCCCCCAGACCGTGAAATATATTATGGTAGAAACGTTAATTAACAAATGTTTCTTTTTAATTGAAAGTTATTGAATAGTTATATTTCATTTAAATAGGCCTAGTTTTGTACCGTTGCCGCCTTAGCTAAAACTTAAAAACCAATTTTTGAGCAAGGGCAAGAGATATTGTGTCTCAAGCTTGTTTAAAGTCTTCTCCAGCAGCACAGTTATTAACTTTCATTATTTATGTTATTGTTTTTTTTTTAAATCTGATTTTGCCAACGAGCATTACCATTAAAATTTATTAAAATTTAATATAGGGCTACAGTACGGTATCTGTACAGTAATTTTTTATAGTGGGAAAAAGAATAATGGGTGTTTTTTTAAAAATGCACTTACTCCCCTTTAAAAGTTTATTTTTTTTGCCGCCACCTACTTCCTTGGAAACGATTGTAAGTAAACGTTGCCTGTGGCGACTAATCGACACCCGAGAAAGAGATAAGCAGCCTGTCTGACATCAATTTCGAGCCCAATTTCGATAATATAGGCTGGTGGGCAAGGAAAAATTGTGGTAAGATGGCGGCAATCCTAACAGAGCAGGCCATACCTGCTACAGCAACTCTTGCCAGTCGAGAAATCCCACCAGATGCACCTGCTCCTGTTGTAAATCCAAATCCTGACATGGAAATCACATACACAGGAAACACTGGCAATGATATGGGGATATCTACTTTGGGCTTTCGATCGGCAAAGTATAATCCTTCTGAATGGCATGAGTCTAATTATGCAAAGTTTTACCAATCCTTTGTTGATCGTGACAATGCTGAACGAGTGATTCACGAATCAAGGCGTACAGAGAAGGAAACTTTAGAAACAACTAACAAAACTCAAGCTGAGGCCACAAAAAAGCTTGCAGAGAGCGCAAAGAATATTGAATTTTGGAAGTATGAGCTAAATCGTGAAATCTCTGTAAGTAAAATTACAATTTACTATTATATTATCTTTGAACTAGCTAATCCAATTGAAAGTTTACAAGTAGAAAGTAGTATGGTACTTGCAATAGCTTAAAAAATATGTATATTATTTTTATTATTTGCACTTACATCTTTGCTCTCTTTACCATATTTAATTCAAATTAATAAGGATAAAAATACAATAAGATCAAACCATTTCTTAAATGTGTGAGGTCATAATTAATTTTTTACAGGGAAAGAAAAATACAAATGCAATGCATGATATTTAATTTTTTTTTTTTTTAAATAACAGGATGTAATTGATGAGACAGATCTATTGCTAGCTCAAAAGAAGCGCTTAGAAAATGCTCTCAGAGCAACTGAGATTCCCCTGCATATTGCTACAGATAACTTGAACTGTCGCCAGAGGCGTCTGGGTGTTGATTTGGTACAAGACGATGTTGAAATATCTTTGTTGAAGGTATGGTACATCACATATAAATACATATTTAACAAATTAAAATTATTCATATGACATTGTAGCCTTATAATATAGGCATTAGAAAGCAAATTATTGAAGGTCATAAAAATCCTAAAGGCTTTGCTCTTCTATAACAGGAAGTTGAAATTATCAACAATGTTCAAGATCTTTTGAAAAATACAATCAACCAGTGTGAAAAACAAATCAGGTAAAAATTATATGTCACTGTCTACCTCATTGAAAGTGGATCCTCTAAAAATTATTTTTGTTGAAATTTAAAATATAAAAATCATTTAACCATTGTTTGAAAACTAAGCCAGTTCTACAAACCTAATTGGTACCTACAAATTAAATGTAATAATCTTTAAGTCTTTAACAACTGAAAGTAAATTAAATTATTCAATTAATAATATTAAAGACTTTGTCAAGTCAATAAAATATCTACACTTTAAGTCCAACATTTTGATGAAATATTTACATGCAAATTTTGTTTGTAAATTATATTTTGAATTAAAAAAAAAAAAATCTGAAGACTAACAATGTTTCTGTACTGACAATATTTACAGAATAATAATATCCACCCTCTCAATTCCATCTCTTGAAAACTAATTTTTTAAGCAGTTATTTAGTACAATAATACAACATGAACTAGAATATTTGATAACCAACTTACCTGCCTTAAAATTTTGTTATTATTTTTTTTTCAGACTAAACCGGGATGCTAAACAAAATTTGGAGATGGACTGGAGTGATAAAAAGGAGGCTTTGGAAATAGAGACAAAAAGTGGATCCCTGCGCAATCATCACACAAACAAACAATTCCATGATGGTGCTGCAAAATTTGAAGAGATGTAAACACTTTAATTAGTGGTCTAAAAAATTTAGTTAATTTAGACAGTTTAAGACAAATCACCCATTTGTTATTGAGCTACTCCTTTCAAATGTTTTGGTTTAACAATGGTTGATTCAACTATATATCTTTATGCACAGCTAAGCATCTGAAATATGTGGTTGCTCTGTTGTAAAATATTATTATTAATCAGCTATTAACAATTAGTTGATATTGAAAGTTGGGATAAAATGTTAATATGATTTTATAGATTTTACAATATTGGGAGAAAAATATACAAGCAGAGTGGTCTGTCCAAACATGATGAAAGTTTTCTTTGCACCTGTTTGGACAATTATAGTGATGTATTTTATAGGGTATTACAACTTTACCAATATAGATATCATTAGTAAAGTTCATTTTTATTCAATCAGTCAATCAACACCCGAATCCTGGGCTCAGTTTACTCATGACAATATTGCAAGAGCAGAACATGAACGTATGGCTAGCATTCAGTTGCGTACACTGGTGGACAATGTACTTGAAGACACATCAAGGGACATGCGAGAGCAAGCCGACCAAGTAGATGTCAATTTTACTAAGAGAATCACAGAAATGGAGGATGCCAAGACAAAACTAGAAGAAAATCTGACAAAAGTAAGTTATTTATTAAGAGAATGAAATAAATAACATGGAAATATCCTTCCAAATTAAAAGAATGGTTTTTGAAAATATAGATTTTTTTTGTGACATTAGTAAATTGAAACTAAGACTAATTGTTCATTTAATTTTATTGATAATTTTCTATTCTTGAACATAAAATTTAGAATCAGCTGCTTAATTAAGCTGAATTTCTCTGGTTTCTTTTAGTACTTTTAAAATAAGTATATTTAAATAATGTTAATTACTACACTAAAAAAATCAACCTCAGCTATAGTTACTTAACAGTGTAGCCACACAATTTCTATGATCAGGTGGTAAAACAGGTTAAAGACCAGGAAAAGAATATTGGTGAATTGCAACAGGCCATCAGGGACAAAGAAGATCCTCTTAAGGTTGCACAAACCCGATTATACAATCGTACGTACAGGCCAGGAGTGGAGTTGTGTCGTGACCCTGCCCAATATCAGTAAGTACATACTATGAACTCCTTGCAATTAAAATTAAATGTTTAGTGAAATAAATAAAAATCTCAAATTGAAAAAAAAAAAAAAAAAAGAATTTAAATTAAAAACAGCCATCAAATAAAATTGAATTTATATTCTTCTTTTTGAAACCCCCACATAAAGATTATTTGTGTCTTGAAAAATTAAATGTTTAGTAAAAAAAAAAAAAAACTCAAAATGAAAAAAAAAAAAAAAAAAAGAATTTAAATTAAAAACAGCCATCAAATAAAATTGAATTTATATTCTTCTTTTTGAAACCCCCACATAAAGATTATTTGTGTCTTGTTTTAGTAAAATAACTTTATCCGGACATTTTCTTTTCAAGTTTAGTGGGGGTTTTCTCTCTCTTCCCCCCCCCCCCACCCCCTCCCATATTTCTAAAATCTTTTACTTTCCTTAGATACAGTAAAACATTATTTATTGATTTCTTCACTACAGTCTGGTTGGTGAGGTTAATGAGATCAATCAGTCCATTGATGCACTGAAGATGAAGCTAAATGATGCCCAGAATTCACTGAAAGATCTTCAAGACAACAGAATGGCTTTGGAGAAAGAAATTGCGATCAAGAAGAACAGTATCTTTATTGATCGTGATAAATGCTTGACGGTCAGGAATCGATTCCCTTCTCGCACCAAACTTCAAGGCTATCAGTAACAATTTGATAAATTCTTTGTGAGATTTTGTAATTGACATTTAAAATTTGCTACATATATTAAATATTTCTTTTTTAAGCTGAACAAATTGGGTTAGCTGACAGGATTGTGTACAATTTTAAGTTATTTTACAACTTCACAATGAACTTACTGCAAGTCATTTTAAAATCTCTTTACCGGTATTAAATTATATGCTATTGCTAGCATGGCTTTTGACTTTATTATCCTGTACCTTGTTACAATAGAAGTTTATTTTTTTGTAAGATGCACCAAAGAGTAGTGTCTGTTGCAATAGATTGGTTATACCAGTAGATCAATTCTAAGCATTATTTAATATTGACATTAACATTTTCTTGGTTGATAAAGTGAAATATATTTGGTTATAGAAACTATCAAATCATTTTAAAATCGGCAAATACAACTATTATCTATTTTCTTCTGACTGTACAGTTAAAGACTTTTTAAGCTAATGTAAATAAGAGTATTCTCTTCACATTTCTTCATGATACTTCATCTATCCTAATTTCTATACCTCTAATATTCATTTACAACTTTTGCTTTGTAAATTGGAACACATCAACATCCATCATTTTGTCAGCATTATCAAGGTCTTATTTGTACAGAAGCCATCACTTTAATGCTCTTTAATTTTCATGGAAGAAATCATTACAGGATCTACTAGGAAGTACTATAAGGTTTTTTTAATGCTGGGAAAATGAGATGTTTGAACTATTTCAGTATTATAACTGTTGTCTTTAGTGGCTTGTAAGTTTTATCTGGTCTTGGCAATTTTTTTAAACTTGAGATTCAAAAATTTGAGAATGTATCATCTTGAACAATGTTTTAAACCTAAAATATGACAGTAAGTTCTATCAAAATTTGTTTAAGTATAATACACATTCACTGCATTACTGCATTATATATTTTCTAATAAAAATGTTCTGAGAAAGTATGAGTAAAACTTAAGGCAATAAACTTAATTTATACTTGCAATAGACATTCGTTTTGTTACTCTAGGGAGAATTCCAATAAACACCTGATTTGAGACTACACTAGAAAAGATGAATGTCTGATTATAGATTGGAATCTATATAAATTAATTCAACTTTTACTATATATGTTGTTACATGCAAAATTATCTAAAAAGATTTTTAAAATGGTTAAAGTACCACCCTCTTAATTGAAAATTACATTAATTTGTTTAAAATGTTCATTCACTACCGGTACTTAAGATGTAAACCCTTGCTAATAACATTTTATAATTAAATTTTACAATTTTGCCTTAATTGGGATATCCAATAAATTTGAGTCAAATATGGTGCATTTTTTTGCAATGTTCTTCATGCAAGGTTTTTAACTTTAACTGAATGTTAGTGTTAGCATTAGTGCTCTACAATCTTGGGAAGTCAGTTTTTCATGGTAGAGTGCTCTGGGAATTCCATAGAATTTAGAAATGCTTCAAGATCAATCAGATCAGATAGTTACTTTTATCACTAGTGATAGTGAAATTGTTTTGATTAATTCAGCGTTAACCTTATTGTAGTACTGGGTAATTGGTTGTAAGTGTAAATGGTGAGATGTCAGTAATTTTGTAGTTTGTGATTTTTTTTTAATGATTGTGTTCCTGATGTTGTATAGGGTAGAAGAAACGCGTTTTGAACATGGGAAATGCGCGTATCAGGAGATCCACATTCATGTTTTTCCTATATGGACTACTGTTGTTATGAACGTTTAAGGAAAGATTTTTTTATTGGTGCACAGAAATGAACTTCTTTCCTGTGAGCAAAATAACTTTGCTCATTACATGAGAACATTGTGTTATTTACTTGAAATCTGAAGCTACTATTAAATAACGATGAAGGCAGTGCCTCTGCTAGTCATATACTAAGTTGATGAACATTTAATCTTTAACTCAAGAATGTTGATTGATTTCATATCAATGACAGATGGAGTGTCTTGTTAATCCAATATGTACTAAGTGTTCAGAGTGAGCATTTTCAACTTCATTTGCTGTATCTGTTATGCAGGCACAGAAAGGATAGTAATGAAAGTGCAAGATAAAAATCAATTCTAATTTTATTATAACTTCTAAAAACCTTTTTTTAAATTAGCTTGATGTTCTGCCAGTCCATGGGTTTGAGCAATATTATGGCAGTAAAATTAATTCGTAAATGCCAAGATCTTTTCCATAACCTTTTTCAAAGGTTTATGAGTTCTTATTGAAATTTGTTGAGCATGATTCATAAAAATATGAAATTAAAAACATTTTTCAGAACTGTAACTTACTTGCTACCAAGCTTTCAACTCCCACTTCAATAACAAAGTCAAATTATAACATGTCAAATTAAATACATTTATTATCTTCAATACATTAAAATTCAACTGAATTTAAGAAAAAAAGAAAAAAAAAAGAAAACGGTAATACTATAAACTTGTCCAACATTTACACCATGGCAGAGCCATTAAACCACTTTCATTAGAATTAGAGCACATCTAAAACATTGAGGCTAGCACATTTTCATAATTATGAGGAACACAACACATTTGCATACATACAAGTAGACCAACATTTTTGACATCAATGACAAGGTGGAAAAAAAAAAAGTATTTTAAATTTTATTGAATAAATCTAGTAGGTCACAATATTTGGTGGAATGATCATGCACCTTAAGAATTAGCACAAATAAAGTGAAATAGTTAAAGACAAGACCAACTTCAGACCTTGAAACATTTTGACTCCAATTAAGATCCATGTAGTGCAAGAGTCATGATCTTGTAAAAGTTAATACATAGACAATACCAATAATTTTAATCCTGTATTTTAAAACCGCCGCCCTGTAGTGGTCAAGCTAAATCTGTTGTCTCCTTGTCTTGTCAAACTGCCTTGCAACATCACAGGAGGACCTGACATGGCTGGCTGAACTATAAATGCAGGTCCACCTCCCATTCCACTTGTCATCATGGGGCCTTGCTGTAGGCTAAAACTGCCTCCAGGCTGAGACATGACTACTCCACTTTCCCAGCCGTCTCCCTGGCCCATACCACCTGAGCCCATTCCTTGACTCCAGCCACTGTCCATCTTAGGACGTTCCACTGGACCATTCCAAGCATTTGATCCACCACCAGAACCTCTACTTGCTCCTGAAGAAAAGTAAATATAATCTTCATTTCTCAGATGTGTCCCTTCACCAGGTCTGTCTATAAAATACATAAACATTAAAAAAATTATACTAAAATTTTTAAATGGCTAATTTATAATACGGTTTAAAACTTGTACCTCTTTCTGATTTCCAGTCACGAGACTCGTGTCTAGGTGGACCACGAGCAGAATCCCGACCAGATGGTCTTTCATCTCTTGAGCGACCTTCTCTGGGTGGTCTGTCTTCTCTAAAACCTGGCCTGTGATCATCTCTTCTGGTGTACTCCCTATCCCGAGGCTCTCGTTCTGCACGCTGTGGTCTTTCCCTCTCTTCAAATCTGAAAGAAAAACCTTAAGTTATCAATTTTTTTTTTTTTAAGGTTAGAGATCAGTTAGGTCATGAGACTTACTTAAGTGAAACATGCATTAAGTAATCAAGGGAATTGTAAGAAAAACACATAATAATTATGTTACCTTTCATGCCGTCCCCTCTCTTCTCTACGACCTTCAAAACGCCCAGGTCTTTCAGCTGGATCTCGTCTTTCAAAACGTTCTGGCTTTCGCTCAAATCTACTTCCCCTACAAACAAGAAAATTATTTATCAATTAATATATTTGTAAAAAAAAATAAACAAACTAGGTCAACCAGGTCACAGAAGATACACAGGCATTAAAAATCAAGGTTGGTTGCTAATCAATTGTGTATAAAAGCACCTGAAATTCTTCTTTGATGGGATATGGAATGCTCTCTTAAATGATTAAAGACTAATGATGCGAACCCAAGGAATAAAATGGTAAACTTGACTCTCTTCCAGCGCTGTTCATAAGCTTCAAATAAAGTTTAAAAAGTAATTAACATATTTAATAGATTTCTCACCTGTCGCCTGTGGCATATCTATCTGCTGGACGTTTACTGGGCCACTCCTCATCTCTTAAGCTTGATCTTTCACCAGGTCGTTTTAATGCCCTTCGATCCTGTAATACTCTAAAAGATAGATAAAGATTATTCTTTACAACTTATGATTTTGTAAAATAAATGTATGGATATTATTCTTTTAGAAACTCCCAGAAAGACCACTTAGTAAAAGTAAATTTACTTTACCTCTGCTGTTCTCTTCTATAAGTTTCCTGCTCTCTTTCTATTTGGAGCCTCTCTGTTTCAAGTCTCAGTCTTTCAGCTTCCATTCTCTCTCTTTCAATTTCTTCTCGCATTTCCCTGTAAAAGATGAGCTCAACTTCAAGTTACGTGTAAATTGTAAATGAAAATTCTATAAATATCATCGTTTAAACATCATTAGGGTTTTGCAATTAATAAAAAAATGTTACAGATTCTATGACATACTAAATTAATATAAGTAAAAGGCCTAATAAAGTTGAATAAATACAACACCACCAGATCTAAACTGTAGAAAGAGTTCAGTTATTATAATCTGGACTTTAACCTTTCCTATAAAGGAGCAGTACCTATTCTTCATACATAAAGACGAAAAATAATTTTTAAGTTCCTTGCAACACCATCTTTTAAGGATATTAGGATTATATGATTTTTTTCCTAACAATGGTTACAGAAGGTGCCTAATAATTTCTCAATTTTAAGCACAAAACTTTGTGAAAGGGGAGAACGAGATAAATGGACTCTAAAAAATAAATAAATAAAAAATAAATAAATGATCAATGCACAGCAGACAAAAGAAGAAAATAGTCATAAGAAATTAAGTCAGCAAAAAATCCCCCCCCCTCGAAACTAAGGCCAATAAAAATGTCAAATTTCCTTTAGATAGGAAATCATTTCCATTGAAAAAATAATAAAAGCCTACCTGAGTCTTCTTCTTTCTCTTTCAATTTTAAGGGCTTCCTCGCGATGACGCTTTTCAATAAGTTGCTGTTTGTACTGTTCTCTTTCCAAATCAAGTTGACGCCTTCTCTCTTCATGACGCAAGTACATTTCTCTACGCCTGAGTCGTTCACGCTCTCTTTCAGCCTATGTCAGAATGATTGTAACACTATAATTTACATTTCATGCAATATGTTTACAAAATTAAAAAAAAAAGACTTTTAAAAATCATTGGTTAAAAAAATTCAACTTAATACATACCAGTACCTTAATTTTCTCAAAAGACAGGACATCCAATTCCTTTTTTTCTTGATCAGAAAGGCCTGACTTTTCCCTTGAGATACGTTCTCTTGAGTGGTGATGCTCTATACATTTTATAAAAAGAAAAATTGAACACTTTGCAACACTTAAGTCTGCAACTATTAAATGTACATTTAAATCAAAATTTATATGCCATTATTTTTTAATGCAGAATTATCTTAATCATTTACACTATTGCTATATATATATATAGCAATAGTGTAAATGTATATGTATATATATATATACATATATATATATACATATATATATATATACATATACATATACATATATATACACATATATATATATATATACATTCAAAAAAGATAGCATGTTCATGGCAAGAGATTCATCCTGATAATTAACTTACCAATAAAAAATACCCTATCTATATTACTTATATATATATATATAGAAATAGTGTAAATGTATATGTATATATATATATACATATATATATATACATATATATATATATATACATATACATATACATATATATACACATATATATATATATATACATTCAAAAAAGATAGCATGTTCATGGCAAGAGATTCGTCCTGATAATTAACTTACCAATAAAAAATACCCTATCTATATTACTTAGAATAATGAATCTAACTACCTCCGGGTCTTCCACTTTTACTGCGAGGGGAGTGCCTTCTATCCCTACTTCTTTGACGTGATGAGCTTCTAGAACCATCATGCTTCTCCTCTGGTTTTTTATCTAATTCTTTCCCCACTTCTTTGGATCCATCTTTTTTGTCTATAGTAGAGCACCCATATTAATTGTAAATTTTCACGAAGCCACAACTAATTGATGGACTATGTTGGGTGAATACTTTTACTTGATACATTAATTATTGCATATTTGCATACAAATAATTTAAAAATTATAATGGTTCAAACCTACAGCACTGCTATTCAGCACTAACTGTTGTGTAGCAAGACATCTTATTCTTACTTTTACCATTGCAATAGAACATTTTTTAAGTGCCTTAAGTGTTAGTAATTTTAAACCACAATTCACGCACACAAGGCACAATATATTAATAAATAATGAATAATGAATATAATGAATAAATTAGTAAGTTAAAAACTTATCTTACCCTCTTCTTTACGAGGTACTGACGATTTAGGATCAGATCTTCGAGATGGTCGAGATGATTTAGTTGGTGATTTGATACCACTAGGGGGTAACACTTTCGCTTTTGCTCCTTGAGGCTCTGTCTTAGCCTTTTAAGTAAAAGAATGTCACGAAGGTTAAGTTGTAGAATTAAAATCTACAAAAATTTTCTGTAATGAATTCTATGACAAGCCCTATGAATTTTATGCCTCTTACCCGTTCAACAGAAATCATTCTTCCATGTAATTCAGTACGATGAAGATGCTGAATGCATTTTGTTGCTTCATCAGCCGAGCCCATAGTAACAAAACCATAGCAGCGGGAACCTGGACATCTTGCATTTGTCACTACCTTAGCACCAATAACCTGAAAATAATAATAAAAGCGTATAATTGCAAGTCCCAAAAATAGTGTCGCAGAAACCATCTCAAATGGAAACATGCACTAAGTTGAAAACGATTAAGACAGCCCAACATGTGGAAAGAAGTATCTGTCTGAAGCCTAACTGGAAAGTGAACTTCAAAATTTTGCCATGGTAAAAACATAAAGAATAATATAGAGAGATTTAACTGTTTAAAATATTTCAGAAAAAATTCTAGTGCTCACCTTTCCATGTTTACTAAAAAGTGTCTTGAGATCTGTAGCTCTAGTGCTTGAAGAAAGACCACTGACCCAGAGATTGCGGCTACTTTGGACAGCTAAAATAATTGATTAAAAATGTATAAGATCTGCAAATTTTAGTTTAATCTGAAATGAGTATAGCTTTATTACACACACACAAATAGAACCAAAGCTGAATCAGGACAGAGAGTTATTATCAATAAATATGTGGAGGAAAAACAATGCCCAAACATGACATAATATTGTCTTACTTTTTTCATCCTTCTTAGCAGTCTTGATAGTACCGCTGAAACAAGATAAGAAAATTTAATTAGCACTAGCACAGTTCCACATCATTAAGGTTTAACAGGCCAGACAGAAACTTTAGAGACATGTTAATACTATTTATACCCATGCTTTTGTCATGAGTAGATATTTGTCTGTGTCCTTAAAAAGTTCTAAAGGTACAGTCTGAGATAAATGCCATAGCAAGTCACAAGATAAAATTCTAATATATCACAAGTACAAAACAAACCACAATGTTTTACTATCATCTCTTGTTATTACCAACACCTGAAATATGAGATAGCAATTAAGTTTTGAAATGTAATAAAATTGCTGAAAAAGGAAGTTTGCTATGGACGGCATACATCAACAACCGCTGTCAATGTAACGAGCGACTTAAATTAATTAAATTATCCATACGACTGCAGACTTCACAATCAAACAAAGTTATTTTAAAGGACGTAAAACAAACCTCTTGGCTGCAGTCTTCGTGTCTTTTTCATCTTTACTTGCGGCTGTAGACTTGACATTGGTGTCCTTCAAGTCAGTATTTTCAGAAGATTTTGTAGCAGCATCTGTGGCTGCACCTGTGTTTCCAAGTCCGGTTCCAGATGTTTCAGTTTTTTTCTCTTCTTGATTCCCTGAAGTCTCTGCCCCCTTTCCTTCACCTTGTTGGCCATCGAGGAGATCTGCATCTATTTCATTCAACATGGTGTCATCTACCTGCACGACGAAAGACTCATCCCCACCTTCAGATACAGCTGATGAATCCGTTTTCTCAACTTTGGCAGAAACAGACAAATTGTTGGCAGACTTTGCAACAGTAGCTAAATTTTGCTTTGTTGCAGAAACTGGTGTGCTCAATGCAGCAGTGCTGCTTGGTGCAGTTTTACTGCTTGAGTCATTTTGATCCGTGGTTTCCATTTTGATTTCTGTTGATTCAGATGGGTTTTGAGAGTCAATATTAGAGTCCTCATTTACTGTATCGATTTGTGCACTTTCCTGAAGACTTTCTTCATTGTCTTCAATAAACTCAGTCGGCATTTCTCCAGATTCATCATCGGGGTTTCCCTCAATGTCACATTCCTCCGCTCCATCTCCCAATTCATCTTTGGCACCTTCTTGCATCTCTTCATGTCCTTGGTCGTTGCCACTGTACGTTAATAATGCAGCTTCATCCTCAGCGGCTTCGCCACCATTCTCCTCAACTTGGGGAACTAAAGAAATTCACAAAATGAGATTAGGATAACATATAATCTGGACGGTGGCTAGAAGCATCAAGGGCTGACTCAGGCAGCTACCCAGCATACTTACAACATCTGAGATAGGGGTTGGAAGATTGTTACACTTCATGCTCCTCCTTTGAAGCAGCAATCAAACAGCATACCAAACATCAGGTGGCAGAAGTGGTAGATTGCGACTCTAACAATACTAATAACACACACATGCACGAAACTTATTTAAAAAAAAAAAAAAATTGCGCGTTCTTTGCAACAACTTTCTATTAAAAGATTTCCAGATAATCATCCAAAGACTGTTCTTGACTCAAAAATCACTCAAGACAACTTTGAATTTAGCAATACTTCTTGTATCTGTTTTATCTTTTCAAAAAACTTGTTTCATAAGATGGTCAAATCATCCCTATGTCAAGAGGAGAATCCACATCAGTATGTTTCTATCTTGACGATGAAGATGAATCACATTCTTGATATACAAATATATTTTGTCGCACTTAAAACCACATATATTGGGACAGATAGTAAATTTTCTAAACTATCGCTTCTATTATAGACTTTTCGCAGTCCAAATTTGAATTAAATTTTGGCTGTATAATTAGCCAGTTAAAATTTTACAAAAGAATGTTAGAGAGAAAAAATGCCCAATATCAATTGGATTTTGAATATGCCCAGCAATAATAAATACCTGCATCTGAGATTATGGGTTCACTGTGAACAGTACTTTGTTCTTCCTGAAAAAAATAAAATGCATAGATAAAACCTAACATTTAAAGAAACATGAAAATAAACCCTACACATTTCAAATTAAAAAGGTTAATTGTTTTACTTCTAAACAGTAAAGATATTAAACAATGCATACCTCTTCAACAGAAAGAAGCTTCTCTTCAGATAAATGATTACTTATGTTGGCAGCAGCACCATCATTATCTAATCCTGCCATTTCATTAGCAAGATCCCCATCACTGGCTAAAAGTTGACGTTCACTAATTGATTCTTCTTCATCAGCCTTTTCTGTATTGCTGTCGTCATTTTCTGATCCTCGAAAAAGTAATGAAATTTTATGCTTATTGCTGGCAAGTAAACATTATTTACATACAACTGTATCTTGATTAATATTAGACACAAAAACTAGTGACTATAGTTCTATAGGTATGAAAAAAAAATATGGTCAAATGGTGAATTCAATAATGTGCAAAATAAATTTAAAATAAAGATGGGAAGTTCATGCATTAGCACCATTGTTTGGCGGAGTATAACTAGTGTCATAATAAATATAATTTTCATATGATATCTTAAATCTATATGAATAAATTCAGAATAGGTTGTTTATAATAATTTAGTACAAAGATAAGGTAAACACTTAATATTTGATTATGATGTAATGTTAAAAGGACTTAGGGAAAGAGTATTTTAATTGCTTTATTTTTTAGTGGGGGAAATTTATGGAAAATTCTAGCTTTGTTATAAGCTAGAGGCAAAAGGCTACCAATAACTTTAACTTGGAAATCCCCCACTACAACTTTACTTTATGAGAGTTTTTATAACACTTTGGTACCCATCTTATTGTTGGTTACAGTTGAAAATTCTGATGATATTTTCAAACCTCTAAACTACTTATGTCAAAGAATAATGGAACACCATAATGTATTAAGCCCCACATTAATGGTATTACAGACAACTGGATGTTAATACTCATTTCTGGTCAATAAAAAACCACAGAAAATTAAATGATTTTTCTATTATACAATTTACTAATAAGCTCCATAACTTGTAAAGTTTTACTTTTCGTTTCAACTTCATAAGTTATGAAGTTGAAACAAAAAGTAAAACTTTACAAGTTTTTAGACAATACCCTAATTTGAAAATCCAATAAACATTCTTGGATTACTCTAATATTTTCAATATCTTTGAGGTCTGACATAGCATATATTTGAAATGGCTTGAATTATATCCTTACCATCTGATTTAATCTTTCCAGGAGTTGTGATTAACTTCTTTGAGAATTCAGAAATTTCAAACAAGTAGGTATTGATATCTTCTCCTTCATCCTCAAGTGCCTAGAGAATAAATTTATGTTGACATTAAAATTGTTTGTTTCATCAATATTTTAGGCTAGTAAATACCGAGGAATAATAAAAATAATTATTTTACAACCCACTTTACTTCAACTTCTGCTAAAGGGCCTTTTTTAAAAATAACTACCAAGCTTTCTGACCTATAGTCTCATGTGTTTGTTATTTTGTATTCCCCCATGACAGCAGATGTGCAAATTCTCATTGAGGTAGGTTCAGTCCGGCTTTGTTATGATTGTCCACAAAACCTGCACCATTGTAAGGTCGCTCAGACAATGTTTATGAAATATTCAATTATTACCATATTTTAAAATGGAAGTCATTGAAATAAGAACATTTTAATTTGATGCTTAAATACCTGGTAGAATCCATATTATAAATTGTCATAATATTCCATGAGCAGCCGTTGTCAAGGGCAACCACCATTCAGTCACTTGCAAATGACTATACTATATAGTATTATTATCAAAGTTTCATTGATAAGTGTTTGCCGTTTTAAGCGCATTTTTTAAATTTGATCTCATAATTTTACCAGTAAAGTTGAAACTATTGTCATTTTGTTTTATCTTTTACAGATTATTATTCTGTCTAATTTCCTTTAATTTGATATGAAATACAGCTACTTGCTAAAAAAATGTATTCAAAATTAATTTATAGATAAGAGCAACCAAAAAAAAGTCAGCAGGCCGGACACTGATCTGGCACAAACATGGAAAAACCCCTGGCTTGGAAAGAGTCTTGGCCACCTACTTATCGTAGTTGGGCTGAACAACCTTACCATACTGTGGTTTCATCAAATGAGCATAGCTAATGACTGACATGTCCAGACTCAATGGGCACACATATACATCAATATATAATGCTTACAAAGACTTGGTATGAAATACATAAGATTTTGAAATACTTCAAAATTTATTTGGAGAGAAAATGCCTTGTATATATACTTGGAAATTTCCAAAATTAGGGTCATTTGAAAATTCAAAGAAAGAACAGGATGATGGAAATGTAGGCCATGATGTCCACTACTAGGAACGGAACATGTAAATGGTTCTTCTGGCGCCCACTTCCCATACAAATTATGAAGTAGTCTCCTTTGCTTCACCTGTGCATATTCTTACTGTTTTAATTTATTTTTATATTTCTAGTTTAAATCTGGTCTATTTCTACTTTCAAGTTATTATGCATAATAATAATAATAAACATTTTTTTGTCACTGAGTGAAGTTAATTATGATGATTGATTTTGCCCTTGAGAAATAATCTTACATGTCTTGTGTTAAATTGTTCTCGTTTAAAAAATAAGAACATTAAAATTATGTACCGGTATGTGGTGAAAATAAAATACATAGATTGTAATAAGAAAAGTTAAATTTACACCATCCGGTTGCCACTATTTACCAGGTTTGTACATTACTTTTTTTTTAAATGGCGCCATCTTTTTTGCCATGACAGCAGACATTTAAAAAAAGTAGTGCAAAAGTAGTAGACATTGGGGAGGAAAAGGAGAGAATGTCTTGTTTTTAGCTACCAAACATACCAAGGCAAATGAAATTAAGAAAATGAGATTTTCATTTTTTTTTTTTTTAAAAGTTGCTTAAGATTAAAAATTATAAGATTCAAGAAAATTTTATAACCAATGCAGGCCTGTTTACCCCCAAACTCTTAAAATCGTACAATATCATTCAATACATATCTTAATAGTAAAAAGTAAACATACAGTATATATAATGTATACACCTCAAAATCGTACATTGTACGCTAAAATTGTAAGAGTAAATAGGTCTGCCAATTGGACAAATTTCAAAATCAACACATTTGAAAGAAGTAAATTAAAAATTAGCAAAAATCATGCAAATTTATTTCAAAAATTCAAGAAAGACCTACAAATATATATAAAGTCTTCAATTCTACCTAACCTGAATGCTAAGCCTCCCCACCCCCCCCACCCCCCTTTAAATCTTAAAACCTAAATACTATGACCTATTCTATTTACACACTGTACTGAGAAATTAGTAAATTGTAATTTTAAAAATTACAAATATTTTTAGACTGATGACTGGTGGGTTGAGATGTGCTCTGATCATATTTATGAGTAGAGCGTGACCCAGGCATAATTCATGATGCAATGCTTCCTTCCATAAACATTTATTTTGTGCCATACATGGGAACTTTATTGTATCCCTCTAGATGCATGATTGTGGATTCAGACAAAACAGATCAACAACTGATCTGATCTTCACCATCAGATGCCTATTCGAAAAATGCTACAAATATAATATTCCAGTACCTTAACTCTATGTCATATGTGGACTATAAAATAGCAAATGACAGCATCAAAAGAAAATAGCATCTAAATGAGACACTGCAGAAGTTAACCACATCCAACAAACTGACTGATAAACAACTCAAAAAGCAAAATCAATGTTCAGTGAATACTCAAGGGAATTTCAGATAAGCTAAGGCCTAAGACAAGGAGACTCGCTGACTTGTGTGATTGTATGCTATTTAACCTAAGATTGGAGAGTTATAAGAAGCATACATATTGACACAGAGTAATTTTAACAGATTACTTTTTGAGGGAAAACCAAGACCCACAATCAATAGGCACTCTCTGCACCAACCCTTTCAGTCTCTTGCATATGCTGATGACATAGCACTGCTAGTGAAAAGCAGTAAAGATTTATCCAAAGCTTATATTATAATGAATTATAAGACATATAAATACAAGCATAACTGTGCTAAGAGAAGAATAGATAGATGAAACTATTATAATTAAAAACCATGCTTTTGAAAAAGTAAATCAATTAAAAAACCTAGGATTCTTCATAAATGAAAGAAATGAATTACTAAAAGATATAAAAGAAAGAATATCGGCCGAAAACAAGGCAGGCTTCTGTTGTCAGAAAATACTCAGAAACGTTACGAGAAAAAACAAAGAAAACTAAACAAAACTAAACTGCAATCAGTTGCAATATACAAAGTGAAATTTGGATCCTAACAAAAACGGCAGAAAACCCCTATTAAACACACAGGAGGGAAAGTTTTCCGGAAAATAAAAGGACCAACAAATGATAATATGGATGGAGAATACGAACCAACTATAAATTGTACAGTCTATATCAGGATCCCACACTAGTAACAAAAATTTTAAAAATGTCACGCTACACTGGGCTGGACATTTAGAACGAATGCCAAATGACAGAGGAGTGAAGATGGTGCACCACAAAAACCTCAGAGGAAAATGACTTAAAGCCTTAGATGGATGAATGATCTAGAAAGGGATATATAGCAGCAGGGAATCCAAAACATGGAAAAAAAGCTAGGTCTGAATGGAAGGATGTGTTGATACAGGCTAAAGCCCTAAATGGACTGTAGCGCCACATGGATGGATAGAAGCGCATCAAGATGTGTCAACAACCTGCATAAATTGATCCAAAACATGTTTCCATTTCTTTTATTTTAAAAAGTTTTGTTGTTCTTCGTGTTGTATATATTATTAGATTAGGAATTTGTCTCCTGGAAATTTTGTGCAATTAGACCTTAGTTGCTTAATTTTGTTCATTTGTGATGTATTTCAATGTTTTATTTGAAAAATTCATGTTTTTTTTATTAAATTATTTTTTTTACGAAGTGGATGTGTACACAGCGGTGGTGTACCTAGCGAAACCATCGGCGTTGGCCTGCGTAAACTGCGGCGGTGTACCTAGTGAAATTGTGAGCTTTGGCCTGGGTACACCGCAGCAAAAATGTACCAATGGCCTGGTTTTCGGATATGCTTGTTAGAGAAGATTTTGTGTGGTCAAGTGGTAGAGTGGACGCTTGGCGATAATGTAGTTCGAGATCAATTCCCAGTAGCGGCTCGAGCTTTTCCCCCTCTCATTAAGTTTTAAAATATTTTGTAGCAATTTAAACAAGTTAAACATGTTTAAATATTATATTAAATACACTTTATATATCTATATTATATATAAGTGTTTCAACAAGTTGTGCCGGCCTCTGACTTTGAAAATGCCGGTAAATTTAGTAATAAGACTTTAGACATTAGAACTTAAAGTTTCTGAAAGCGCATGTATAGTGTATGTAACACGTGTAAGAGAAACATTATGAATACTAAGTGACTAAGTGATATTCTATTGTATTTCAACATTCGTGTAGTTGAATATTTACATTTTACTTTTACGAACACCAAAAGAAAATACCAGTATATCATTAATATCATATAATTTTAATGTCATTAATGTGCATGGTCGTATTTCAACCTTGAACCATCTTGCTTTCACTATGCCTAATGCATTGGCAAAATGTATATACCATATCAAAGGTTCATTCACAACACTCAGTCTCAGGCAAATCTTTTGAAAACACCTAGATTTTAGAAACTTGCGGAGCGGTAGCAAACTGTATAACAAAGCCATAGGTCTGCGTTTACCCTTTTCATGACGGAATTTGTTTCCAGAATGGCATGGCATGTGCTACTCTCAGGGTAAAACATGACGTTTTCTCACAGAAACCATTGCACAATGGGCTTGGGACAGGATTTGCGCTATGTCAAAGTTTTTATATATATATATATATATTTTTTAAATTGTTAAGAAATCGATCCTTGTCGGGGTCGGTGGTGAGTTATGGGAAGAGGCTTAACCAAAAAGGGGGCATTCACAAATCACGGCTCTGGATAGGGGTTGTCCACACAGGACGTCCGCACAACAAACTTACCTTTTGCACACCCCCCCCCCTTTCCGTAGGCATTTTTTTTACTAATGTATAACGCCAATGTAAAACTAAATAAATGATATTTAATTATTGTTAAAAGACTTTTAAAAATCACTGCAGTGTTTCGTATTTATCATCTTACTGCTGTTTTGTGTTGACACACGCTTGGTATCACAATGACAATGCCTCGGACAACTTTAACTTCACGACTTCATGATCAATGTATGAGTATGTGATTTTCTTCCTGTAGTGTAATAGTGGGTTCGTCTGTTTGTTCCACAAAAGTGTTCACGCGGATTGATGGCTCTTGACCCAACTTAGCACATATATCCATCATTATCTGGAAGGAACTCTTAGTCTTAAGGATAAGGGGTTATGCACTTTTTATAACATTCCGTTAGGAGTGGGGGGGCTGAATTCATTTTTTCCCTTATATTATATGAGCTATATAAATAAAATTACTAAAAAATACCTTAACATGAATGGATTAATCTTGTAACGGGATCCCATCGGGTTGCGGGATCATACCGAGGTTCTATAGGAAAACAGGATCAGTGGCATACCGGAATTTGGGATCTAACTGGGAAGCAGGATCCCACTGGAATCAAGCTTTCGATGGGATCACACCAGGATTGTGATACCGACGGGATTGGGTTCCCATCGGGTAATGGGATCGATCCTAACGGAATTGGAACCCCCAATGGGAATGGGATTACATTGGGAACGGGATTTCAATGGGATTGGGATTCCAATAGGATCTGGATCTCATTGGAAAATGGGATACTATCGGGGACCGAAAGGTTACACAAGTTATTTTAAATGTGTTTTTATAGGAGACAAATTAATTAGAGTTTTTTTTTTTTTTTTTACTTGGCGCATAATTTCAATGTAAATTAAAAGGCCGTAGACGTTATTTTTCTGACTTTGGCTAGTTAGTTAATATTTTTTTAAGCTCAGAGAAGTAGGGAATTTTAGCAGATGCAGACCCACTCCAGCTCCGGCGGTGAACAACCTTACTTCCAAGAACCTAAGCTTCTCTTTACAGCGCCACTTTTAATTCATCAACTTCAGCCCTAGTTAAACAAAGGTGTTACATCAACACCACGTGCTCGAGCCATGCCTCTGGTTCCCTTGTCCATCTATTTAAACAAAGGCAAAAGTATTACAACACCACGTGCTCGAGCCTTGCCTCTGGTTCCCTTGCCCATCAGTGGCTTGGACATCGGTCGTTCTTTGATGTTCATGGAATCCTATTACGTCGAGACTCCGTGCTCGGCGTCTTTTGCCAGGCCCACTGTTTCGTGGTTTCTCTGGTCAGCTTACACCACTACTGAAACTGCTACGTTGTCATTCTTTGATATAGTGACGTAATGCATCGTCCCGATCACTCTCGGTCAGATAACTCTATTCACAAGTAAATGATGATGTGTATGTACGCTGCCTTGGTAATCAGTTTCAAATCCCCCCCCCCCCCATCATGGCTTCAACTTCAAGGGGCTACCCGTATATTTCGAGCGCTCTGGGAGAGAGAAAAAAAAGTGGTGGTTGGGGAGGGGGGAGGGGGCATAACGTGATGCCGATCATCACGGTCTGATGGACAGGGGAAGTTTACCCCCACCCTCCTGCCCCACGTCCACCATCCAAGATATGACCTTTTAACCTTCATACTGGCACAGATCGCATTAAATGGGCCTAGAGTGGATGGACAACACGATGGGACGACGGCACCTTCAACGCTCAGCGAGATTCCGGTCACTACGCCTACACCCCAGTGTAAGCCGATGCCGGTCCCTACGCCTACACCCCAGTATAAGCCAATGCCGGTCCCTACGCCTACACCCCAGTGTAAGCCGATGCCGGTCCCTACACCTACACCTTAGTGTAAGCCGATGCCCCTGAATCTGACATAATAATTGTCTATTCTATTATTTTTACATTCCTTTAACAGTATCAATAATAATTTTGGTCTGAGACTGGCAAAAAATCTGGCCAAACTTCAGCGAAACGGACCAAAACAATAGCAGCCATCGATAGTCTTTGTAAATACATGGTTTATAATAAATTTTCACCTTAAAACCACTGCAAAATACATGAAAAAACAATTGGAAAACAATAAATACATGTTACAGGAGCCACTGAAGTGTTTTATTGTAGTTCCATGAGGTAAAAATGAATTATTAATTTTATTTCTGTAGAAATAATAAAACGCACTAAAATAAGGAATTACCATAAAAAGATAGGCCCAAATTTTATGGCATGATAATGCCTGCTGCTTTGAGGTAGTCGGCTTAGGCTTAGTGGCCATATTTGTTTGACTATCATAATCTATGACTATGAGTATGGCTGGATCTAAATTTCAAAAGTAAAGCTGACAACATGTCATTAATCTTCAATGCATAATGAAAATATGCTTACCTTTTGAAGTCTTTCAAGCAAAACCGATTTAATTCCATTTTTATCTAAATTTCGCTTCTCTAATTCACTTTTCAGGTCAATAACGCGTAGGTCGCACAGCTTCTTCTTCTCCTGGGAGGCCATGTCGTTTAAGTATCGAATGACAATAATTTTGAAATCGATTCCAAATAAACTCAAAGATTCAAGCAAAGAATGATTCTATATATTAATGAACAATATCGTAAGAATGTTACCTTCTTTCTTATTATTAAAAGAAATAAAATCTCTTTAATGATTTCTTTTATGTTAGTAGATTCACAAAAATGCAAATGTTATGCCATTCATCTTTTTATATTTATCTTTCAGTTAAGTGCACTCATAATTTATTTTAAAAAACTTTTAAAAATTGCTGACCACTACCACAACATTTTAAACATCTGATAAAATATTTGGTTGAAACCATGAACATGAAGCATCTCTCCAGTTAGTGTTGAAGGGAGGGTGCGAAGCGAGGCGGTCCGCTGCAGGCGGTACTTTTTTCGTGGCAGGGGGTGTTCCGCCCCATGTGGCACTGAAAAAAAACTACGCCACTGAGGGAAATTGAAAATGATAAAAAAAATCATTTAAGAAACATTTCAAGTAAAGATTTTTTTATTTAACAAAATTTTAGGTCGTCAGAGCGTTGAGAGCGTTCTAAAAAAAAAGTATTGAGTCATCATCACTGTCTCCAGTATTTTAATCTAAGATTTTGTAAAAAAAAAAGAATTTTTATTTCGAAGAAAACTATTTTTTCTTTAAAAGCATTATTGCCTTTTTCATGCGATATGTCAAAGATGACTTAAAACTTTCAGCTTTTTATCCTATGTAGTAGTCACCTTTGTATCGAAAGTTTATTTATCTTAAACACGATACCAAAGCCTAGTCAGTCTCTTTCAGAAACGTAGTTATGGAGTTGCCCGTATGTAATAAAACTATAGTCTGTTTTTTCAAGAAGATCAAATTGACGGTAAAATTCAAAACCTGTGGTTTGACCTTTTTTGTTGAACAAAACAAAATTACTTTTCTCCAGAAGAGCTCTACAGGCGGTTCAGCATGATAATAATTGAAAAGCAAATAGAGGACGAATTCTTTATTCAGAGTAATTCTATTTTTTTAAATATCCTGGGTGAATTCTTTAGTTAAGTTTAAGGTGGTATCAAATATAAATCTGGTTGTAGGCGTCTTTAATCACCCAGACTTTATTCAATCCAATATAATAGCCCACTCTACTGTAGGTGGAAATAAATTTAATAACACAAATCACATTGTGATTGTGCACTGACTGATTGGATTGTTCTAAATTAATTGTCTTGTTAATAAGATAATTCATTCATTGTTAAAGATTGTTGAGCTGGAAAATTGAAGTCAGCCTTAGGCTTGCTTGTTATTTTGTAATTATTATGTATTTTTTAGGCATAATCATAGGGACACTACTAAGACTAAGAAGTAGACCTAGTCCGACCCTCATTCTTTTTAGTTTCACCTCTGCCTCTAGTTTCTAGCCTCTATAATTTATAAATAGTGTTGTTAATTAATATTAATAATAGGGCTTTAGACTTAATTAAGGTTAGGCAATAGATAGGCTAATAGGAGTAGAAAACATATATTATAGGCACATCCTAAAGCCTAAATGATCCTGTTTTTGCCATTTTGCTGACAACACGTCATCACCAAATCACAATTTAATTTTTGAAATATCTGATAAACATCGGCATGTTTAGGCATGTAATTGATAATTGCAATGCATAATACCAGTATTGCTGAGTATTTTAAAAAATGTAGTGTATACATGCCATAATACATGCCCAGCGACCAGACAAAGAAGTTCTACTAGAGATATTTGTCCGGTGACTTTTGTCACATGACTTTTGTTAGGCCTATATGCTGTAAACACTGTTTAAATTGGTATGATAGAAAGTGTGTCGGGTTTAAGTCTGAGCCAAAGAGCAAAACATGGTTTTGTAAAGGCTGCTTAAAAAAATGAATAAATTTTGCCAATAGCACTGTTAAATAAAGCATGATATGCCCGCCGGATGAATATCTCCAGCACTATTTGTCCTGTCGCTGGACGTGTAGCCACTACCTTAAAAAATATTAAAAAATGCAACTAAGACTGCGTAGCATTCACCTCTCTCATCTTCTTTGGTGTTCTCTCATAATCTGAGCAATAGCCGTCAAGTCCCTATGCTCAATTTTGTACTCTGCACTAAATTTTATTGGCAGTAAAATCATAATAATCCACCTGCATGTAATAATAATATATAAATCAAAAAGGTCAACATTGATAAAACTGAGTTAACTATGACCGTTCATTAGTTGATATTTTTACCAAGTTAGGATAATCAGTTGACCTCTACACTTTTTAAGTTATTGTAATGATCATCCCATTATTATGCTGAATAAAATGAAAATGTAAAAAAAATTTGACACGTAAATTAACAAGTATCAAAGTCAAAGAAGCAATTTTAATTATTTACTGGTAATTATGTAAAAATATAATCGACAGAATAAGATCACAAACTGAGGTGGTGCAGTCCATAATCATAGTTACCAGGGACAAATTATTTCCGTCAGGGCGCGGACTGAAAGATATAAAAATTCTTTTGTTCCCCAATCTGTACGAATTTACCAGCGTGCTCCCCCTGAAGTCACAAATCTTAATGAGAACTAATAAATCCCTGATTTGGCTAAGAGAACTCATGGAATGGCTGCTAGTGAAAAATTTTATTACTAATGTCTTGTGTTCTAATTGTTTTTTGTTAATGTGCTGAAAATGTACTTGTTACATAATCAATAAATCAATAAAATAATCAATAAAATAATCTTATCTTATATATTGTAACAAAATCACATTTTCACAGTAACGTTTTTACTCAAAAACTACTAAAGCTACTCAATTTTTGTTTAAGTTTGTTCTATACAACTATAATTTTATAATATTTTTTGTTGAAGCCGCTAAGGGTACATTTCAATGATTCATCCCAATTATGTGTAGAAGTAAGCATTGCGCTCTACCCATTGTTTCACATACTTAATGTGTGTCTCATCCTATCCACCACCTGCCTTAGTAATTTTTTTTTTGCTGGCATCCGTCCGTCACAATGTGACAATGGAGTGGGCTTCGTAGGATGAAATCCACATAGCCTGGGATTATTATACTTGAAGGATTATAAGCTGGTTCCCAACAGCAAATCGCCTCTCTCCACGCCGCTGGGTAACCCAAGGGAACATCATTGGATGATACTCGAACCGTGGTCACTGCAGCGTCCTCAACAGCCTTACAAAGTAAGTATCAATGTTATCCGCCTTTCGGGACTCCATCTCCGGGTTTGATTTCAGAGTTTCCTTCTCTTAGATGAGTTGCCGTCCAAGGTTAACGAGTCCCATCTACCCGGGGTGCTGGTGATGTTTTTGCTCTAGCTGGAATTGAACTCCAGACCACCAACTTGAGATTTGCTCAGTTTAGACCACTCGGCCACCCAGCACCCAATTAGTAATTTAGGCTATTCTTATTTGATTGTTAGAATGTACGGCTTTAAAATTGTGGAGGCTAAATCAGAATCATTAGGTTTAATTGTATTTATTATTTAATAATCAGAAAAAAATTGCCTATTTGAGCTTGACTAAACTCTTAGCCTACTAAGCACATGGGCATGCACTCAAGGGGCAAAGCCTGAATTTAGGCCGGAAAAAGTATTGTCTCAAGAACTTGTCATCCATGTTGATGTTTCTAAATTTGTAGTCATAAAAAATGCATTGCATCCCCCACACTTACTCATGTATACTATACTGGTTTAGGCCTATGATTATTACTATCACATAGTGTTGGCTAGACATAATGATACAGTGACGTTATGTCTGTCATAGAATATAGAGATACTCAGTGAAGATAGACACAGCATACTGCACATCCTTTCATTTGGACCAAGATGTGGCTTTTTGTCTCCATACACGTACGTGTGATCACTTAACCTTATTTTCTGTGTATTCCCTGACCCCTCAGGTTAATAACCCTTGCTCTTGACCATGTATATACATTTCAGTGAACAGGATCATTACCCGCCTGCTCACAACCTGCTGTGAAAAAGGTGGTCAACTGGTTGGGGCTCATCACATCTAGCTAATCATTGATGGGTTGCTGCCTCTATGTTTTCAGTCTGGTTTCTCTAATCCTCTCCACTGAGTAACTTGACTGATCTAGTTGCAAGGCGGCTGTTTTAATCCATCTAGCATATGTATTTTATTTCTATATTACCTGACCTCTGGTGAGTGTTCCCCTATCATCCACCTGCGGATGAGTTCCATGGTGATTAACTACTTTTGTAAAATTATTTACACTGTAGGAGTAATGTTTTATCACATCTGTCTATTGGAGATGCTTTAACATGTTTTTATTTATTGCAGCAAGGAATAAAAAAACCAGCATCACATATAACCTTATAAGAGAAGTTTATGCCATGCCCAAATGTCATGTATCTGCACTTATGTGCAGATTGATTTTAGTTGGTCAGCAGAGTTCTCAGCGCCAAATTTCAAGTTGGTCCTGTTTGGTTTCCCATCCAATTAAAAAAGAGCCAAAAGAAGTGACGTGGTCTAGAAAAAGGTATACTCGTTTGGTGAGTTGAGAATTTGTGTATGTTCACAATTTATATTATGTTATGCTAGTTCGTTAAAATGAGTTGATCTGTAATTTTAATAAAATTTTGATTTCAATCACATACAAATTTTTCTCCATAGCTTGCAACCAAAGCAGCTGCAACTACCCCCAAATGTGCGTCAACTAAGTCACCAACAGATCCTCAACCTATCAAAGTGTTAGAAAGTGTAAAAAATGATGGAGAGGTACCAGTACATACAGTCGATATTGATAAGGAAGATTTTGTGACTTTGCACTTTAAAAAAACAAGCCGGCTGATTAAGATAAAAGCAAAGCATGTTGCTGAGAATACATCGTTGCACATACAGCATAATAAAGATTTATATCACCTGGACAAATTGTCCTCGACCAATATCAGCTGGGCACCCTTTGCCGGCTCATCACGGCCACTGCCGTCCTCATCCCTGAAAATCACTGTCAGAGAACCAGGGCCAGACAAGACTAACCCAGGCACCAACATTGAGTCAATTCATGATGTGGAGTGGCGAGAACAGAAATTTGAACCAAAGAAGCTTGTAGAGTATTACAAGATGTTATCCAAAATACGACTTACTGGTAAGGTTTCATTATGCTCTCAAGGTGAAAGTTTTTTTAATCGTTCATTTATCTATAAAGAGAAAGTAAATAAAATGGAAGAATCATTCTGAGAATAGCCGCTATCTGCTTGCTACGGAAAGAAGTCCACCTGCTCTGTATAGTGCATTGAGCAACAATTTTTGCATCTTTTTTACAGCATTTTTAAGGCTGATGTCCGTCTTTTGAACATTTTTCACTCTGAGTCTATGTTATAGGGGATTCCCTTGGGTGGTATCCATTGTAATTAAAGTTGTACACTTCAGTGGCAGATATCTGGAAAGCATATTTTGGAAAAGCCATTTCCATTTCCAGGCTCTGCAGTACTCCATAGAACTTTTTTGTTGACATGAACATTGTAGCTGATCCCCTTTTTAAAAAAAGATATTTTGGATGGGATAATGTAAGACTGTCTACTTTATTGCCTCAAAATTTGGCAGTAATGATGGTGCAGGCATACAGTTGAAGGTTACTAGTTTCATTTGGCTCTGACCAAATTGAATTCATCCATTGAAAAAAAAAGAATTTTTTTTTTTTCTTTGCTGATTTGATTATTATATTATAATTAATATAGTAAAGTAATTTTAAAAAGTTCATTTAATTTTTTTCAAAAAGGATTGGTTGTTTTGACAACCATGTCTGGCTATTGGATAGCCCCTGGGTCATTTCATCCTTCTACATTTGTCTTATGCTCTGTTGGAACTGCTCTGACATCCTGTGCTGCAAACTCTGTTAATCAGGTAATTAATGTGAAAATTTGATTTTGATGAAATCCTCCATCAACCTGTAGCATGTTATAAAAATACTCATCTATCAATAATAGCAAAAAAAAAAATATTTTTAATGTTTATTTATTGGGCATTTATTTACATTGTTTCAGTTTTTTGAGGTACCTTATGATTCTCAGATGAATCGGACAAAAAATAGAGTCCTAGTCAGAGGATTACTCAGGTAGGTCTTTTTTTCATATTTAGATTTTAAAGCATACACTATTATGAGCATTTAACCCAGTTGCTAACTTCACAAAGAATTAAATTCAAAAGGACCCACTGCTAACATCGTAATGCTCAATAGTTTTATACTGCTTTCAGTCCCCTTCATGGTGTTGGGTTTGCAGTTGTCTCTAGCACGGTTGGCCTCTCACTGCTTTACTTCGGCGTCAATCCGGTTGTGGCAGGGCTAGGTGCGTTTAATCTGGGCTTGTACACACTGGCGTACACACCCCTGAAGCGTATCAGCATGATCAACACCTGGGTGGGCTCACTGGTTGGCGCCATTCCACCCATGATGGGTTGGGCAGCATGCACTGGAAGTCTTGAGCCAGGTAATGTTGACACTAAATAGTTTAAGACACAAGCAAAGATGTGTGACATGAACGTGTGGACACTAGCAAAGATGTGTGACACGAATATTTGGACACTAGCAAAGATGTGTGACATGAATGTGTGGCCACTAGCAAAGATGTGTGACATAAATGTGTGGACACTAGCAAAGTTTTAACTGGTGCGTGAGAGTTTTAGCAATAGTTTATAAAAATTGAGTGAAGCGATCTGTGAACATTTATTTCAAATTGCTAGTAATCAAACTACTACGATCACTCAATTGCATAAATTTAAATTACTATGGAAACACCATTTTATTACAGCTAGCTATCAGTAGCTTATAACTTACGAATTTTATTAGTTAATTATTGCTTCATTTAAATTTAATGTTCATAAAATTTCCTTTCTTTGTTAAATATTTTATAAGAATATTTCAGCTATGTAAAAACAAATCTCAGAAAAGTTGTACATTGACATATAGATTTTTTTTAGTAGCTAATCTTTATTTCCTGCTCTTTACTAGGGGCTTGGCTGCTGGCAGGAATTCTCTTCTCGTGGCAGTTTCCTCACTTCAATGCTCTCAGCTGGAACCTGCGACCTGATTATTCAAGGGCAGGCTACCGTATGATGTCTGTTGTTGATCCAGCTCTGTGTAAACGTGTTGCGCTGCGTCACTGCTTCATTTTGACAGCTTTGTGCTTAGCGGCCGCACCCCTCGGTGTGACCACTTGGATGTTTGCGGCCGATTCCCTGCCTCTTAACATGTACCTGTGCTACCTTGGCTGGCAGTTTTACCGTAAAGGGGATAGCAATTCATCTCGCAAGCTCTTTCGTTTTACACTTGTCCACATACCGGCTTTGTTGCTGCTTATGGGTATTAGCAAGGCGACCTTTGGAAGTCTTGATAAAGAAAGCAAAGTAACGCCACAAAGTGAAAGTATTTCCTAATCTAGGTTTATCTCTGTATGAGGGTTGCAAGTGTGATGATTTTAATTTAATTTGGATGTATTTCTTTATGTAATGTTTTTTTTTACTTACAGCTTTAAAACAGCAGCATAAAAAAGATGTTGACTTGGTACATTATGTTTTGGGGTCATACAAGACAAGAGATTAAATGATGTTCACTTGATTTGATTCCTAAAGGAACTAGGAGTCATCAGTATTTATTCTTGTTTAACAAAACAGCAGCCGGTGGAGTGGCATTGGCCCATGCATTAATGGTAGATGTTTAAGTCTATCAAAACAATATTAATGAATTAATACAACGATGTTGACAGCCTTGATAAGTTTACCATTGTGTTGCAGAGCCATTTTCCTCTCAGGTAAAAAGAAAAATGTCCTTTCCATTATGAAGTAAAAGTTGATTTGTTTTGCTTGTATATACATTTTGTTGTGATTAACAAATGTTCAAAGCAAGTGACAGATGTCAAGATCAACTTTGACAGACCTGAACACTACTCACAAATGAAAATTTATGACACAATTCCTTTAGTTAATACAAATTGAATCTGTGATATCGACAGTAATGCCCTTCTTGTGAAGTCGGTGGTCTCTTCCAAGAGATATAATGGCAGCATATAAATGTTATATCATCTGTCGGTTAATGTGTCAGAATTGATTTAAGTAATGGCTGGGCGGCACAGTAACTAAGGGACAAGTATGCTGATTGTAACGGACAATGTTTTCACATGAAAACAGAGAGGTAGCATGAGTGAATGGTGTTGACCATGTTTTGTCCACGAGGACAATGGATTGTATTTTGAAGGGCAAATGTGAGCTCCACGTTTTTGGAGAGTAAAAGAGCAGTAGAGAACAGTAGAGCTAGGAGAGCTGTGTGATTTGATTAGACAGTTGAGCTGAGTTGTAGTAGGGTGAGGATGTGTCTTTCTGAATGATGGAATACTATAATATATACATGTGAAATTATTTACATTCATGCAAGGATTACTATTATTATCAGTGTCAAGTGTGATTCAATAAAGTACTGTAAGGCTTAACCAGAATTGAGTATTCTTCTTTGCGTGCCTGGATAATAAGTGGAAGAATGAAGAAGTCTTAGTCGGCATCCTGAAGTATTAACATAAGTAACCATACTACTGACATAACCCACAGCATAAGAAATAAGATCCCACGCCATGTCAGAGTAGATGTGTTACACTGATGGTCTGGTATTCAATGCTCAGCAATACACCAGTCCTACACCAACCTGTTGGATGAAAAACTCTCTAATCAAAGCATAAAGAACATGGTGTGGAGGGCATTCTTGCGCCTAACAAGGTGCAACAGCTCAATGAATGGAATATAATGGTGGTGTGGAGGGCATTCTTGCCCCAAACAAGGTGCAACAGCTCAATGAATGGAATGTAACGGTGGTGTGGAGGGCCTTCTTGTGCCAAACAAGCTGCAAAAGCTCAATGAATGGAATATAACGGTACCAGAAAAAATATGCTTTCGGAAACGTGACCTTTTTTTTTTCCCTTGATTTTTTTGCTCAATGCTCTGGGATTATGTTTGTTTACTGCCAGCCTTGGATACAGATAGTTGTATAATAATGATGCCCTTTCTTTCGGTCATGTTGGCCCTTAGCAGGCATTAGTATTTGTACTTTTACATAGGCTTTGATTTAAATGCAAATCTTTTTTAAGTCTATTGCTGTGTCAGTTGTTATTCTTTTTCTGTTCCAAACAATGGCCTTCACCTTCAAGGTTACTCTCCTCATTTGTTTTCATACACTTCAATTTTTTCTGTACATTTTGGTAGTTTGCTTTTTAATATCAAATATGCTAATGTTACTATTATTTCAATGACATTTTCTTTTGCGATACTTTTTCCTATTGTAAATGTAGGCCATTTATACTCCAGTGTAAATGTAGAACTATCATAACCTCTAAAATATACTGAGCCATGTCTCTATGCATTTTGATTGCACCATGTCTCTCAATAGATTTAGTTTTATTTTAAAGAACTCCTCACAGGGTTAGAACAAAAATGTTCAAGAATTCAGCTCATAAATCATTTTTATAACTCTTTGCATTTTAAATGCTTGATCTTATGTAGTTTTCATAACTGTTGTGTGTATATGTTTAGAAGCTAAATAATTTTTTTTTAAAAATAGGATTGCTTGCATATTTAATTTGCTAAAATGTATGCAAAGTGCCAATAAGAATTTATGAATCACCAATATGTCTGTATAATTTTCATACGGGTTCTATATTTGTTTTAGAATTGACACAGTCTAAATTTAGTTTACTTTTCTGGCTACGAAATAAATATTAAAAAATGCTTAAATTCAATGTTAGACACTATAACCTATTGCTGTTTTTTTTTTTAAAATTTACTATTACAATTTGTTTCTGACTTTGTGCATGGTGAAAGCTTTCTTCAGCCTCACATTTATTGTCAGTTGTTTCCTGTTCCTATGAAATTTTTTTTGTCATTTAAAATGTTATGTTACGGTATGTTTAAACATGCTGATCTATTACAGTACAATATGTGTGAAACTTTTAAATTATTTGAAATGAATGATAAGTCATTTGAGGGATTACATAATTGACATGCACCTGTTACAGCCATTGATTTACATGTACTTGTTAGAAATGAATAAAGAGAAAAATCAGACAGTTTTGAGCTATTTAATGACATGTTGCTTAACTTTGATTGAATTCTCAAATACATAAGGGCATAAAATATATACACATGTATATTTACATTTTGTCAAACACACTTCTTGTAAATGTATTCAAAACTTTTGCATTCAGAGACCCTCACTTAATGCAGTTATTAACTTTGTATAATAATAATAATATATACATCACCACCCCCCCCCCCCCCCCCCCCATTTTGTCAAACACACTTTTTGTAAATGTTATCAAAACTTTTGCATTCAGAGACCCTCACTTAATGCAGTTATTAACTTTTTATAATAATAATAATATTTCCATCCCCCCCCCCCCCCCCCCCTTCTCTCTCTCTTATTTTAATGATCTGAATAAACGTATGCCATGTTGGTATTCTCAACGATAATGTAAGGGAGTTGAACCCAGAATAGACATCATTACAGACACCATGATAAAGACATGAATGATTCATTAATTATTATGATTACTATTGGAAATCACTCTGATAGAATTTCTTACAAATGTGTAGTAGAATTAGAAAAGGAACCCATAATCCAGTTTAGATTGATTGACTTAAATGTGGGCCACTGTGAAATAAATCTCTATGGAGTTAGCTTAGACTTGTGTCTGTTCAAAGAAATATCTCTTGAAATTAATGCTTGTTACATTTAATAAAAATCACGTTATTAGATACCCAATCTTAACTAGAACATTTTATACATTCTAAACCACTCACTTATTATCTCATGTGTGTTATATTTTCAATTTTGTTTTTTTTATGGAAGGTAAAATCTTTATGACTATAAATTCCTACTCCTATCTCATTAACTTAATAAATCAAAACCTTTGCAGTTTAAATTTAAAATTTGAAAACGAATAGTGGTAAATTTTTCTTAAAATCTTTATTACTATAGACACCTACTCCCAGCTGTTCAACTCAATACAAAAATCCTCTCCAGTTTAAATTTAAAATTTGAAAACAAACAAATTTCTTTAACGTTATAGACCACCCACAGCTGTATCACAGATTTCAGGCAAAGATAAAGGTGATGACTGAAAACTGTAACAATTTGAAGTGCATTAGAATATCCATGGCTAGTTGTAAGGAAACAATCTTGTTGGAATTGGCCACACCATATCTGGAGATGAAATAAAAACATATTTAATGACGCTACTTAAAATGGATTAACAAATTATTTGTAATTTAAAATTGTAATTGTTAACGCAGCTATAAATAAAATGCCTCTTAGACATGAACACTTATTGAGTAATTGTTAGTAAAAATGTCTGAAGAAATATGCAAAATTTACTTGGGAGTCACTTTGCTGGATTAATCTATTGATTAAATTTAATCATTTTGTTGGGCTTATAAAAATATCTTCATAGAAATATGCAATTTTTTCCCATGAACATGAAGAGTCTCATCATTAGAGTCATATAATTATTAAATTAATCATTTTGTTAGGCTTACCACTCTCTAAAAATGTGTCATAAGGCTTGCGATACATATCTATGTATTCTAAAGGGCTGATCATACTGCTGTCACTCTCTTCCAGCAAGTAGTGTACAACAGCTGCAAGGAGCAAGCAAGTTGGTAGGAATCAGAAATATTGAATAAAAAATGTCAATTTCTACATGTATACCATAAGCTGCTAAAGATGCTAACAAGAAAAACATATATCGGTAATTCTCATGACTGACTAATTGTGCAAAAACCTAAGCATATTTTAAACTTGATTTTAAACTTGATTTGTAAAAGGTTAATATATATCCTACATTGTTGTGGAAGAAGATCAGGTACTTTATCATGTAATGAGTCCATTACATTTTTCAAGTTAAGCTGTGGAGAAAAAGAAATAGCAAATTCCAACCTTAGTAGCAATAGAAAATTTTAGTTCATTTCAGTTTGTGGGTGTCTGAAACTGAAATGAACAACAAATTTTAGATAAATAAGATTGAATTTTATTAAAGTTGAGCGTATATTAAATGTACGCTTCATAATAATTTTATCAGTTGCAGATGGAAGGAAAATAACATCTTACCTTCGGCTGCTTATTGAGGTAGACACCCAGTTTAAGTAATTGGGTTAAGAGTTCAACAATGAGGTTTTCAAAAGTTTCTTTTGTATCAAAGGCTTCAATTCCATGTTCTACGATATCAAGTGTCCTAAATGACCATTGCTGATAAAGTCTTGAATTTATGTAACCAAGTTAAGGATCACATGTTAGAGAAAGATTTGAAATTCACTAAATTTCCGTTTGCTAAAGTAATGAGTTGATTTAGGTCTCTGGGAACATTTCCGAATTTCCTAAATTATCCTGCTATTAATAGCCATGTGGCTTCACCACCAAGCTTTTACAACATTGTTAAGCATCTTAATTTGAGCATTTTTGTTAGCAAGTCAGTATTTTTTAAAGTTTCTAAAAATACTTAAATTAAAAATAGTTAGTTCTCATAAAAAAATGTAACCTATTCTGCAGACTAAAAATGGGAATGAATTTTTAACACATGTATATTCAAAGCTAAAGTTATCATATAATAAAATTTACCCCAACTTGGTCAGGTAACTTAAAAACATATAAATACATCTCAAAATAATCCCCACAGGATAAACATTAGCTTTCATTTATACTCATTTCTTTTAAATGTATACAATTATATTCAATAAATATTCACTAGGATTGAACTACATTATGTTACCAGAAAATAAGACATGGTGCTTTACATAAATGAAAACCGAGGAAACATTTCGTTGGGTATCATACATGAGATATTTTCCTGCAATTTTAATACCAAACTGGCAGAAATTCATCATGCAGATTTTACCCCAGATTTTATGGTAACTATAAAATATATTATCATGTACGGTAGTATAAAGAAATCTAATATGAACAGTTAAATATATTTCAGGCTTATATTTTTGGCATAGCAAATAAAAAAGGATATATCATGAGATATTATTAAAATTTTTGACTTTGATACAAATGAATCCTTTTCTGACTCGATCTTATGCAAATCCTCCACTATCTTAAGGATAAGATCTGAAGATGTCTGGGGGTGAAAAAAAAAGAGGGGGGGGGATTCAAGAGAAACATTAGATTTTGCACAAATAATTGTTATTTAAATGAAGTCTCATTACAGAAGTGAACATATTTCGGAAAAAGAAATGTTTCTATATAAACTCTTCCTACTCATTATTGTCTTATCATGGTCTTTGGGATTCTTAGCCTTTACATGCTACAGATAAACTATACATGTTGCTTTTGTATGTGGTCTTCCCAAAGCAGTTTCTTGTGCAAACAGCAAGTCCCCAGTGAAAAGCACTCAACCAGGCAGTTCACGTGGTTAATAAATATACATACGGGGTATATATGTTTAAACTTTTTGGACCCATATTAACAAAAGACAAAAAGAATAGGAAAAGCATCAATGACAATGGCCAGGTAATTAACAGAATTTTAAATTAAGTCAAGCCAAGAACAGTCATTACTAACAAGATAGCAGTGTGGAGAATTGTGTGCTAAGCACATAATTTAATACCATTGAAACCTCAACAAAAAAGGCCTTTTCTGGAGTGACCACATATCAACAACAGTTGATCCACAGTTTGACTCTTCTTAGTTTAATTTGCGTTGGCTTGTTCATGTGAATAGAATGGAAGATGAAATCCCAAGGATAACCTGTTACTCTTATGACAGCTTGCCACTGTAAAAAGAACAAAAGGATGTCTCCCTGGTCAATTACAGGGATGCAAGACCTGACAACAACAACCATTGCTACTGGGTTCAGCAAGGATATTGACAGGTTTGAGACATGCCTGAGGAAAGGGTTAATTAAATGCAATGTAACGATCAGTGGGAACAATGTGTGGAAAGTACACAAATGAAACAGAAGGTCATGTAGTTCAGTAACCTGGACATCACCATCTTCAAGTGTCAAGACTCTGAAAATGACAACCACTCTTGTGTGAACTTACTGCGCCACATGAAAAAATGCCATTGGGAAGCATAATTGCTTGTCTTGGGAGAATAAATAATGCTGCTACAAGCCAAACAATTTATACAAACATCCCAGGGCTAATATTTGTTCCTTTTTATAAAAAGGTCATATACTTGTTCTTTTGTTTTCATCTCCTGATGATTTTCCAATCCTTACCTAATAATTAAACTGTTCACATACAATTATATCATGTTATTCAGTTAAAATGCAAAAATGTACAATAATTGTAAAAAACATCTTTAAAAAACTATCAAAATTAAAATTTAAAAAAACTTGCATTAAATAGCATGATACATTTTTTGATGTATTCATTGTTTTAAAATTGTGAAATTATGGTATGGGTCACTTACTTCTATAACATGAACAACATGTTTAAGATATATAAGCATAAGTCCAGTTATAGGCTCACTTGTTTGGAAATCAACCTGCAGCTTTTTCATTAGAGCCTCGTAGTAGTCTGGGAATAATAAATCTTAAGTTAACTAGATCTATAATTAAAATTTAATCATGAGTAACTATCTTAAATAAAGGCATAAAACTGGTTTATTAAGAACAAAAATTTGAGAAATGGCTCACTTCCTAAAGCATGTCTGTCAACAGTTGGATCACTTATCTTGGATATGTAGACAAGGCGATGAATTAGATATTTCTGCAATTGAATTGTAATAATGTCATCTTTGGATTCTTATAACTAAGGATAGAAGACTGCTTATTTGCATAAATTAAAATCAAAAGAGACAAAAGAACTAGATTTAAAAAAAGAATATTTATGACACATAATACACAATAAAATACAACAGTCTCAAAATTATTTATATCTTTTAGTGCCATAGACTATAGATATAAAATATATGAATAGTAGATAACAATGAAATTACTGTGTATTATGACAGTGTTTCATACTGGGTGGCCTGCAGACTGATACCAGCCACAAAGCTACCATTCACCAGTCCACAAAGACAGAAGACACAAATTTTAAAAATTAGTGAATAAGAAAAATAATAAATCAAGTTGGTTAATTCTCCCATTGCAAATGAAATGTAACACAGTAATGGATACGTATTTTTAGTCAAATCATCCCACTATTCAGTTCTGAAAATCAGTATCAGCTGGTTAATATACTTAAAAGTAAACAATTCGAAAATTTAAAAAAATTGATTTTTAGATAAAATTCTAATTTCTAAAACGTAAATAAACATTTGTAGTCTCAGTAGTCAGACATAAAGACTAAGTACTTACTAAGTCTAAGTCTAAGTCGGTAGTCTTTTTATTTGAACAAAGTCATGATATCTTAATTAAATGAAACAATCTAAATACAGTAATTGCATAATATATTTTGAAAAAAATAAAATACTTTGTTCAAATTTCTATTTCTTTCCTCGATAATTTCAAGAAGAGATGTACGATGAGAATCTTGACTTGAAGTACCTCGATCATCTTCAGTCGCCATTTTAGTATACGTCGCTATGGTTATGAATAAAAAGTTGTAGTGGAGTCATGTAATGTTCATTGAGTGTGATCCTATTATAACAAAAATGTATTTAAAAAAATTCTAATAATATACAAAATGAAAGATTATAAAAATAATTGTTTTTTTAGTAGTTTAAAATTGTATTCACTATAATTTGTATTTTTAATAACAAAAGTTCTCACAGAGGCTATTTCTCACTATAGTCTGTTTCTTCTGACTATGTAGGTCCTGAAGTTTAGGTTAAATTCATCAATGCATATAGTATAGGAAAAAAGGAATGTCATTTTGCACATAATGAAGATATAAATAATAACTTAATTTACTTGACTTAACAATTTTGATATTTTAAATTATTAGAATTGCTGATAATGTGTATATGGCTCATAAAACAACTTCCACAAAATTGATCACAACATAGATCATGTATAAATTTTTCTGAATTAGGATTGTAAAAAATAAAATAATGAAATTATACGGTAACCATACTACATGATAAAAATTCTCTTTTATTTTGAAATAATTTGAATATATTAATGTATTTAAAAAAGTATAATAAAATTAATATTAATTACTGAAAATTGAAGTACACTAAAATGAGAATCAGGATCAGGACTTAAGTGTTTAAGATATTTAAAAAAATATTGAAATTAAATAATATTTGAAGTATACATTTTGTATATAGATCTAGTACATTGATGTTCTTATATTTCATTTGTTTAAGCAACATGGCTGGGGTTAGTGGGGTGGGGGTGGGGGGGTCTAACAACATTATTTAGAATGGTTTTACTAAATAGTTACTTTTTCGTGTAAGTTTTAACGCATGCGTCTTCAGACACCGGAAGCACGATGTACTAAACATAAATAAAACGAAAGTCGGTTGGTAAACATGAAGTCCAAAAGAGGTGGAAGGAAAGATTATAGCGCAAGTAGAAAGCCTGAAAAAGCCGTGGAGTATGTTATAATTAGTACAATCGGGGCTTACTAAAAATTGGCTGGTACAAATTGGCTTACTTGTTTTAGGAAACCTATTAGATTTCTTAACGTAATTACGGAATACCCCACTCAGCCAAGTCAACTAAGTCTAAGTTACTAAGTTAAGTACCGTCCAAGAGTGCCAAGACTCAAGACCAATGACCAACTTTAACCCTTCTTTCTAAATTCTAAGTGAAACATGACACATGTTATCATCATATGCATTTTCATTATGCAACCTGCACAGTTGTCAGTGAGTGCAAAGCGCTCGGCTAATACAGTTTACACTTGGCGTTTCCTCTGCGCCTTGTTTTAAAGTGTTTTGGCACTTTTTTTTGTTTGTTTACACTGCCTCCTTCTTTGTTTCCATAATGGCAAACAGAGATGCCTACCATGTAAAAAAGGAGTGCTAAAGCAAAGGGGGGGGGGGGGGGCTAAAATAATGTCTGTTCCTTGCACCACTTGAGGTTCTGTGTAGAATTCTCTCCCTTTTGTTTATTCTTGGAATTTTACTGAGTTATCTTTTCTTAAATGTTATTGTTATGGAATTTTAAAAATAGACCTTTCATCCAGTGGTTTAATCCTTTCGTTACCAATGACGTCGACGGGACATCACAATCACCCACTTTCAATTACCATGGACGTCACAGTGTCTTTATAACAAAGAGGCATAGAACTTTTCTGAAATACCAAGGACGTCACGTCGACGTCATATTTCAATGCTATATATTTTTTAATTCGTTAATCTATACAGAAATTAATAAGCGGATCAAATAGAGAATGAATAAATACCGAACGTTTCTTGTTTAAAAAGTTTTTTATTGCTGAGTCGGCAAAAATCGCTGCCAAAACCAGCGGTAAGGAAAGAGTTAATAAAATATGTAAAATAAAGTAAAGCTAAATTTTTCAGGCATCCTAGAATGGATTTTGATTTTTCTAACAACTTTTGTATTTTATTTTTTAACTTCAATAAAGTGTAAAAGGTGTATTCGATGAAATAGTAAGTTGGGTTTTCATTATTTTGAATATTTTAAAAAAATCTAATCTTTTCATTCAAGTTGACTCTTTTTCACAGTATAGTCCTATATGTAACTATAATATACGAACATGTAGATTTAGGGTTCCTTTTAGGCATTAGGCTAATTAGGTCATATATTTTTGGTTTGATGATTTATGTTTAAGTGGGGGGGGGGGGGGGGTTTTTTTTTGGGGGAATTTAGGGGTTAATTAACATCAATTTAGGGGGAATAATTTTATGGTGGAATTTATGCTTGAGTTAAGGATACTGACTTAGCATTTGAGTTAGGTAGAGAAGTAGATTTAAGGATTGAAGGTATTTCTCTAAAAAATATTTAATTAAATCTTAGGTCGCTAAAACTGCACTTTTTTTTCCTTTCACCTCCCCTTTTTAGCAGACGTGTTGGCACAATTTTTTTTACACAGCCACCATTTTGGTTGTCTGACACGTCTCCCATCATGGCAACCAAGATGGCGGCCATGCGAAGTTAGTGGTGTGCCGAACAGACATTTACCAATGTGTCTTAGCTACTTACAGAGACAAAAGAAAATTATAAGGAAAACATTTTTTTAAAAGACATTTTTTAAAGCTTCTCTTGCATGAAAATGATAATATGAAAGAACAGTTAATAGTTAATTGGAAAAAGTGAAAAATAAATACATATTAAAGTAAAAAAAAACATTGAAAATTAAGCCCCCCTCACAAAAAATATGCATATGTAATGAAATATTTTTTTAACAAAAACTTTTAAACCTAAAATCTATAACTTAACCTAATCTGCATGGTAAATAACCCAAGTGGGAAAATAAGGATTGCTTCCTCAAGCATTAATTTTCAAACCTAAAACCTTTGACCTAACCTAAACCCAAAAACCATATGGTTATGTGATAAAGTTACCCACTGTAGTGAGAAAATAGTAAATTTGAATAAAAAGAGTAAAATTATTTTTAAATATTCGAAATAATGAAAACCCATATTTCATTTTCATTGAATAAAATTTAGTACACTTTCTAACCAGAAATAAAATCTAAAATATGTCAGAAAAGTCAAAATCCATTTTACAAAATGAACAAAGGGTCACATCTGGCAAAAAACGTTGTCCTTAAAGATTAAAATTAACCATGCTATGAAATATTAGTTTTAAAAAACCTGCAATAAACAAAATTCCATTGGCGTATTAATATAAAAAATATAGGACAAGTTTAGTTTTTTTACTTTTTCATAACCTCCGCAATTTTCATTTTAAAATTGCGGCAGGTTTATTTCTTAATTAAATTATTTAAATTAATTAGACAGGTTTTGAGTAAACCTCAATTGGTCCTAACTTCTTAGAATAATTATAAGAAATATACAAAGGGTAGAAGAAAACCTGACTAAGGACAATAACAGACAGTGAATATTTTGTCCAAAAAACTTTCGACAGTGAAAATAGAGACAAGCACTCTTAGCTTGTTGTATAGATATGTATTCTACAGGAAATGGTAGACATATGCAACTTGGAAGTGACCCATGAAATCAAAGAATTTACCTATGAGCTTAACAGTAAACCTAAAATATTAGAAATAAGTAAATAAATTAAATTTAAGACATTATCGGCAATTACTATAAAACAGCAGCATGCTTCTATTCATAAGCAAATATTCGGGTTGAATCCTGGTTTTTTGGGTTTGATTTATATTTTTATTTGCAGAGATGAATCTGATGAAGATGTCGGTGACATTTTTACAGATGAGATCAGTGAATTTACAGATGCAAGAAACAAAGTATGATTTATTTAATCTTTTAGTCATTGAAACAAAAACACTTAGAAAAAAAACTATTTACTTGGCTTTTGTTTATTTTGTAAAATAACATCTGAATTAGTTAAACAAAATTAATGTATTTTTCTTTTTTTTTTTCATGACAGATTGATCTCGGTGATCACAATGAAAGTGAAGGCGAGGAAGAGGTGAGAATCTATTTCACGACTCCACTTGTTGTGTTTATTTTTTTTATTAAGTAAATATTTGATCAAAAGCAAAAATGTCTAAAAAAATATTCCAAGTTAATTTAAAAGTAAGATATTTCAGTGCCATACTGTCCATACTATTTTACTTCAATTTAAACAATGAACATGCAATATAATTATTAAAATAAGTTTACTGTTTTATGTCTTTGGGTCTATCAGCACATTAATTGATGATTTGAATTGTTGATAAGACTTGCTTATTTTCTCATTCCTTTTGACATTAATCATCGTTATGATAGGAGGAAATGTTTGCTTTGATGGATGAAGAAGAAGAGAGTGATGAAGAAATTGGGGAATGGTCGAAACGTCTCAAGCAAATAAAATTTCAAGCTAAACTAGAAAATAAAAAGCCATTGCCGGGAGGTAGGTCATACTAGTTTTATTTTTGTGTGATGTTCTACTTAAAGAAAAAAAATTTTTTTTGTCCTGGATAACATAGAGACTGATGTTGATGCTCAGTTGTTATGAATTTTGTTATATTGACTGAAGGAGTTGCATACACAATAAATAAGCCCCTTGCATTTCACTAACAATCCCAAGAATTTATTGCTCATGATATTTAAGCGCTTACAGCTAAATTATGTTTTAAGTTATCTCTTAGGTCATCTGTTATCAAATGAATGGAACGCGAAGGCTGAGATGACAATGATAATGACCAGGCATGGGCAGAAATAATATTATTTTACATGAATGAAAAAAATCTACATAAGATTGCAAGGGGAGTGAGGGATATGAGGGGTTGTTGGGTTGATTATAAGATGAGGTTAAGGGACGGGTGGGCTAACATTTTCATGGATTCTGATTTGCTCATTAAAGTGCTGACGATAAGTTTGTTTGGTTTATCTGCATTTCATATGTGCAGAGATTTTAAAGAATGCATATTCATGTTACTAGCTTTACAATTACCGTTTATTCTTAAGTTTAGAAGAAAGTTTTGTGTATAGCAAAGACAAAAACAAATCATACGTTATATTCATTTCAGTGGTTATTTTTAAATTACAGTTAATATTTGAACAAGAATTTAAGGCAAGAATATAAATAATTCATTCATGGGGGTACTTTTCCATATAATACAGAAACAATTTATGAATTAAACTTCTACAAATAGATATTTTAAAATTATTATACAGTAACAGTTTACAAATTAAACTGCTATAAATATATTTGAAAAAATTATAATTTGGAAACAATTTACAAAAATGAAACTACTATAAATAGATATTTAAAAAGAAAACATAACTTCAGTTTTGAAAAAAATTATTATAAGATCTAGACTATACCGTAATGTTTAATAGCTTTATAGAATGAAGAAAATGCTTTAAAATGTCTTTATCAAAAACTTCCTCTTACTTCAGATTCAGCAGAGAAGTCATGGGGAAACAAAAGAGGAGTTTTCTATGGTTCAGGGGTTAAAAGGAAACCAAAGGAGGCTGGTCAGTACATTTCTATTACCAGTTACTTATTATTAAGGCTTATAAAAAAAATACAGTTTGCATTGAAAGTTCTGTTTCATGTTTTATGAAGGTAAGTCTTACATTTTTTTTGTTACATGAAAAGAATTTTATGATGATATACATTTTTTAAACATGAACGCTAAACCTAACTCAAACTCTTGATTAGAATTGGTGACATAGTAGTGAAACCTGAAAAACTCCTGTTTATTTTGCCATATAAATAATCTTCTAGTAAGTGATGAGGAAGATGAGTGGACCATGGAAGAGAAAGAAATTGAAAAGTTACAGAAGAGATTGGATGAAGATATCGATGAAGAAGATTTTTTGGTACCATCACTCCTCATTAAAGTAAGTATTCCATAATATTAACTTAACACTGTATTGGATTGTGTGTGGTGTGTCAGACTTTGACCTGAGTGCACCCGAGGTTGAGTTTTTGCTACAGATATTTTTATGACAATCTTTTGTATATTATTTTTTTTACCGCAGTGTTGAAAAAGAAAAAAGTTTGTCAGGGTATTTGAGCATGTCAAATGAATATTTATTCAATAGTTTTGTAGCCAATAAGTCAATCTTTTTGTTTAAAAATCTTTATGTTGAAAGAAAGCCAAACCTGTTGTGTCTGAAGATTTGACAGTAAAGAGAGATTTGACTTCAACAGAGAAACAAGAGGTAAGAAACAAAATGTTGTGTGGAAAACTTGTATTTACTAATTACTATTATTTCTTGAATGTATAAATCTTGGTTTTCCTACGTAAAAAAAAATATCACACAAAAATTAATTAGGCATTTAAAGATGGTTAAATAGGGAAATTTTTAATTTTTAATCAAGGCTTGGACAAAGACATTTTTAGTAAAGTTTGAAAATAAATTAGAAATGAGGGTGGTTTTTGTAGTTTCAACAACTAAATGGCTTAAATATAAACTAGTGATATTAATTGGACATACTTTCGCACATACAAAAATGGTTAAAAACATACATGAAGAAATATATCAACTGAATGAATTTTTTTAGACTATTTGTTATTCAAATTTTCTGAATTACTACTATTTTTCTGAAAATGTTTGATATTTTTACTGATTCCCCAATAAGATCACTAAGCAAGTGTTGATGATTACTGCTTTGCATACATGCAGTTTATATTTTTCAAGCTGTCCAAATTTTATTTTTAATGACCATTTGAGCTTCAAGTGCATGCACACCATTCATTGGCTCTTAGTGATAGCAACACACCATTCATTGGCTCTTAGTGATAGCAACACACCATTCATTGGCTCTTAGTGATAGCAACACACCATTCATTGGCTCTTAGTGATAGCAACACACCATTCATTGGCTCTTCTTAGTGATAGCAACACACCATTCATTGGCTCTTAGTGATAGCAACACACCATTCATTGGCTCTTAGTGATAGCAACACACCATTCATTGGCTCTTAGTGATAGCAACACACCATTCATTGGCTCTTGGTGATAGCAACACAACATTCATTGGTTCTTAGTGACAGCAACACACCATTCATTGGCTCTTAGTGATAGCAACACACCATTCATTGGCTCTTAGTGTTAGCAACACACCATTCATTGGCTCTTAGTGACAGCAACACACCATTCATTGGCTCTTGGTGATAGCAACACACCATTCATTGGCTCTTAGTGATAGCAACACACCATTCATTGGCTCTTAGTGACAGCAACACACCATTCATTGGTTCTTAGTGATAGCAACACAACATTCATTGGCTCTTAGTGATAGAAACACATAATTCATTGGCTCTTAGTGATAGCAACACACCATTCATTGGCTCTTAGTGATAGCAACACACCATTCATTGACTCTTAGTTTTAGCAACACACCATTCATTGGCTCTAAGTGACAGCAACACACCATTCATTGGCTCTTGGTGATAGCAACACACCATTCATTGGCTCTTAGTTTTAGCAACACACCATTCATTGGCTCTTAGTGACAGCAACACACCATTCATTTGCTCTTAGTGATAGCAACACACCATCCATTGGCTCTTAGTGATAGCAACACACCATTCATGGGCTCTTAGTGATAGCAACACACCATTCATTGGCTCTTAATGATAGCAAGACACCATTCATTGGCTCTTGGTGATAGCAACACACCATTCATTGGCTCTTATTGATAGCAACACACCATTCATCGGCTTATAGTGAAAGCAACACACCATTCATTGGCTCTTAGTGATAGCAACACACCATTCATTGGCTCTTAGTGATAGCAACACACCATTCATTGGCTCTTAGTGATAGCAACACAAAGATACTTCATTATTCTAGTTGATGTTTACATTTGTGCAATTTTATAATACGTATAGTTCAAGAAAAAACTTCACCCAGAAGCAGAGCCATTGAAAGAAGAACTGAACAAATGTGTAAGTTCATTTTGAGATGTTCAGCATAATTAAAACTGTACTGAAATAAAATGTTCAGAGATACTTCATGTTTTTAAAAAAAAATATGTACCGGTATCAATCAATCTTTATTTCTTTAAAAAAAATAAACAATGGCTGATAATCATGCTTTATTTTTTTTTATTGTGTTAAGTGTTAAAAAAAAAATTTTGTGTTTGAATTATAATAATAATACTTAATAATAATGTATTTTTGTTTTGTTAACTCTTCAGATTGAAGAATTGGAAATGTTAAAAGACAAGAAAGGTTGGAAGGTGGAGAGTAGGGACACATGCTTCAGATTGTAAGTCTTCTGAAGTCTGTACTAACGTGATGACACTTGAGGGTACATAGTGGCGCCAACTTCTTCCGGCATAATTATTTTAATTTTATGTGGTTGACAATAGGAGGAAGCGCTTGAATTAAAATTAGTTATTGAAATGAAATCAAAATTTGAAAAACATTGCAATAAATTTTATTTCAAGAAGAAAATGGATCAATTAAATAATTCAGTTAAGTGCAGATTATTATTATTTAAAGCTTATTGTATAACAATGTCTTTTCAAGGTAATGGGAGAAAATTATTAAAGTCTCATATGATCTGCTAATAGGCAGATATCGCCCCACTTAGTTCCCTGTCTATAGGCCAATTACCCCTCTAAATTCCCTCAAATATTTCCATAAAAGTTGGTTTTAGAACAAGTATCTAAGGGAATTGTTTTACATTTAGAAATATTCTTCTACAGACTTCTTCTCGATCAAAAGGATCTAGAATTTTTTTTTTAGGTCTTCATATTGGACTAGATAACTATAAAACAATAATATTAATAATTTAAATAGAATGACATACAAAAAAAAACTGTTCTTTATTTTAGATTGGCAGCCAACATTGCATTCTATCTTCATATGATTGAGAATGATGAAGACTGCCGGGGGCATCCTGTCATTAAGAGGATCGTTCAATGGAAGAAGGTCAGTTCTTTTCATGGATGTCTGGGAATGTCAGTTCTTTTCATGGATGTCTGGCAATGTAAGTTCTTTTCATGGCTGTCTGGCAATTTAAGCTCTTTTCATGACTGTCTGGCAATTTAAGTTCTTTTCATGACTGTCTGGAAATGTAAGTTCTTTTCATGGCTGTCTGGCAATGTAAGTTCTTTTCATGGCTGTCTGGCAATGTAAGTTCTTTTCATGGCTGTCTGGCAATGCACTTTCTTGACATTTCCAAAGATGTTATTTTTCTCACTGCACTGAAATGGCCTTAATCACAAATAATAAAATGCCAGTGTAAAGTGTCCTTTTCTTGTAATTAACTTAAAGCCTTGCATTTTTTATTACCTATATCAATTATTATTTTTTTTAAATTTATTAAAAATGTTTAATTTTTTCAAAAGTTGGCTAAAATGTATGAAGCCATTCCAAGAGATCAGATGGAAGCCTCAGATGAAGATGATAATGAACATGATGAAGTTACTAATGATGAGACCAAAAATAATTCACCACAAAAACTATCCAGGAAACGGCCACGGTTAGCTCATTTTTGTCACATTTAGAAATTAATTCATAGTTTATCATTATCATATTAAAGACAGCATTTGGGGATGAATTCATAGTTTATCATTATCATTTTAAAGACAGCTTCGTTTTCTTTCTGAAACTTGGATGACTCTTGTTTGATGAGTGTTGGACCCAAGGGAGTTAATAAATTTTAAACCTAACCCGGCATTTTTCACTCCTTACAGAAATTTGTGTTTGTTTTCTTATGAATCATTACACACTCTGTCATTACACACTCTGTCATTTACACTTCCATTTTAAACCATTGACCTTGTATTTATCCGTTTACTATATCTCATTGATATATTAAATTATTTATGTTTTCTATTTACATGCATTTTTCAGGGCTGAAGGTGAGGATAGTGATGATGAGATTGATGAGGAAATGGAAGAGGAAAATGCTAATGAGATATCAGAGGAAGGGGAGAGCAGGCCAATTACTTATGAGGTTGGTTTTGTTGTATTATGCTTGTCAAGTTGAATGATTCAACATGTTCAGATGGATTAGCGTTTGGATATATAGCCAATCAGTAATTTCCAGACTAACGTATATATTAGAGATGGTGGTCCTCTATCACTAAACAAACATTCAAGAAAAAGAAAAAAAAAACTGCAAAGAGTCTGGATGCTACCTTGCAAAGGACAAAAAAAAGGATGAGAAATTTGTTTGATTTTTTTCATTTTGAATTTTAAGTGCTAACAAGAATTCTAATTTATTTCAGTTTTTGTGTGTGTTAAGAGTTCATTTTAACTTTATGTCATTTTAGATTGAGAAAAATAAGCCTAAGAAGAAAACAGCTCCCAACAATCCCCGTGTCAAGCACAGAGAAAAATTCAGGAAGGCCAAGATTCGCATGAAAGGAAAGGTATGTCATTTTTTTCTTCAAATCTTCTAGTAGTTTTGTTCAAGATTATATTAACTTTTTAAATAGAGGGTGGGGGCGGGGGAGGTGGTTTCCAACTAAATTTATACTGCCCCCTCTTCCCTTTGGGGGTAGCACACTAAAAAGGTTTATGAGTAGTAAATTCTAAAAAAAAAGTTCAACTCTGGACAAGTGATAGAAGTATTTTACAACTAAAAAAGTCCATTATCAGAAAGGGAGGATAAAAAGAAAGGAAGAAATACTTACTGTTACCTTAATACTGTTTGCATTCAGTAAATTATAATTTGGGACGCTAAAAGATTACTTAAGGGGAGGTGCGGGTGAGAAATTGACGAAAATGGCAAATTTTGAATAATTTTTTATTATTAGCTATTTGGTTTTATTAACCATTTCTCTATTACATTTTTATATTTGTTTTTATAAAAGTAAGTTAGAATATATAATAAATTACAAATTTCCTGACCCTATCAATCAGAAAAATGTCAAAATTGTCCTATTTTTAGTGTTTTTACCCCTTTGTTATGAGTATTTGGAATCGCCCAATCCCTACGTCTTTGGCATGGTTGGAAAGATGGTGATTTCGGGGTCAAGATAAATATAGCTTATGATCACAAAGAAAACTACAAAAGCAACCGAACCTCTCGATCGCCGGTAATGTCTAGCAAAATTTGGTATTTTCCTGTCCTACTTCGTGTATCACGTGATAAAACCCTGACCTTTGAATAAAATAAGCATTTTGATTGGTTCCTATGTAGGAAATCTGTTTATAAAGGTCACTTCCGGTATAAACAAAACCGTATCTAATTTCGTGAATCCTAGCAAGTTCGATATGTAATTTGTCGGTAATAAATTCATTTGAGGAGTTAAAAAACAACTAAATAAGTAAATAACCACACAAAATGAGTTGGCTTTGATTAATTGCCATAATAAACATGATTAATGCTTCTCCTTTTCGGAGAAGACCAAGACTGAGTACACTAAACTACTAAGACTAAGCCTACTCCTAGGCCTAGTGCTAGTCGCTTCAAGTTCAAGCATCGCTACGCTACTTTACCAGCAGGAAAAACATAGAAAAATACTATGCCTTGGTAAGTCTTACAAATCTATTTTTCATTTAGATTCAAATTTAAAGTACGGTATCAATTATTTATAAGGCTAAGCCTATACTGTGCTCACTATACACCATTGAATGAGGGCTATACTTATACTTTATTATATTAGTATTAGTAATAAACACTGTTACTTTGGTGATAGTGAACTGTAGTAAAAATAAAACATATAAATTTTATGAATTTAGTTATTGTGACATTTGTCTTACACTGTCCTATATTTATAGCTATTAAAATGGTAATATGAAATTAAATGTAATACATTTCTCTTTTTTTTTATTGCATCGCAAATAACATTGTCATTAGTGTTATTTTATTTTAAAGTAAAGTAAGAGTAAGAGCCCTAACAAATTTTGCTTGAAATACGTGTCAACAAGTATGACCTATCAGTCATTAATTTCATTATAGCCTTATATTTTTATTGAGAAGCATTTAATAAAAATATCTAAATACAAGTTTATTGTTTTCAGGAATCATTGAGGAGACGCGCAATGAGGTTGCGGAACACAACAAACCACAACATGCATTATATTTCCTGTTGATAAACTACACTGATCTGTTGTGCCTAGGTCCATTTAGCCCAAAGGACAATATGCACATGAAAAAGAAGGAGTGCCCTAAGTGTATTCCAATGTTTCAGATTCCTCGGCGCAACATATGTTCGATGCATCGAAATAAAACTACGGTAACCTCAGGCAGAGGATGCAAGAGAAGACTAACACAGATTACATCACAAAACTCATTACGTGTTATTCAAGGACAAAAAGAATAAGACAGTAGTTGAAAGAAACATATCAATAATTCCCTTATTTTAACATTGTATCTCTCTGCGATGTGATTTTCAACATGACGAGTGTCAAAATTTGATACAGTAACTAATTAGATTTTACAATGGAGTTATTGCTCATGAGTTTTCTGGCTCACACAAAAAACAGTTAATATGCTTTTGTGGAAAAATACATGTTGCAACTCAAGTGATTCAAAAGTTGTGAGATAGAAATCAGAAAATTTACAACTGTCAATATTCATTCCGTCATTAGACCTCATAGAACTTACAATTTTTTCTTTACAAGAATAAGAGTTGCATTTTCAGCATTCATGGACAATGCCAAATAACTCTTTGGAATTGCATATTTACCTAGCTTAATTTTATGATGCTGAAATTCTCCAAAATAAGCGAATTATTATTTTTTCGACAAATACAGAATAATAGATAAAAATATATCAATCACAGTGAAAAGTTGAGTGGTCAGGAAAAAAGAAAAATGGACCTGGAAAATGATTAAAAATGTCCACAATAGGCTAATAAAAAGTTTTTATTCCAATCTTGGTATAAGATTCTTATTTTTCATTGATATTTTCATTGTTTTTGTCGTTTTTCTTCGTTATTTCAGTTTTCTTGTTTTCACTATTTTTGGTCACTAATATCCCTATAACTTTTTTATTTATTATCCAAACCTCACCAAATTTTCACAGTATGTTCAGTGACCAATAATAAACATTTGAATAACCTAGAATTAAGATAACTATCTTAGAAAAGAAAATATGTAAAAAAGAATTCACCCACACCCCTATTTTTTGCATAAAAAATGGGGTCACAATTTCTGACCCTGTAAATTTATAACCAGTCATTACATCAAAAAGTCCTGTTATACAAAGTTTTATTATAGGTTAAATAATCTATGTTTAAAATCTGATAGCAATAACTTAATATTTGTAAAAGCCTTAGTGTTTTAAAACACACTAAAAAAATAAAAATGGCGGAGGTTTTTATGGGCTACAAAGGCAACCAATGGAAATTTTTTTTTTTTAAAACCTGTTTTGTACCTCCATTTCAATACCAAATAAGGTGTAGTTAAAAAAAATCCTATATGAAGCCAAACAAAAATTTTAGATTTTTCACCCACACCTCCCCTTAAAAATATTAAATTACTTCAATATTTCTCAATTTACAAAAAATACTAGACTATTTGTAATATGTCCTTGTTGCTCTAATTTTTTTATTATTCATATTTTTGTATTAAAACATTTTGAAGCATATCTTAATTTTGTAGTTCTGCAAGGAAAGATTAGAATGCTATCATTAATTTTTTTTCTTCTATGTTTAAATTATTATTTTATCAATAAAAAGTATCTCTTATTTACTAGAATGAGGTATCATGTGGAATTTTAACTATGTGTCTTAAGTTGAGGAATCTAACTCTACCATTCTATTTTCCCGCATAGATTCGAGAATATCGACCAGAAATCAACAAATATCAAGGAGAAGCATCCGGCATTAGGGCTGGAATCATCCGAAGTGTTCGACTAAAGTAGCGGACTGAGAGTGATTAGAAGTGCATGATTGAAAATAATTGACTTGTGGTTACGATGAGTGAATGGAATGCATGGTATAAGTAATGAAATAATGTGTTGAAATGCAAATTTAATTATATTTAGATCCTAAAAATTATGAAATAAACAAATTAGGAAGACAGAATTATTTTTTTGGTCCTTTTTCCCCACTCAAGATCCCCATGTAGATGGAAAAACTGGGAAAATGTCAGGAATTCATTTAACAATTATCTGGCTGGTCTGGAATTTTTTAATTCAAAAAAGATAATAACAATAATTTTGGATCCCAAAATGGCCTAACATTTCTATTCTAACCCTGCTGTCCTTTATCAATAGGATTTTGTGAAATGGCAGTGGATACCCTTAACTGCACATGTGCTTAACTACTAGTTTCGGATATCAAACTCAAACTATTAATTTTCCTTGCAAGAAGAAAACATTGACTCCTTATATAAAAAGATGTTTTAAACTGGTAGCTATATGCATGTTCTAGAATCCCACTCCTCTGTACTTTTAAATGCAACAACTTTTCAAGTCTAAATTGAAAATTAATATGTATTTACATGTATAGACCTTTATTGGTTAATTTTGTCAATCTGTGTTGTATTTCAATATTGTTTTTACTTTTAAAATTTCATGCTTCCCATTTTCATATCATCAACTTAACCATGACATTGCAAAAGGGAGGACATTATTTGTTTTTTAGTTGTGAGAAAGGAGGAGATTTTGTTTTTAAAAAACAGTGGGAACCATGTCTCCTCCACCTTTGCATTTAGTAAGTTTTGCCACCATTCACTTCCCTGAAGTATCAAGGCGGGCAGATTTGAATATTGAGTAAGATTTACACCATTCACTTCTCTGAATTACTGAGGCACGCACAGAGATGAAGATGTGTTGACAAACTTAACACTTCCAATTATGAATTTCCTCCTCAAATTCATGAATGTTTTTTTAAATTTTAAAGCTGTTTAAAATGAATTCTACATTTTGTTAAAGTGTTTTCTCAAAATTGATTATATTATTATTAAATTATTATAAATTATTTAAAAAACTTCAAAATTGAAACTCTTCATAAAATAGTTGTGCATACCGGTACATTAAAGGATATACTGCACCTCACCACCATTTCACATGTTTGAAGTGGTACATCAATCACCTTAATAATAACAGAGATAAACTGTATTAACAGTCGTCATATTTAAAAAACCAAAACAATATACATTGTTTAGCAAGTAGTTTATTTTGTCACCACCAGCATTACATTTCAGTTACCTACCAACAAATGTAAGAAGATAATGTGACAATGTCTAAGATAAAGACTCCTTAAGCGGAGAAGTGATCCCTTCCTAACCTGATGTATCAGTTAGTTGGAGTTCAACTCAGTGCACACTATAGAAGTTGGTAATGATTACGTATCATTAAGTTGACAAAAAGTGTAGGTTGATGACTAAGAGAGTAACGCTGACTTTACATGATCAAATTTAAATGAGACTTAACAGAATATTTAACTTAAATGAACCAATCCATTAACTGAATGGAAGGAGTGTGTTTTTGGCTAAAATGAACTTAGAACATTGGTATAAAAAATGAACTTGAAAAGAGGAGGTTTAAAGCAAGGGCTTTGTCATGGAGCTTTGAGTAGCCTGGGCTGATCAGTACAGTTTAAAAAAATTCTGATCCTGTTACTTTAGGTTCTAATTAATAGATTTAAAAAAAGTCACTTATTGCTGTAACCACATGTGCATATTTGTTGATGCATACGTAGCAAAGATGCTCAAAGAAATTAACTCCTTTTGTAGTAGTTTACTGAGGCCATAAACTATGAACAATGGGATATCAATGGTTTCAACATTATCTTAAACTACCATTATAGATCTTTCAAACACAAATGATTTACAGCCTAAGATAATGATTCAAGATGTAGATATTGCTTATCTACACTAATCAGTTATAAAATAAAAAGGAAATGGTAAAAAAAAAAAATTGTTCAAACGATCACGGTTGTCGTTTTTCTGAGAAAAATTAAGTATCCATTAGAAATGTATTCATCATGTTGATTTTCATTTCATCATTTTCCTCGGCTTGCAGGTAAAACAAAAATTCTTCAATTTAAAATATAACATTGTGATAGAATTCCTGTCAATTGCTTGCTGACAAAATAGTATTTTGTAAAGTTATAATTGTATTGAGGAAATGTCATGACGTTTTCAGACATGACGTCAGGTACAAATAGAATATGGTGTAGAAATACTGGGGATAACCAACATTTTCAACAAACCAATAACAGATCAAGTAACGTGCAAACAGCTTTGAAATTTTAGCTGCTAACAATCGGAATTAACATATATATTTATAAATGAGTGTGTGTGTTTATAATCACATGTAATCAATTTATTTTTTGTACTCAATGAACATTGTGAAAAGAAGGTAATATATTGTTCCGATGATCAAGTGACATCATACCGTTTGCTGCGAGTCTAATATTTAATATAAAAAATTATTGGCATGTCTACCTAGAAAGGACTGGTTTTCATTAAGTTTTTTTTGTGAAACGGTTTCTATCTCATTCTGTTGTAAAAAATGTTCAGAACATTCATTTGGAAATTTAAACTCTGATAATAGGAATTTTTTTTTTTTTAGCAGCAGCCCTCACAGCAGACAGTCACTGGTGTCATAAAGCTTATGTCATCGGAGCGACAATATTGACCTGATTTTAATGCTTGACGATTCCTTTTAACAATTTATAATACCTCTTTTTCCTATGACAAGGGTAACTGAACCAGAACTTGATGGAATAAATCATGGAAAAACAAAGAAATGGTTTAGGATCAGTTCCACCTCACTATTAGGCTCAGTGCCTTAGGGGTGGTGCAAAGGGGGGACAACTGCCCCAAAGTAGACATTTTGGGATTTATGTATAAAATTACATAAATGATGTGTGTTTGTGGGGGGGGGGGGGGGGCTCTTATGGGACTTCACCTAGGCTGCATTTAGTCAAAGTATGCCACTGATTAGGCTACAAGGAGCTTACTTTAAAAAAATATGATAAAGTTAATAGGTGAATGAATTATTTGAAATAAGGGCTCAATTTGAAGATACTGTTGTAAATTGATTTTACAAATTTCTTTACCCTGTTTAAACTGATGTAAAGCTCAAAATTTATTTGACTGAAACAGATTAGATAATATTAACTACTTACAGAAGAAATATATTTTTATTCTCAATCAATTTATTGGCAAACATTTATTCTTGCCAATTTATTGACACTTGATTATGGGAAAAATATATATTTTAAAAAGCAAGAAATTGATCTGAGAGAAGAGAAGAGAAAGTACATTTTATTGAAAAATAATGCAAGAAAAAGAGAGAGACAGAAGTTAAAAAGAAAGTACATCAAGAAAAAGATATAGTTTTTCTATTTACATCATATACAACATGAATGTCAACAAGTGAAGTTGGCAGACATTTTACATGGTGTAACATTGTAAAAATCTGGTAGTAACAACAATTACATTAACCTTGTCAATAAGCATGAAAATATCACAAATCATTCATAGTGATTAATATAATTTTCCTGTCATCAAAAAGTAGGGATTTTTAGATAATCCCATAAAAAAAAATTTATATCACACAAAAATTAGAACTACATATATCCTTTGCACACACACACACCCCCCCCACCCCCCCCCCCCTCCCNTGCCAGAGAGAGTGTTAGACTGCCTGTAAGACTATTGTTTAAAGGCAGGCATATATTATAGAAAACAATAAGTTAACTTTATTTTGTAACACTTGGACCCACCGGGTATTTTCTTAACATGCCCGTACCCAATGTAAAAAAACTGCCCCCGGTTAAGCCCAGTCCACCCCTGTCTCGTTTTATAAATATTAATGACTAATGAATTTTCTTGCCTTCCCAACACAGCCCTTGAAGAACTCTTGTCTGTACAGTAGTGTTCAGCAGAAACTCTAGGTGTGGGGCGCTCCTGAGCACATAGAGATCAAGGCAGAACCTTTGCCCATGGGTGACTAAAGGCATTTGGGTTAAAGGGGTCTATTCCAGCAATCACACATTCATTGCAAGTTTTCAATTAATTTTCTTAGTTAATTTGTTTCTTTTAAACTACTTGTAAGTTACACAACGATAGGACACTTTAAAATGGTGCTTGCTTTTAAGCTGAACACACACAAGTTCCAGAATTTCTGTAGGGATTGATTGTGTAAACACATTGTTTATATTTCTGGTAGCTTTTTCTTGTTATTTTCACTGTTGAATCAAAAAAGTTTCTATTTTTCTGCGCACTGGCGAGAAAGATTAAAATATATAATATTCTTAATCACTCTTAGATGTCCTTGGAAAGCTCTCATCATTCTGAAGTTATGAACTGTTAATCAGCACATCAGTTTACGCATATCCATGTGTAATAGTAGTCAAATAAATATTAATTAACAATGGGAGTGGTTACAATCACATTGTTATGGTCCTTGAAGAACTTATACCAAGTCCTCTGTTATTGTTCTCTTGCATCCTTTATAGTGTAGCTCTGTGCTGGAAATATCTTGTCATGGGTGATATTACCCCATGAGATACTCCTAAAAAATTGGAAAGATTAGAAATTGTATCAGATCGAGCTTCAACAAAATAAATAAGAACATAAGTTTAAAAAACTTGACATAATCCTTTCAACCATTTTAGAATGGATCTTCATAAGTTTTATCTTTCATGGATCACATATTCCATCGTGAATGAAACATAAAATCAGAGCCATTATAAGTGATTTTCTCTCTCTTTTTCCCTCTGGGGCCCTTGCCAAAATAGTAATTAAAAACTATGAAATCTCACTCAAACTGTAGCAATCCCCAGTCTGACAACATGATTATTTGGGGTCATTAAAAATTTAAAAAGAAAATATAATGAATAAATCTGGAACTGATCCCTGGCGGAATTTTGAAACTAATCCATTGGTCTGCCAAATTTAAACATTTGGAAAATGCTGCTCTACAGCATAGGGATATTCATTGGTACACCAAAATAATTATAAATGACTAAAAAAACCAGTCTTAATTGGTAGACTTATAAGTTGATTCTGGCAGCTGTGACTGGGAGGAGAACTATAGCTATTTTTTTGCAAATTCAGACAATTTTACACCAATTCAAGTTGGCCGTAGTCTTCCGACTTTGATGCTTGAGTTTTTTAATTTTACTTAAGGTGTACCTCCTTCTCAAGAATAGCTGCCTTTCTTAAACAAGTTCATTCCATCTGTCTATATAACTTTTGATGACCCCGGGATGATATTCAAACTCACTACCTCCTGGCAAAGAGGCAGGCAACACTCACGACCTCCTGGCAAAGAGGCAGGCAACACTCACGACCTCCTGGCAAAGAGGCAGGCAACACTCACGACCTCCTGGCAAAGAGGCAGGCAACACTCACTACCTCCTGGCAAAGAGGCAGGCAACACTCACTACCTCCTGGCAAAGAGGCAGGCAACACTCACTACCTCCTGGCAAAGAGGCAGGCAACACTCACTACCTCCTGGCAAAGAGGCAGGCAACACTCACTGCCTCCTGGCAAAGAGGCAGGCAACACTCACTACCTCCTGGCAAAGAGGCAGGCAACACTCACTACCTCCTGGCAAAGAGGCAGGCAACACTCACTACCTCCTGGCAAAGAGGCAGGCAACACTCACGACCTCCTGGCAAAGAGGCAGGCAACACTCACGACCTCCTGGCAAAGAGGCAGGCAACACTCACGACCTCCTGGCAAAGAGGCAGGCAACACTCACGACCTCCTGGCAAAGAGGCAGGCAACACTCACGACCTCCTGGCAAAGAGGCAGGCAACACTCACGACCTCCTGGCAAAGAGGCAGGCAACACTCACGACCTCCTGGCAAAGAGGCAGGCAACACTCACGACCTCCTGGCAAAGAGGCAGGCAACACTCACGACCTCCTGGCAAAGAGGCAGGCAACATTGACCACTCCACAATACCGACTAAAACCCTTAACTTTGTTTTATTGAGTAACAAATAA